AATATAATACGCCAACTACTGATTTGACTTTTGTGTGGAATGTGGACAATGGACCCTTCTGTGCTACGTTTTCTGGTAGCACATGCCGTGCCAACTTTGATGGAGCTGGCTTATTAATTGTTGCTGAAGTTAGAATCAGTATTACTTTGTGTTTTTAAGCTATTAAGTATTACTGTCAAGTGCAGTTTGATTATTGGTCTTGGTGATTTGTTTATCGACCCTATTGGATCTCGTTGCTGTCTTTGCTTTTATCTATTTTTGCCATGTTTTCTGCTACCACATGCACACCTCCAAATTTGGAAGAGCCGAATTATTATTGATCATTTTTGGGCTCTTTCTAGATCTACAACCAGTTGATGTGATGGAAGGTTACCTTCATTATGTTGAGTCATGTCTATAATTTTCAACTTGAGTTAGTTTATTCCTCTTAGTCGTTGCTCGTTGAGTATTAACTAACATGTTAGATACTTGTGTGACTTGATTGGCAAAATAGTCTCTCTCTTAAAAAGTACATTTTTTTTTACCACACTAAAAATAAAATATTTAGTGCAAATTAACAAGATATTAATTGAAAAATTATCTATACATAAAATTATTATTTTTGATATAGACCTTTTCCATATAAAAAAAATCTTTTGTTATAATAAAAGCAAAAATAATATCAATTATTTAAGAATTGAAGTTAATTTACTCATAATGCTAATAGTAATAATTAATATTCACATAATAGAACTAAGCAAATTGAATAAGCATCCAAATTCTAAAGAAAGATTTTTTTAGATTCTATCTCATAGTTACTTTGATTGATTTATCTTCTTGTTTAAGTTGGTATTCTACAAAGTAGTTGAAAGGAATAATTGTTCATATTTGCCTATTTATATAAAAAGATAAGTTTAATCATAATTTTATTTTCTCTATTATGATTAATTTAGTAAAGAATTAATTTTAATATAAAATATATTTAAATAGAAAAGATCTTAACTATTGTGAAAGTAAGAAAAGTAAAAATACATCAAAAACTCTTTCCTTTAGTAAATAATAATAAATATAATCATCAACTGACAAAGAATTAAACTACTTAAATCTCAAGTAAGTAAAGTTTTATTAAACAACTTATTATAAATAACATCGCTTAATTAGTTGACGGAAGAAAAATTCATAATTTAAAAGAATTCACACGTATGTAAAGTGAGACATTTCAAAATTTCAAATATATTAATTTAATTATATATAGAAATTTTATTAAATATTTTAAACTTCATTTAATAATTTAGAGGGAATAAGAAGGAAAGGACTTCAAAAATAAAAGAGAAAAATAGTTTAATACAAAATCCTGAGAAACTTAAAAAAGATATAAGATTGTGATGATTTTGAAGTATTTATAAACACTTCTCTTAAGTTTTTTTTTTTTTTCTCTCATCATAAACTATATAACTCTCAAACATAACATTAATGACTGAACTTTTGAGGTGTTTCTTTTGTTAACATACTTATTTGTAAAACTTATCACCACAGCCACAACTAAAAATGTTCACCAAAATGTTACTCCTCTCAAGATCAAGGAACTAAACCAAAAACACCGGATGTTACACATCTCCATCATCTGGCTTTATGAAAAAGCACAGAATCCGAATCCATACGCTGCTGCTAGTTTCTGCGTAAACAACTTTTGGGTGCCTTTATTATTTGCTAGTCACTAATGGATCGTCTCGAGTGCAAACTCCAAAGAGAACATGCTCTAACATCCTCTTAGTCATCATATATAATTCGAATTCACAACCTATTTTTGCTCCTCTTCAACAATCAGAACCATACATTCTAATTGATCACTCTCCTTCTGAAAGGTACTTCTATGCTTGACCTTAAAAGGTTCATGTACGGACGTATAAACTTTATTTTGATTGCTGATGCAGTTAGTTGCATCATTACTGTGTTTGATTATTGCGTTCCGTGTGATATTATCAAGTTTCCTTCTTTGATACTGATACAGGAACAAATTCAAACCCAGTACATGATTAAGCATGATCAAATGCGACATCATCATGCGGAAAGTGATAAATTAGAATAAAAAACCGTTTCAACACAAATTTGCCTTTTCTTTTTTCTTCAAACTTTCTTTCATTATAATTTGTTTTTTTATTAATGTTCATCCAACAAAATCCAACACAACGAGCATATTCTGCAATTTGGGCTGAATTGCCTCGTTGGCCCAAGATCCACCCTACCATGGGTTTGACTGGGTCTAACACCTGCTCCTCCATCTCGTTGCGGTAACTCATGGTCTTGAGTGTCTAAATATGGCATTGATGAACTATAAAAATACCTTTAACTGCATAAAAAATTATGAGAGGAAATTTATCAATTACATTGTCTGACAATAATTTTTTACTCTTGATATTTACATTTTAGTAATTGCCCAGACATATAAATAATCGCTGCAATCAATTAGAAAAATAGGAGTGATAAAAGCTTCAATAATTTGATGTCGAGCATGCTGCAATCAATCAAAATGAATATCATTATCTGAAAGAATTTAGCTCTTCTAGGAAAAGAAATCATATTTAAATATAATAACCGGAAGGAAGTACACAGTATTGTTGTTGGTTTAATTTGGTTTTTTTATTTCCTTCTCCTCGATGCACAAACCCAGGCCATGACCATAGACATGTTTTGCTGTATACAAAATGTTGCTCCCTTAATTTGAGCATGTGAGTGTGGATTCCGTGGAGGGTAAGCAGATGAAAAGCATAGAGCTTTTAACTAGAAGCCAATGAATAGATACAAATCTAACTTCCTTTTTCCAATTGAGAGAGAGACATGTCAAGCACAAATGGACAACTAAACCCGATGGAAGGATGAACTTTTTATCATTGATACATGAGAAGATGAGGAGACATAAAGTAGTCCTCTCATGCACAGCTAGTAGGCTTCATAAAGGGAACTTTGTGCGTACAACAAAACAAGGCTAATAAGAGCAATTTAAGGAGGCATGCAACTACTAAAATCCAAACCTTCTTTTTGCCTTCTAGCGTTAGTGCTTCCCTGTGCAAGAATGAGATTGTTTAATAATGGGACAACACTCCTTTCAATTGCCTTTTATTCAGATTAACTGCTATATGTTTGTCATTACTAGCTATAGAGAATGACCACCCAATCCCACTGTTTATTCCAAACGGTTTCCTTCAACTTGGATTAAAATATGTATAAATGTATTCACACCTTGCATTTTATGTGTCAATCAATGTTAATTAATTAATAGTTAATTCTCTAAACTCGTCCCTTTATCCGCTCAATCTATCACTACCCTTTATGTGTACAGAGTCAGAGGATAATCTCCCAACTGCTAGTCAAAAACTATTTCCTTTAGGACACAGACTATCGAATTAAAATTTTCGAATTGTTTACTTTTAGAAGATATTTTTTATTTTCATTTTTAATTACAAAATTAGCAACTTACTTTCATTCAACTTTTAATAACTCTAATCTACTTTAGTCAGATACATGTTTACAACAAAAACGATAAGCACTTTCAGTTCTTAATTACAGGAAACCCACAGATAATAATTGATACTTTAGGAATTAATTGAAGTGGGTAGTTTGGGCAGCGAATCTGGCAATAGAGAAGTCGGAAAAGGGAAAGGATGCGAAGAATAAAACAGAGGAGTGTCAGTGCATGTGATACAAGTGTGGCCACTAGCGAGTGAAGGTTTTGGCATAGGTTGCAATGGAAATTGGAAGGTAGAGAGTGACAAAGCAAAATGAAAGGAAACAGAAGCCCGTGAAGGAGTGAAACATATGAATAATGCATGTACGTATATGTCTCATTGGCAGACTTTACCCACTCTCACCACTCTCTCATATTATTTCATTGGCTCTGTTCCCACTTCCCATGCAAATTTTAACAGTCTTATTATGAATGTGACAACTATATCATCCACTTTTTTATGCTCTGTTTCTTTAGTTTCTGCCATTCGTACCCTTCCCAATCCCTTTCACCAACTTTGCTCATTATCGATTTGTACTGCATTCACAACTCTACCGTGTCTTGGGACTTGGGAATGGGAATGGGATGGGATAGCTTTTTACAAACAATGTCATTTTTTATTTTTTATATTTAATATCTTCTTTACAAATAAAGATAAATAAGAATATTATTCAAAAAAAATATTATTTTTTAATTTACGATGTTTTTAGTAAATATAAAAAACAGAAGTTGCGTAAATTTAAATGAAGGGATATTATGTCATATAAAATACTTTTATATGATAATTTATATTATATTTTTTAAAAACTAAATTTCTTCATAAATAGTCTATAACTTTTTTAAAATAAATCTTAAGTTTAAGTATAATTCCTTTTTCTTAAATGTAAGTGTAAATATTGATATTTCAGTCCCTCATCCATTATCATTTATAATCTAAAGAATACAAATTGTTAAAAAAAGAGAGTTAAAATTGTAAAATATGCATAATTAATTCAAAAAAATTAAGGAATACAAGATAAAAATTATATGAACATTCTTAAAAGAAAAACAAAAGGAAAACACTGAATACTATACTATTTTCAAGATAATAATTCGCTTTCATTTAATATATGCCGAGTGCATTCTTAACCTCTGTTTAATCATAACTTTATAGTGATTTTTCATTCATTTTTTAAAAATAAAATTTGACCTATTTTAATAGAGCTTACTTTATATTACTTGTGCATTAGTTAAACGTTAAAAATCATAGGTGATTTGGTTCTATTAAAATTTTCATATTTTCCACTAATGACCTTCCCTGTGAAGAAGAAACTTAAACTTGGGTTTTGAATATTATGTTTTTTTTTTAATTTCACACACAGACACAAAGTAGCGAATGGTCTATTTTTATGAATTCAAAATGGCATACGTCACTCCATTCACCAACTATAAATACCATGCCACAGTTAAGCGTTCTCAATTTAACATTCACAAGTGAGAGAGAAAGAGATCACAGAAAGACTGGTAAACAGAGAAGATGGCTTGCAAGGTGCAGAAAAAGATATTATTGCGCAGAAAACTTCACATTCTGCGAGTCCTTACCAACTCATATTCTGTAATGCAATCTAACTTCTTCTAGTACTACCCCTCCATTTCTTTCCCCTCATATTTTACGATTGCAATAACTTACAAATTTTTTGCTCTGATGTTTTGAAGGCCAAGAGAACCACCGTTGCCAAGAGTACTGTTCTGTGCATATACAAACTAAAGCTCGCGCTGGAAACTGTCAAAAGAGAGTATGAAAACCTTCTAGCCACCCGAAGAGAGTACATTAGTCTATTGAACCATGTCAAAGACAACAAGGTCTAGTGTTTATTCTCTTATCCTTTTTCTCAAAGCACAACTAAAAATTTAAATTTAAGTGCAGATTCGATCAAAAAATGTAAAAAAAAAAAACTTAAAAGAGATATGTTTATCTAAAAAAGTCTTGGTTATTTTGACTCCTGATGATCCTCTTTACTTGTATATGTTACTAAGCTACCAATTTGATGTTTTATTATCTAACATAAAAATATTACGAGGGTAATTAATAGAAATAAAAATGGTAGCAAAAATAGCATGAGATTGATATTTATATTTGATGATGAACAAAAATTTAACAGGATGTTAAAATAGAGAAGGTAAGGGAAGGAACTTTTATGGTGAGGGTCACTTGTGAGAAAGGAAGTGACAAGCTGGTTGCGATTTTAGAGGCTTTTGAGGAGATGTGTCTGAATGTTCAGCAAGCGAGAGTTTCATGCCAAAATGGTTTTTCTCTTGAAGCCATTGCTGTGGCTGCAGACCATACCCTCGATGTAACAGATGTCACCGTAGCGCTTCTCAAAGCTATTGGAAAGGAGGATCATGAAAAGGACTCACAAAAGTTTGACAACAGCTGTAATTTGTGATTTTTTTTTCAAAGTAGTCTAATTTGTTCAACATCTTCTTTAGTATCTCAAACTAGTTAATACAAATTTCAAGTTCCTCTTTTATGTTTGATAGTACTGCTGACATATGAAGCAAAAAAATTTTTGAATACATGTATTATTGGCATTCTATTATTAATGGAAGGATAAATGATACTAACACATTTTTTAATAATTTTTTTAATTCTTAATTAGTAATTAAGATTTATTAAAAATTATAAAAATAAAGTAAAGAAAAATTAATTTAAAAATAAAAATAAAAAATAAAAAAAATGTTATAGTATGAAGCTAACATTTCTCATTATACAATAATAATATATAACCGTTCCCCTACTTCATAAACTTGATTCCCAATTAAATATTCGCCTTGAATTTGATACAGTATAATAAATGGACTATTAACATTTCATATACTAACCTGTAGGGAAAACTAGATGTTTGTGAACTTACCATTGTGAGTTCCCATTTTTTTTTTCTTCTTAAATTATGAGTGCCCAAAAATCATTTTGCATCTCAGCTAATTTGAAGAGAAAAATAAAGCATGTTTGACCAAAATTAGTAAGCTTACAACAATTGATTATCAAATGTAAACAAAATGGTAATACTGATTGTCGGCCAAACTAGTACTTTAGAGATACATTGAAGGAGAAGACATTGATTTTTCCAACACATTTTTCCGAATTACTTAGCTTACAATCATTTGCGAGCTACTAGCAGTGGCTGATGGATATCTAATAATGGGCACTTCCCAAAACTTGATATCAAAAATTCTTTCTTAAATGGAGTAATGTTTGAGAAACAACATTGATTTAGTTTTGAGCTATCCACTCAAAGGTGAGAAGCTAGTTGTCACCTTAAAGATATCAACATTGGTTTTGATTAAAAATCTATCATCATTATTTAATTTTTAATGTAGAAACTTCTCTCTCTAATTGAAATTCTTACTTTTAATGATGGAAATTTATTAATAAAACCTCTTTGTATCGAAGATTGCTATGTCGCTTTATGTATTCACCCATCCTAACCTAACATTTGCCATGTAATTCATCAACTCAATTCTTGTCCTCTCCTCTAATTCCATACCTTCATGCAACTAATCATGTTTTGTAATGCCTAAAGTCTTTACTGGGTCAAGGCCTGAGCATTAACTTTTAGTTGCTAGTGAGTAAACTTGTTACTTATGTTGGAATTGTTTCACGTAATTCTACTATAAGCTCCTCAATTTTCTCTCGGACTCTCTCATCTACTGTACTAGAAACTCGACTTAGGAACGTTACACATGTAGACTGGTGTGTGATGGGCCATGTTTAGGTCTTTTATTTCTCTTCACTTTATCAGATCCTCTGAGGCCCACCTTTTAAAAACAATGAGAGAAAAAAAGAATATTATAATATGACAATTAATGTCGCATGTTTCCATTCTTGTCATTTCAGTTTCGGCTCGAAGCAGTATTCAAAATTTTATTTTGTTTAAGACTTACCGCATGTTTTGGTGAACGTTTCCTATCCCAAAACCTGCGTTTATGTTTCTTAAGATCAGTTTAATAATTATTAAATTTTATTTTTCACTTTAATATTATATAATTTAATAGTTAAACTAATAAAGTTTAATAATTATAAATAACTGAGCAAGTTGATTAAAATTATTTTAAAACTAAATAAATCTCTTCTTTCAATCCTTTTGGAATTTTTTTTAAGATATCTTTGACTTGGTTGGGGGTTGTCTAGATGATAGTTATTTATAGTTTTTATGATTTAGGTTAGCCTACGATTTGCCCTCATAGTACGTTAGCGGGTGGACTTTGAGTTCGTGTCTTGACCCGTTACTACCACTTTATCTATTTAGAGAAAACAAATACATATTAAAAATTCAAATTATTTTATTAAAATTAACTGTTAAATTTATTATTTTATCTTTTATATATTACTGAATGATTATAAACATTTATATAATTAAAAGGGTAAGTAAAAAAATATTAAATAATTTTTTTAAAACTTTTATATGTACAAATATCTAAAAGTATTTATTTTTTTTGTTTCTCTTCACAGATAAATAGAATGACAGGTAGTAACATTTTGAAACAGATATTTATATTTGTAAAAATATTTCTCTATAAAATTTTCATAAGTTTGAACACTCCCCTTAATCATTTTAAAATCAGGGGTATCTTGTTAACTAAGAGCTATCATTAAAGAGTAAAAAATATATATTGAAAATTATGTTGAGAATATATTAAAACTTATAATAAATATGTATTAACATTTTGTTAATAAACAAATTTATCTATTAATTTTTTAACTAGTGTTCTTATAACACTCATTAGGATTTTATTTTTTTTTGAAATAGTTACAAAGAAAAAATTATATTTTAATAACTTGAGTGAGAGTTTGTAAGGAGTTTATAAAAAAACCGGAAATATCTTTTGCATACTTAGAGATGGACATTTAAAGGTTTTTTAATTTTGTGTTTTAAAGTGTATTTTTAGGATGTCTATGTACAAAAAATATTTTATAGCAGGCATTAAGAATATATATATATATATATATATATATATATATAATAAAAAAATTGAATAGAAAATATAAGATATTATAAATTTTAATGCATTAACAATATTAAATATTATAATTTTTTATTAAATTTTACTATTAATAATTTTTATTGAGTACTTTTAGACACACATTATAACAATTAAAAATATATATAAATTTAATTTTAATTATTTAAATAAAAAGTTATAAAAAAATGCCTATGTCAAATAGCTTATGCAATTAATATTTTTTGGAATGTTAGACATGAAATTAAATAATAATATTTTATAGTAATATATTATGTTGTAATTTTAATACAAGCATTTTATCATAATTTTAAATAATTTTTTTATTTACTAATTCTTTAATTAATATAATTAAAACACTAGTTAACAAAATTCATTTTAACTACTTGCTTTTGAGATAAAAAAAAGTTCCACCTTATTTTTGGTTCTGCATCTACGTGCCAGTTTGATTATATATCCGAATTTGTAAACAGAAAAGAAATGCTTAGTATGGAATATTTAAAATTGTTTATTTTAAGTTTATTATGGTCATTCTGAATAAAATATCAATATATTAAAAAGTCCTAAAAAATATGTTAAAAACATATTAAAAATAATAAAAATGTATTATTAATTTGTATTTTTATTTTAATTAATTTTTAAAACACTAATAATAATTATTTTATTAAAAATTGAAATCCAACGTGTCAATATAATACTGGTGGAAAAATCTTCAAATTTAATGCTACTTACAGGTTACATGGATCATGATTCCAGATGGCATGTGAATTACAATCTATTGGCCATTGGGATCATCAAATTAATAATATTCTTCGAAAACTCGAACAATATACACAAAGGGATATCATTGGTTAATTTGTATAGTGCTTCAATATAAAGAAAATGAAAATAATATTCTCATATGGAATATTAAATCAAACAAGATGTGTCACAATTTTGTTTTAATCCCCATCCATTTAATACGTTTTTTTAATTTAACTAGTAATTTATTCAGAGGTAACAAATATTTTTTCATTGATATTCATGATTAGTCATAAGTATATTATTAATTAAATTAATTTGATAATTAGTGAATAAATAAAGGCATTCAGCTAGAAATGAGTATAATTTCTGGATAAATAAATTGTGTATATATCATACACACAAAGATGGTGGTAAATTCAATTCAAATGTAGTTACAATTTGTAAATTTAACCTATACATTTTTTATTCAATGTAATTAAATAGATAAACACATAGTATGAATAAATTATTTGACACGAAATGTTGAAATTACAAAAAAATTCAATAATTTAACAGTAAAATTAATAAATAAATATCTGAACAAAATATTATTAAAAATCTCATTTTATAAAAAAATTTAATATTTAAGCGTCATTTGGTCCTATTCTATATATAACCATTGCATAAAAATATATAATTGGTGTTCAGCTTCTACTAATGAATTCAAAGTAAACTAAGGAGTACTAATTAATACTGGATTAAGTTCAAAAAGTCTCATTTATCTTCAATAATATATAGAGTTCGATTCTTGTGAGTGAAAATAAATAAATAAATAGTAGGAGAGACTTTTTTTTTTACCTTAAATAAATACACCCAATTCGATTTAGACTAGTTGAGGTTTAATAAATTTTTTAAAAAATGAAAATTTTAGACCAAAAGGTAAATTAAGTCGATTTATATAGGAAATGTATTATCCCTATATAATGTTGTTTTAAATTAATCATATAAGATAATTATTCATCCATAGCTAGGTATTATTGATAAGAAAGAAATTTAAGAAGAAAAGAATAATAATGTTGATCACTAATGCCGTAAGGAAAGGAAGTCAAAATTTGGGGAACAAGAAACCTAAGGAATACGGTATTTATCCCTATTCATTTGTAGATTGATATAGTTATTATTTAATTTTCTGACAAAGTGTAGAAAAAAAAAAGGATTGAACGAGTTTCACAATATAAAATTTGGGTTGCTGGGGATAATAAATGATCTATAATATAAAAATAGTTGTTGCATTGCTTCACGCTTTTAGGAACCTTATAAAATTGAATTGTTTCATGGTCTTTGATATTTTTGATGTAACATATTGGCCAACAGGTACTTCTAATCCATTTCCCTTTAGAGAGTGACAGATCCAACCATAAGTGACTTAGTCAAAACTAATGGGATCTGAAATCTCATGACAAAAATAAAATTGTTAATCACTCAGTTCTTTATTATTTTTTTACTTTTAAGATTTTATATAAAAATTAAAAAAATAATTAATATTCTAAATTTATAAACATAAGTATTTAAATCATGTTATGTATTTCATTTATTATGTCAATTATCTCAGTTATTTATTTTATTAAAAATATGAATTATTAAAAATAAAATCATAAAAAATTGTATTCATAAAATGATAATGAAAATGAACAAACAAATTGTTGATGTGAAAAAAAAAAAAATTGGAGAGAGTACCATAGCTTTTAGAAAGCTACCCATTCTCTAGATTTTAGACCCAAAATGAATGTGATCATATGATAATCACTATTTGAAGGTAATATTAAACAATTTTGGGATGGTGACCGTTGTTTAGCTCAGTTTTGTTGTTTTGCTACTTTTTCCCGTCTTATTAATTAACAAACGATTAATTGTTACATATACTACAATATGAAAAGGGGATCGATCTTAACTTAGAATATCCCTTTTCGTTAAGATGTAGTCGTATATATATGTGTGTGTGTAACAAAAGCATGAAGCTTTTTCTTATCAACCCATATTCATAATAGGTTTAGCTGTATAGTGTAATGTCCATCTCATTTGTTAAAACTTACAAACCTGGAGTATGCATGGTTATTCAATTATCGTGTTCATAGAGTACATTATATATGAAAATGCACTATTCCAACCCATAACAACCCTGTTAATTAGGATTTAAAAAAATTCAATTAATATATGTTGGGAAAAGTAGACTAAGTTCTATCTGAAAGGGTACCCTAGATATGACAAAAAGGGGAGACTTAGCTGCATTAAACTAATGAAGGGGCTTATCCTTAAGGAAAAATTTCACATAAAATAACGACTAAAGAAACCTTGGGTTGCTTTCAAATGACATATAGAAATTCATATATATTGGGTTTTGTTTGGATATGACGAAGTATTTGCTCGCACGTCCTCTAATAAAGAAAGACCACAGAGCAAGCCAAGCCAATCTGTCAACATGAAAGCCCCGTTTTTAAAGGGCATTCTTCTTCTCTCACCTCCTTCTCCATTTAATTACTTCTCTTTCTTAATTGCTGTTTCCCTCTATTCCGTGTAATCTAGCTAACCCTCTTCCATGCTTAATGCTTAGCTAGCTACCATCATCATTCATCACATCGATCACCATCGCCATATATTGCCACCTTCCAGTGGAATCAAGTGTCAACAACATTACACCAATTCCAAATCTCAAGAAATAATGGACAGAAAGTTTATGAATGAACAAGAAGACACTGACGTAGCTCAAGAAAACATTGCTGAGTCCCCTCCTTGTTCCACCGCCTTCAACATCGATGGCTTGGTCACTTCCCCCACTTCTTCATCAAAAAGAAGGTTAGTATTTATTGATTACCCTGGCTCGAAAATTGAAACTTTGCGACATATGATGCATGTGAAAAGGGTAGTAATTAAACGGGAATTGGTGAATGAATTAAGCAGAAGAGCCATACAGAAGAGGGTGGTGCAAATCCCAATCAAGGAGACAGAAGGGTGTAGGCTAAAAGGAGAAGGCAACACTCCACCCTCGGATTCATGGGCATGGAGAAAGTACGGTCAGAAACCCATCAAGGGTTCTCCTTATCCAAGGTTAATTAGATGAGATTCTATTCTATGCAATTCATGTTTGGTTTGGTTTTTAGTTTTAAGGTTTGTGATGGTGAACAATAATTGAACTGTGAAAGTGTTGTTGACACACGCACACGCACAGAGGGTACTACAGGTGTAGCAGTTCGAAGGGGTGCCCGGCACGGAAACAAGTGGAAAGGAGCCGCGTGGACCCCACCATGTTGGTCGTCACATACTCCTCCGACCACAACCATCCCTGGCCACTTTCTAGAAACCAGGCCAGGCCCACCAAGAAGCCCGAACCGGAGGTCGAGGTGGTACCGGATCCCGCCCAACCCGAGGAGGACAAGTTCCCAGACCTCCCCTCCGACCACTTGGGCTGGTTCGAATTGGAAGCCACCGTTCTCGAAAGCCCAATTATGACAACGGGCTACGATGCTGACATGGCGTCGGTGTTGCTGCCCATGAGAGAAGAGGACGAGTCGCTCTTCGCCGACCTCGGCGAGCTGCCGGAGTGCTCGGTGGTGTTCCGGCAAGGACTGACGGAGGAGAGCCGGCGCTACACGGCACCCTGGTGTGGGACCACAATTTAACACGTGCTGCGTGCGGCACAAGAAAAAGATACTTGAGATTTTAATTTTTTGAAAATTGAGTTTGTTGAGAGTAGAAAATGGAAATGGAAATTGAATAAAGAGCGAACTTGGTTGTAATTAGCGTAACTCTGCCGTCCATTTCAACAGCTTCCGCACTGTGTTTTCAAGATATTTATTTGACTCAACTGCACCCCATCTCCCTCCCCTCCCCTCCCCTCCCTTCTTCTTTCTTCAACAATATATATTCATTAATGCCAATCAATTCATAGAATTCACAATATATTAATAACCATATGAATAAATACTAAAGAAATGCTACTAGCAATATACTATTATATCGGTTTCAATTTATTTATTTCAAGAAATCAAATTTTTTTCTATTTATTTAAGTGAAAATTTTAAATAATGTTAATTATACATATATTTTTACTTAAACCCAACTACTCATAAATATGTTAAGGTATAATCAATATTATTTTATATTAATTCAGTAATTAAAGGTAAGAAATATTCGTATATTAAGAAATTCATCAAATATTTATAATCAAATAATTAAATTGTTATTTTGTGTAATTTTTTTACAAACAAATGAATTAGAACAGATATAGTACTTTATAACACAATTGTTTAAATCTATTATTAATTATTATAATTTTTTTTAATTTTATATTTTATTGATGTTTTATAATTTTTAATAATTTTTAATTAATAATTAAAAATATAATAAAAATATGTTAAACATTGTACTTTTAACATTCTTAACCTAACAAACTTTTACTTAATACTTTTAAGATACAGTGTGTTTTAGATGTTACTTTTATTAAAAAAAACATTTCTTTAGTATTTTTATTTACATATAATTTGTTTTATACATATATAGAAACATTTAAAATAAATGAATTTTAGATTAAAAAATTAAAGACTTTATATAACAAGAAAATAAAATCATACATGAAAAGAATTTGCATCATTTTAGTGTTTCCTTTAAGAGCAGTCATGATATATAATAATTTATATGAACAAATTTTGTTCAGATTGATTAAAAATAAAACTCTTTGTAAAAGTTAAAGTATCATTTTTTTTATAAGTTAGTTTTTAAGAGTGATTTATGTTTAAATTTTTTTAATAAAATTTTCATATTGTAGAAAAGAAATCTTTATATAATTCGCTTAAAAAAAATAACGATTGTTATTTTATCGACTAAATTTTTTTTTCCAAAATAAAAGAAATATAATACATATAAAGTTATAGAATTAAGGTAATGATTCACAATCTACCAATTCATTTCATGACGTACAAAATAAAGATGAAATTATTACAAATATTTGTGTATAAGGAATCAACAAACTTTTATGAGTTGTATCCAAAGACATGAAAATTGATACTTAGATGTAGAAAATCAAGTACACATAGTTATTGATATTTTAGCACAAATTTAAAATTTAATTTTATCTCTTTGATTCTCTTAATTTTATGTTCTTAATTCTATTAATTAATCTATTAATAAAATATAATTAATTCATAATTAATTATTTATTTATTTTTCTGTCGTCTGAAATGAACAAAAGAAATATTTTATTTTTTTCTTTTAACAATTTATAATATTTAGTGGACTTTTTACTGAAATTCAAACTTAGACGAAGTTTTTATCTTCTGTCAAGGAAAAAAGAACAATAGAATTTCTAAGAAATTTTTTTATTTTTTATTTTAGAAACATATGATTATTCATCTTCTTTTCACAATTTATGAATTGCTGGCACATTGAAAATATTTCGAAAGATTTTTAGGAAATAAATCTGATTTTATTTTATTTTTATTTTTTTTTGTTTGAAGAAATGAAAGATCTTAACATTAAAAAAAAAATCAATCTTTCCTTTTAATGGATGAATATTTCTTTAATTGATAAACGTGTGGTTTATATGCTTCCAAAATCAGGAAATATAATAATTGTTATTTTATCGACTAAACCTTGAGGTTGAAAATAAAGAGATTTATCCAATATTATTAAACTTTTTTTGGGGTTAAAACGTGCATAAGAAGTTTTTTTTTTTTTTTTTAGGTTTAGTGTCCATTTGGCTCACTTTTAAAATTAATTTCCTTTATCTTAGCCATTTGAGAATATATATATATATATATATATATATATATTATATTTAATAATAAAAGATTAATTTTATGAAATTAATATTGTCCAATTTCAATGAATATATTTTAAAACTTAAAATGCGTATTAAATATTTTTTGAATTTGTAGTTGAGATCATGATAAAATATATATATACATATATAATAAATGATTAATTTTTAATTAATATTTATAAGTTGACTTTATTATTTAAAATACACTGGTCCCTTGTTTTTGTCTGAGGTTGTAGTATACAAAAAGTCTCAAAGATGCATCGGTCATTTTATAAACTAGTCAGGCCATATGTGTAAGTTTATCTATAAACAGATTCATCTTTGTACTGCAGGCCCAAAGTTAGTGGCTTTTGGTCATGGCCCAAATTTATCTTTCGGATAACCCATTTTCTAAAACAAGATACTGGATGTTGACAAAAATAAAATGATTCTAGATGGCATATTGGGCACTCTTCTTTTTGTCAATAATATTGGGTTCTTTGAGAAGGTCTTCAGCACACAGAGAGACTCTTTGGAGTAGTAAGGCCTAACACTTTTTCAGACTCTTCATGTATTTGTGCTTTGGTGATTAAAAAAACTTGTATTTGTGCTTATGAAATTGGAAGTCCTTTGTTGATGCTTGAATATTCTGGGCTAAAAGTTCATGGAACATGAGAACACAAACTATTGATATTTTTTTCTCAAACATGTTCCAGATGCATATAATAAGTGACAGTTAGTATTTGTTAAGTTCAAAAAGTATAAAGAGAAATATTTTGTGTGAATTATTTTGCTGTTAGAAACATTCACTCGCCAATAATAGCCTAACAAGGCTATTGCATGATGATATTCTACCTATGATCAATCCCCATAGAATCTTTTTTGTAGCTGTTAACTTCATTTGGCAAATAAAGCATCCTCTTCATTTTGATGCTGATTGAACAAAATCAGCACCTCTAGAAATGTTGCTGTGATATTTTGCTCTTTTCCCATATGATCGCATTCATTAATTTTTGTTTTACCCTTAGTACCATTACTTCTAAATCATCACTTTAATCATGCATTCATCCTATTATCTATCTTTAAGATGCTCTTTGTGGGTCTAAGAAGATCTTTCTTTCAGACCCTGATTTACAACCATCACATAATAAAAAAATCCGATGTTCCCATCAAAATTTTAACTCAGAATTTCCAAAAACAGGTTATTGAGGAAACCATAATCATTTCATCATTCCTTCCTCCCCTTTTCTGCAATTCACACCATAGAATGTTTTGGAAATGAAAGGAGGGAAAACCCAAACCCAAATTGGTAACAAAAAACTTTCAGAACCATCATGCCTAACCATCATTATTGGCACACGGGCATTTAGTGAAATGATGCTAAAACTTTCTCCTTGTAAAGTCTTGCGATACATATACCCATGCTCATTCCCTATTCTTGTACCTAAAAGAAGGAAACAAAATCTGACATTTTAACTAGAGAGAATTAAAAAAAGGTAAGAGTTAGCTCACCACAATACATACATAAACATAGTACAAGGGAAAACAAGAAATGAAAATGAAACATCTTCCCACAGGGAAAAACCATGTATATTTGAATATTTTATGTAAAAAGAAAAGCTGAAAACATAAAGAGAAAGGATACAATATGGACTAGTTGCCGATGAGGTTGTCAGAATTTTGGTCAAACTATCAACCCCATGTGCATTCTTAATTCATTCAATAAATAAACAGACTTAATTCCATCTTAATTTCATATCTATAAATTACTCACACCAATTCATTTGAACATGCACAAAATCTCAAATATAATGTTTACAAAATAATGCCTAACATTTTTGCATATGATATATATGTGAACAAACTGGGGTCCAAGAAATGATTAGTCTCACATCTACACATGCTTCTGTTCTCACCACCAACCGAAATGGAAAAGCTTTAGGATAACCCACGAAGTAGGGCCACTCCAAATTGAGTTTGTGATTCTCCATTACCTCCAAAGAGTGCCTTCCTCACACACATTTAAATGCAGGTTCTTATAACAAACAAACTGAACACTTGGCATTCAAACACCAAACAAGAATCTCAATATCTCATATTATGGTGCTCACGACCTATCCATGATTGCATACAGCCATACACGTCCTTATCACAGTTCCCACCTTCTGCATCATTAGCCCCTCTTCAAATTTGTCTCCTTTTCAAATGCTACATCACTCACAACCTGTATCCTCATCATCTCACATGCACCACATTGGCCTATTATCATTATTCAAATTTTCTTTTACCCTTGCTCATATCTCTAAGTGAAATGCTAGCAAAAACCAATATAGCCCATGAAACCTCCCCACAAAAAATTCAACTTGTCTCAAAACCTGTATCTGATAGGTTGCTGGAGAAGTTCTATGATGTATCACAGTTTGACTTTGATTATGAGAAAAGTGGGTTGTGGTCTCCACCAATTCCGCGCACAGTGTTCTTGAGCTCACCAGGAAGGATATTCAGTGAGCAAGAAATGCTTGAAAGACTCAGAAGCAGAAATGGACGAAGACATAGCAAAAGAATCAAAGTCTGCTTCAGTGTACAAAGATGCTTCTTTCCCTGTTCCATTGGTTCCAAATGGTACATGTCAATTTCCTCTGATTTTTTCCCTAATTTGCACTGAAAAAATTCTACCTTATTCTTTTTTGCAGGTGTTCTGTTGTGCCTGACACTAAATGTAAAGAAAGTAGCACTGCTTCTTGTTAGCATACAAAGTGAATCCAAAACTTCCATATGATTGCATTATCAAATTCACAGGAATTTATATGTATTGATTTATTTTCTTTTTCTTTAGTCAAATTGATGTATATGTCATTTTATAAGCACATAGAGTATCAATTCTGCTGTCCATTCTTTTCACTGGAGATTGCTTTAGTACCTTTGGGTCCCTTTGTCACATTAAGACGCTCTAATGTCTATTCTTCATCATTGATTGAGATGCTAATAGCCGCCTGTTGATATAAGGTTGTGTCAACACAATTCCTCTTTTCTGTTAACACAATATTTTCAAATCCTTTCGGAACAAATTCATAGTAACGAAGTAGTGATATAGAAAATAGGAAAAGGCTTATCCATTCATTATCTTTATTGTGCTGGCACAATAGGCCCGTTTGCCATTTTGTCCAAAAGCATTTCAAATCAAGAGTACGAAGGGCTCTGTTAGACTGTCACCATAACCAAAATTCTATGTGGACACAACGCTTTTAATTTCTTGAAATCTTTATTTTCACTTCCAACTGGAAACCCTTATGGGTCCTTTTCCAAACAGTTTCATTATTCTGATTTTTTAAATTGACACTTTATGTAACACTACCACTTTTTTTTTTTCACAATTAATCTCTCTCTCTCTCTCTCTCTCTCTCTCTCTATATATATATATATATATATATATATATCCCAAAATACTAAAAAAAAAACATTTTTCAATGCTTACAAAACATTTTCCTAATTATGAATTTTCAAGAGTTGGAGATTGAAAAAGTGGAGCATTAGATTTTATGCCTACGTTGTAAAATGTTTACAAGCCAGACTAGTAATAATTACAGGAGAAAAAATAATGCGAGAAATGTGGATTTTCTAATATTAATGTTCTTTTCTTCATTTTTTTATACCCCAAATCTAATTTACTTAAACTGACACAAAAAAAAAACTTAATGAATAATTTACTTAGATGTAATTGTGGGTTATACAAATAATTCCTAATTTAGTGGAACGAAATTATTATTAGATTAGAAAGGTGAGATATTTATGACTAACCAATGGCCATTCTCTGCGAAGTTTCCACGATGGAACGGTAACCTTCCCATATGAGAATTTTCCAAATCTAAAAAGAACTTGATGCGTGTGTACCAAAGTTTCTGAGGAAATATTCCAAATGAGAAGCGGCTGAAGAATACTAGGAAGAAGGTGAATGTTGTTTTATCCTAATCACTCTCCTCTTTCTTCGTTGCAATATGTTTCGTGAAATTCACAACATCGAAGAAGGTTACTTAGAGTGATTACATATCATTGTACAAGTATTTTTATTAATGGGTCTTGTTTACAAAGTGACCAACGAAAACTAGCTAAAATTTTTAAATATATTCTATAAATATTTTTAATCAAATAAAAATTATGGAAAGAAATGTATTTTCTATATAATGAATGCTTTTTCTCCTATATTATAACATCTTATTTTTGTTTTCTTAGTTAATATTGACCATATCCTATTAGCAACTTTCTAGAAATGTCACCAAGAATTCACCAGATAACTAGTCCCTTTGGAGAACCTACCTCCAGCTGGTATTTTGAACGCACCATCATAAGAAATTAACATAAAATATTGGTTATAATTTTAATGATGGAAACATGCCAACCATGAAAAGATACGATGTAACAGAAACACATTTCAAGTGAAACAGACCGGTAAGCGACCAAAAATGTTAGGGGTTCGATGTTACAAATTGAGAGTAATCCAAATTCTACTCCTAACAGAGTCATATTTAGGAAGTAGAGATTATCAATGTATGAAGTAACAGCAACACAAATTCTTGAAAATTTTCAAACAAATTGTGTAACTGTGCTGTCCTTGGTCCTAAAACCAATGCATGTGCCTGAACAATATGTAGCACTGGATGGTCACCACATGTCTCTCAACACACCTTTTCTGATAAGATCCGAAACAATCATATTGAAGGTTACAGAATTAACCCAGGAATACCATAAGGTTAAAATTCTAGAAGAAGTAATCAATATAAATATAATTATCATCTCATTTCCAGTTGAGTAATTTGGAAAGTAAATTCATAATATTCCTAATTCCATCATAAATTTGTTCTCCACTCCAATTTCACAGACACTATGATGAGTTTTGAAACTGCCAACTCCATGGACATGCTAAGAGGACACTCAAGGAGCTCATTGTGTGGGATCTCCCTTCCACTATTTATACATTCTACACCTACACTCCAAAGCTGCACAGAGGAACAGCAAATGATGAGTTGAACCGTGTTTGATTGCTGAGAAAGGAAACTGTTATCAACTAGTAAGTATCATATGTAATGTTTTTGTATATTTATAAAATACAAAAAATTAAATTAAAACATTATATTAATTGATAGATTATTATTTTATTGATAATAAATATAAATATGTAGATATTTAGATTTTGTAATTTTAAAATCTCAAATTATTTTAATGATGATTTACATTCTATTATATTTAATATTGATTAATAAAATTATAGAAAATAAAAATATCCTTTATTTAAATAGCTTATCAAGATATAAATTAGTATCGATTCAATGTGAAGTTCATGACACGTCAGGATATAAGAAAAACACATGATTTTATATGAAGAGAAAATATGAGATGAAGCTATGAGAATTAAAATGATGTCTCAAATTTAATATTATTATGGATTCTAAAATGATTGGATTGATTCTCCAAGAAACCAGATCTTTAACTTAGGTGTATATGAATGATTACACTAACAAGACCAGGATTGAGAACTTGGGAACGATACAAGGGAAACGGTGAAAGGTAATATATATAATCAATTCGAAAGAATTTTAAAGAGAAGAAAGAAATGGGGTGTCATTGTTCAAGGAAAAATGTAAAAATAATGAACAACTTGTGAAGTTTTAGAAAAGAAAAAAAAATGTTAAATAACAGCAAATTAATTTTTTTTTATAAAAAGGATAATATATGATTATTTTTTTCCTAAAGAATAAAAATATTTTTTTTTTTAAGACTCTTATCTCTTACCCTTCAAACACTTCCTTTTCGCTTCTCTTTAAACTTTCAAATAAAACTTTGATAAATATTGATGGATCACTTTATTAGCATATAAAAACAAAAACAAAAAATAATTAAAGAAAGTTATTTGATTGATGAAGATAGTATGACTCTTACTAATAATAAGAAATCGTGTAGATAAAACACCAAAATTATGTTTCCAGCTCGAAACTCTAATAACTGTAAAAAGATAAGAAAACTATAGTTTTGTCATCCTACAGTCTGAATATAAAATTAAATGAACATAAAAATTCCTTGCTTCCTATTTGCTAGAATAAATGAGGCAAAGGAAACCATGAATCAACACAGAATATACATGCATCTCGTAAGGTAAAATTCATGTCTAACTTAGTTTTAAAAGGTATCACATATTTGTCAAGTTTCTCTTTAGATACAAGGACTATGTACAGATCTCAACATCCTCACATCTGCAATGTTTATAGCTGAACAGCATTACAGGAACACTAAACAGAAACAGAATTTTGTAGGAGAGCTTCCTTCCCAGTAATGCCTTCTTTCAAATTTTTAAAATATATGTCATAATCCTTTTCTGGAGGAGGGTTTGCTGGATCCACAGAAAATGGCTCACTAAATGGAACAACACTTTTGACCTGCAATAGAGATAGTTATGTAAATGTAGCTTGCAAAATAGTGAGACTGTCCAAAATCAAATTACTAACCATTACATGCACTTATGCCCATATAAAAGCCTGAATGCACTGTGTTTTTCCATAAATAGAAGCAACAATAGCGCACTCAATAAAAGGTTAATATACTATTCAGGCCAAAGCCTGGATGGAGCAGGGTCCTCCTCTCCTAAAAGGAGGTCCTCAGTTCAAGAGAATTTTACATTACATCTAAAAAATGTAAAATACTAAACAAATTATGATAAACATGAACACAATAAAAGAAAAGGTTGACCTCAAACGTTTTGTCACATGCATAAGGGCTATCGAGTGCTGCTACACAAATACGAGCAATTTCTTCCCGTGATATTTTACCCTGTTAATTTGCAATAGATTGGCAAAATGAGCAAAACGCTACTATATAGATATAGTTACAAAAAGTTGCCAAAAACGAAAAAGTCAAACAGAAGCAGAAATATATTGAGATAGAAAGTTTAGTAAGAGCACTTGAACCGGAAAGGATCCATTTTCTGTGGTCACTATACCGTAATATTATCTCCTTGATCAAAGATAAGATCAGCACCAGCAGGCTCCTCAGTTAAGGCACAAGGCCTCACAATTGCATAGGGAATGCCACTTTCTCTAAGTAGATCCTCACCCTATTGCAACATCAACCATAGTTAGCAAATAAAGATGTGACACAGAAATGGGAATTCCATAAACAGGTTATGCTAAGCAATATGGAGGTTCCTTGAGCTACCCTTTATGGAGAAAAAATACTTCTTTTCTTCAGTAAACTTGAGCGAGGGGAAAAAAATTTCAGTTTAACAGGCACTCAAATTACAGCAAAATTCAATGGTTGACCATTTACCTAATTTATATGTAGGAGTAGAAATGAGTTGATTTTAATTAGACTTTATAAAGCATAAGTCTAACCTATTTATTATATATAAGGTTTTTTTTCTTAAAATCTAGCCTTTTGCCATAAAATTTGTTTTAAAAAACTACTTTGCATTAAGATCTCTAAACAGGCTAACAAGTATAATTTTATAACATTATAAAAAAAATAATACACAAATAAGTAACAACAAAAATAATAATAAATAACAATAATAATATTTAAAGAAAACTTGCATGTGCAAATAATAATGCTTCAAAAATCAGACTAGTCATTAAAATTGTAAAAGCAGTAATATGACCAGAATTGAACCCTAACGGAACCAAAGATATATAAATACAAATTTTTAATATACAATATTATAAGGAATAAAGTAACACAAAATCATAAAGAATAAGTTAACATAAAATGGCCATATTCTATGTTTTGTAAGATTAAAAAAAATCAATAATAATAGGTGAGGGAACCTTTATTCATGAATCTATTTAACTTTGTAGCAGAGGGGGACGGGGGGAGGGTTATTAAAAAATTACAAGTTACAACAACTATTTCAAACTGGTTTTAATCACCAGTTTTGCTATAGTTTAACCAATTCTCACTTCTAAAATCAACTAGTTTTGGGTTTAATGGTCTAGACAACTAAACAGTTCACTATTTTTCTAGTTGAACTGTCTGGTCCAGTCCAAATATTTAAACATAGGTAATATCACTAAGTAAATGATAAATATTTAGAGAACAGCCACCTAGTGTTCATTATTTTAGCGTAGTTGGTTAACTTGGTCATCAGCCTATTTAGTTTATATATATAAAACACCAGATTATTATTACATTCACGAGCAAGGAAGCTACAACAAACAAAATGAATATAAAGGATGTTAAAATGGTCTAGGCATTGAACTCAATGACCAATAATATGATGCTTAATTTCAGCTTCAATTATCATATCTGGAAAAAGAGGGGGGGAAATCTTAACCAACAAAATCAGTTCTGCAGACCAAATAGATGATAGAGATCCATAGTCTGAAAAATGGATACTTGAAATTTTTTTAATATATTCATGCTAAACAAGGAGCCATGACCAGTTTTTTACCTTCAGTTTAAATGTGAGGATATAATCCAATTCCTTGTTTAATCGAACTGCTGGAGGCTGTTTACTTAGATCAAGTCCAGGCCTTTCAGGTCTGGTAACTCCGGCTGAGCTCACATGTACAAATCTAAATGTGACAAAAAAAAAAGCATACAACAAAAGATTAAGTACATCAGGGGGGAAAAGGAGGAGAGAGAGAACAAAAAAGATAAGGCTATACTTAGGCATTATGGGATCCTTTATATATGCCCGTATGCTTGATACTGGAAGCTCAAATGGACCTTCCACAAAAGTTTCATTTAATTTACCATCATACTCAAACTTGCTGAACATGAGCTGCAGAGAATTTTGTTTCATCATTAAGAACAGTACGAGAGATTTCTAAGGCAAAAGATATAAAGAAATACTAACAACAGAGCCATGCCTGCAATGATACAATGATGCTTGGATCAAATGGTGGAGCATCAGGCACAGTTCTTGCTCGAAATACAGGCCTCAGGGAAGAAAATGGCACTTGAATCTATGAAAGACAAAAGAACGACACCCTTGAGTGTCAATATTAGATAATATAGAATGTAACTATTGCATTAGATGCGGACTACCGATTGCCATTTGCCTTTCTCAGTGTTAAAGCCTGCAGTGTAACCAAGAGTGTCCCAATCATAGCTTGTGCGAACAATGACTTTATATCTTCGGCCATCTCCTTTTAGGCGAAACTCCAGACCATCATATGCAGAAAGATTCTCAGGTTCTGAGAAATTCTGAAAACCAATCACGAAAACTCTCCTTTTCAAATAATAACTCAATTTTTCAAAGTAATTAGTTAAATAAAGTGAAATCAATATGTTCATCACAGCAACAACAATAACTGCTACTTGTAGGCAGGCAACAGCAAAAACTTAGAGATAATTATAGTCAGGCAATTCCAAGACATGCATATTTAATACAGAAAAAATGAAACAATTGAGTGTTTCTGTTCCATTATTCCTAAAGAACTGAAAAAGAAATTTTCAGATTAGTCTACTTATTGAGTCAGGTAGCAATTAGCAAACATAGTATCATTTCCATTTGTCAGGCTTCATTGGAAAAATATAAAAAATCACAGTTTACCTTTGTTCTGATACTTGTAAAGCCACCATTGTTTGCTGTTGAAACAACACCTGGGCTAGATACACAATTGTATTATTTTGAGCAATAAAACACCGGAATTTATCACAGTCACCCAAAAGTTCAGTCACATACATTTTGCAAGAATCTGACACATACCTTTAAAAACCCCAGTTGGTCCGCCATTTTCACCCCCAGTTGGGTCAATTTGAAAAGTACTTTCACTAACTCCGCCCATTACCACATCATCTAAAGCACCCCAAGGAAGCTGCCTATAATTATTACCTGCAAGGGAAATATAAAACAGATTTTATAAACAAGATGCACAAAAGTATAACTATAAACATTTGTAATTTGTTCTCTATACACAATACAAACTAACAGTAATTATATACACTACAACATGTTGGAAGTACAAAGCTAATCCATTGACTGAAACAGTCTTCTATTAATTCTGACAGCCGATTCAATAAGTCTTGCAACTTGATGTTCAAACTTCAATCCAATATCCAATATGTCAAATTATTACCCTTTAAATTTTCTTCCTACTATTAGCATACCAGAACTTGTCTTAAGTTTGATGGTCATTGGTCATTTATATGCTGAAAAATTATCAGGCATTTAAAAAGTTGAATCAAACACAATCAATTGTTATTGTTAACTAGGAATCTACCTTCAAATCCAAATAATAGCTTTCCTCTTCGAAGTCCAAGATTGTCCTTCACAGCCTTGATTAAATTTCTCATTCCTATGTACTCTACCTTTTCTGGTGAATCACCTTTTATCTGCTTTCAATAACCATTAACTTAGAAAAAAGCTTCTAGAGTTTTACAAAATGAGCTTGCAGACCAACTGGACTTCCAAATTAAATAGAGAAGAATAAATCTGACTTTGAAGATAGTGTCAACAGAAAGTAAAATCAGTAAGCTACCTCCGGCTCAAAGAACTTAATTCCCTGCACCATAAATAATTTCATTCTGTTAGAGAAAACTAATTATGAAGCCTTCAGCAAACAATCATGTAACTAAAACCATTGAGAAAAGAAACGTAAGTTAATATTATCACACTCATTTCTCACTGATAGATGAGCATTGATTACTGCACAAGAAGAGTCAAATTGCTACTGTTTAATAGAAGCACTGGACATACTTGGCTATATTTTGCTCTATCTGGAGTGTCTCCTTCCTTAGGGCCAACAATGACAGAAGCAGCATTTATCACTTTCTTCACTCCTTTAAAATATTCAGGTATCAAAGTGCTATCTTTTGTAATATCTCCAGTGACCTTAGTTTAAGCATAAAGGTCAGTTGGCATCAGAGAAACTCAAGGAAAAAGAAACTATCAATTTTTATCTATCATGCAGCTAAAAAATATGAAACACAGAAAATTTCTGCATTCGTTATCTTCTGCCAAGTCTTGAAACTTCAGAAAATCCTCCATACAAAAATTAGCTTAGAACTTTAAATGGCCCAAAGTCAATTGATTATCTCTTCCCATACAAACGCATCACTCCAATTCAGTTACACCACATTCTCAACAAAATGATAAACATTAATCTAATCTACCAATGTTTAGAATTGGAAGCCCAAAGCAAATTGTTGTGAACTATAGAAGTACATATTTATTTGATCATTTGTAAAGTCTTTCCATACATTCAATTAAAGTGACTCACCAAATCAACATCTGAGCCTAACATCCTTCTTGCCTTCTCTTCATTTCTGACCTGATAAATATTGACACAAAAATTTAATATTTGTTATCCACTGAGTTCAAATATTTATAGACTGAAAAGTCTTAAGATTTTTATTTATTTTTTTATTTCAAGAAACTATTATTTGCAGTGTAATCTTGTGAGAAAGGTAAGTTAACAACAATACCAATACTCGGACTGGAATTCCTTTCTTCCGTAATATGTCAACCACTCTTCGACCAACGCCGCCAGTAGCTCCAGCTACGAGCACAATATCAGAAGTTCCCATTGAGTTAACTGATTCACTTGGGGAAGGACCAGATAGTTTCTCAACTAGAAAGTCAAAGAACTTCACAATTCAGGAATGACGAATACTCATTAGTTGATCCATACCAAGCTTTTTTTTTTCTTCTTTCTATCATTCTTAACTTATACTAGTTTAAAATCAACTAAATTGTCACCTTAGCAGGAGATGGAAAACCATTGAAGAAGTACAGCGTTTTTACAAATCTTCCAAAATCCCAATTTTGCCTTCCAGCTTCAGCTGATATTGAAAATTTATATGTTCCAGAAGCAGAAGAGAGTCTGGTTGACGAACGTTCAGAAACTAATGTGTGAGGTCTACCATAAATCTGAAGAAAAGGTTTAGGCAGTGTAGGTGATGCCAAAATGGTGTGTGAAGATTTCTTACAAAACTTGATTCTGGGCAATTCAGGGCCCTGCGAGATGAAGCAAAATTGACATCAATCAACAGTGGGAAGTTTCATCTTTAGCAACAACAGCAATTAGAATCAGCAATAGCATGAATAAGGATAAGAATGCCTCCACTGAACTCATCAATTGCATAGGCTTTATATGCTTCTCCCAAAAAAAATATTTTGAAATTCAGGAAAGGCAAATTGATCCAACTTGAGTCCATCACATGATAAAAAACAAGCTTCATGTTTCTATCAAAGAGAAAGAAGTGAGAATGTTACCTGAAAACTGAGAAGAGAAGTGGAAAGAGGGGAGGAGAGAGTAGTGAAGCACATTTCCATTTCCAAAGTAATTGTAGCAATAAGCTTCCAAATTACGTTCCCATGATATTTGCGGTGCAGGATTTGTATCAACCACAAACGCATTACTGTTTTTTTATTTATTTTAATCCATTACTGTTTTTTCGGTCTCTTTATTAAACAATAAGAAGCATTTTGTTTATTTTAATTATAAAAATATCTCTTTAGCTTGTGTTTAACTACATCATAAAAAATATTACTTTTATTAAATTATGATACTTAATATTATCAATTATTAAAATTTTATATTTTTTATTCAATAGTTATTGTGTTATGTAAATTTTTCTTGTCTCTTTAAATATATATTAAAAATTTATTATAAAAATTATACCTTTATTTTTTTATAAAATTTATATCAACAAGATAATTAGTTTTTATGATGTCATTTAATACGATAAGTATTTTTAATAAAATATATATTTATAAAGTATAATTAAATTATTGATTATAAATAATGAATTATTTATTTATTTTTATAATAATAACAAGACAGTATTTTGTTATCCTTTTTCTCAAATCTGTTCATTTATGTAGTTATGAATTTGATTATGCTTTGTTTAATAAAATTTTAGGATTTATTTTACTTTTCAATAAGTCATTTGCAAATTTTTGGTACGGTTATTTTTAAATTTAAATAAACAATATAAATTATATTAAAAATTAATGAATATTTTTATTATAAATAATAATATTTTATCAAATTAAAATATGTTAAAGAGATAAAATTTTAAAAAATAGATTATCTAAATTAAAACATATCATTTTTTAGTATAATAAATTTATTAAAATTATACTAATTTTAACATCTCTAAAAGAATATCTAATTTAATATATTATATATAAATTAAAATTAAAATATAATTTAATTAAAATTAATGAACCTTAGGAAATAATATATTTTTTTAAGTATCATTCATCGCACCATTCTCCGATTTAAGTGTCACGTATTACATCACTAAATATCAATTTTCTAAATATTAAAAAACCTGAATGATTGTCAGAATAATCGTAAGTAAATAAAAGAAAAATAAGCAAAAGTGCGTTTGCCGGGAGTCGAACCCGGGTCTATTGCTTGGAAGGCAATTATCCTAACCGTTGGACTACAAACGCTATGGCTTCATCAATGGAAATATTTATTTATAATACAAGTTGTTGATAAAATATAATATAATTTTTTTGAAAATTTAATAATTTTTTCCTGAAATTTTTTTTACGCATACACTTAAGAAAGTTACTAATTTCGATAATAATATTATTTAATATTTTAATTAATAGACTCTTAGTATCAAAATACATGTTAGAGACAATTAACAATTGTTGAATATTTAGATGTTATTTTCTGAAATGTTAAAATGATACACATATGAGATAAATGAACTTGCAACCAAAATTGCAGAGTCTTATTCATGTGGCTGAAAAATTATGAATTAACTACGTTATCATTAGATATGTAACAAAATTAAAATGATTCTATGTTTTTTGTTGTTTGTAAATTATATAAAAGTTTTTGAAGCGTTATTTCATTGAAAACAGGTAAATAATTTAATCTAAATACTTCTTCTTTACCATTTGATATGCTTCGTACTAGAATTTATGAAAATTTCTTTAGTTTATTTATATTATCTTGTTATCTAAAGATGGTTTTAGAAGAAGGTAGTCCTATTTTGCTGTATATCACATTCCAAATTTCTATCTTTTTACATATAAAAATAAAAGGTAACATCCGGTTAATATACATACGTTCCAGTGAAATTCTTAGTCAATGCCTCGTTCGAATGAAGTCCACATTAGATGCTAACTATAGTTCATTTATAGATGCTTTATTGTTGTATATGGTGATTTTGTGTTGGATCATAAAGTGTTGTTTTTGTAAATGTCGTTAAGAACATATTGAAGTTATCTATTGTACTTCAGTGATTTTGTAGTGTCGATGAAACTTGTGAAATTATACTTCAATAAATAAACTTTTCTCAATTGTTCGAATAATGTTTACATGTTTGTTTGAACTTTAATTAATAAATCATCAATAAACTTACTAAATTGGCTAAAAAAATATTTTCTTTAATCATTGAACCATCCAGTGAAAAAAAGAATACATATATTTTGTGGAACCTACAAATATCGTGAAACCCATAAAATAAATGCATCTTTCTCTCCTACTAAATGATTTAGTGACCGGAGAGACTTTTAATTCAAATTGGCTAGTTCATTTTACATTCTGTTCATCCCTTTCTTCTTCACATCAAAGTAATTTAAACTGTTTTAAAAAAGAAAGACTTTAAACTTAATTACCTTAAAGCATCTAAACAAAAAATTGAGAAAAAAGAAGATAAAATAAATATATTTTTCGTAAATCAAAATTAATTTGTGTATTTTAAATTTTAGAGAAGTTAAACGAGATATTTTAAACAAATACAAAATAATTTTAGTTAATAAACAATTAATTATTTTTTGTTAATATTTATTAAAATTTTAATCTAAAGTAGACATATAAGCGGAGTTGATAAACACGTTTAAGAGCTTTGGAGTTTTTGTCAACATTTTCTTACGGGTAAGGTTTACCAGACATTGCATATCAAAATAAAAGACATTGCTACTAATTTACTATAGTGATATTTTTGGTGGCGAAAGTTTTTGATTGGTGTCTTATTATAGTGATGATAATAATGTGGTTCTAGCATTGCATATCGTGTTTCAACTTTATGATGACATGAAGGCAGACAAAGGGAGAGTACTTTCGGTAATTAGGTAAATCATGTCCCAAGGGAAACACCTGAGCTGTGACAAGTGTGAATAATTCTGTATGCATTCTTCCCAGCACCTTTTCTCTTCTTTATACCTTTCTTTAAAGATAAATTATTTGCCATACCCATTGTTATCCTATCCAACAACATAGATTCACTTCGCCTCTCATTATTCTTATCCTTCAACGTCATTCAAAGCCACACTGTTATTTTCCTTTTATTCAACATATCTTCTGTTCAAAATGCATGGTTCATTCTATGAGATCCCAATGGCCCAATAAACCTTTTACTTTTTCTTCTTCTTATACCCTTTGTGTTTTCTCTGTGATTCAGTTGTTGACATGTATGGGACAATGTGTGAACGGAGTTTATCAATATAAACACACAGGCTATTAAACCATAACAAGCACAAAGTATATTATTTTACAGTTTTGTTTAATTAATTTGACTATTTTGAGTATTTTCACTTGAATGTAGGAAAAGTAAATCATACTTTGAAGTCTTTTTAATGATCACTTAATTAGGTGATATATAAATTCAGTTCGATTTTCACCCATAAAATATATAGAGATTGTCAATTTTGTGGAGATTAACAATGTTTATGTTTTGTTGAGTCTCGTTAATCAGGTTCTAAGAATATTTGTTAAAAAATAATGAATGACAACTTTTTATTTAAAATTACAAGATGGGTATATTTTAATATTTTTAAACATTTTTTCATTAATTTCTTTTGAAACAAATTAAAGTTATTAATCTTTTATATAGTCATTTACATAATATTTGTAAATATCCATCAAATTCATGAATATTTAAAAACTATATAACTTAAAACTAGTATTTATCCGCCAGCACGAAAATTCTAAGTTCTATCCGTCATCTTGCTATGCACATTTTCATTTTCGATTATAGGCATGTTACTCGGCCATGGCCACAATTGTAATAATGGTTATTTACTTTTTAATTAGTAAAGTGATTTCAGCCTTTTTTGTAGAATGATGATCACATAATTAGCAAAATAAATGATACAATTATCTCTAATGCATGGAATACACATCATTTTTATATTTTTAATTCAATCTTTCTTCTCATCTGCAAAGCCATCACGTAGTTCTGAATAGTGATTTAAGAAAGTTATGGGTGGTTATTACTTATTTGTGAAAATTAAGAACTAGTTTTATAATTTCAACAATTAAAATGATTTATATTATAATATAATGAACTAATTTAATAATTTACTGTAGGACTTGGGTACATTAGATAGTGGATTGGTTCGAATGATTAGTTTCACTAAAAAAATAATGATAGATCTGGCCCTTACTCTAGGAGCCTGTGTTGTCCAATAATAATGGACAACATTGTGTAAATAATTATAGATCTAAAAATTCCAAAAGTATTATATTTTTTTAGTAAGGATAATAATTGGCAAATGAAAATTTTAATTTAATCATGATAATGATGATTTTACTTGTTTCTAATGCATGTAACCTTACTTAAATAAATGATAAAGATAATAACGATATTATTACTGTTATTACATTATTTTTCATCATAACGTTTTGAAATTGTATTTATTTAACACTAATAATTTATAAAAATAATAATAACAATTTAATCTAATTCAAACACCAACTAACAAAACCGTTTTAACTTTAATGGTCGTGTGTGGACGTGTATTGGTGTAATATCCTAATTCATTTAATATATTACTAATATCTTAATTAACTATAGAGACTCACCAACATTTCAATGCAAACACACACACACACACACACCCATTGCATTCCATTTTTTCAAACCCCACACATCTTATTTTTGACTTGGCTATCCCTTAAAGCTAGCTTCATCTCCAAGCTCTCACTTTCTCTCTCTCTCTCTCTCAACCCATTTTCTCCATTTTATATATAATAGCTACGTATCTTAATATCTTATTGCATTAACCTACCCTCATAAAGTTTCGCAATTGCTTGCTGTAGTTCACATATGGCACGACCCTCCACTTGGGTGCTCCTCTTCATTCTTCTCTTTGCTTCACTTTCTTCATCTTTAGAAGGCAGAAAGCTCCTTCTGGGAGCAGAGAAACAATGGAAGAAAGCGAACCCTTCTTCAAGGGACAGTTTGTTTCTGAGTGCCCTTCCTAAGGGCACAGTGCCACCCTCTTCTCCAAGCAAAAAAGGGCATGTCGTCGAGGTTGATGAGAAGCTCACAGCACGACACCTCATAAGCATCGATCGAGTTCTTCTTCGTTCTGTCCCCAGCCCTGGTGTTGGACATTAATAATTAGCTAAAAGCTAATTTCTGTGTTTTTTTTTTCTTTAGTTTCTTTGTTGGAATATGACCACAATTTTTTATTGGTTCAGTTTTGTTCATTGTCAGATTCTTGGTAGAGGAGGGGATTGTGATATAAATCGTAGGACATAGTTGAATTGTGTAAAAGTAGAACCTTAGAACATATATATTGTCTTTGCTTTCCTCTCTTTTGGGACTATATACGATTGTCCTGAATCAGAGAGAAAAAAGAAGATGAATTTTTAAATACGTTAACTTTATTTTTGGGTATACTCCTAAGGTTTGCATCAGCTTTTTCTCAATTGGAATTATTTTTTATAGTGCCATTTGGAACAGAGGGTTTGCCCGTTTGAGAGGAATTGTTGATTTGGGACAGGGGATCCACGAAGAGATCATCCCATTTCAAATTATTATGACAGATAAATAAGATCCATTTCAAATGATTCTCTCGTGACTTGACGATAGTATCATCAGACCACACAAACCGGACGTATTGTATGATTCCATTTTGTGTAGTTTTCCAAAACGAAACATAATTAAGTACACTTTTCAGTACATTATTAAGACGTTAATTTAGTGATACGACTTAATGGCATTCATTTCAAATATCTAAAATTCCATTTTTACTATGTCTACATATTATTACTAACTTCAACTATTGATACTAGTTAAATTAATCGGAGTTGCTATGGTTTCTTACAAGGATAATACCCATAATGAATTGTCAAAATTTTATAATAGACATTTGAAATATATATACATATATATATAACTCGCTGTCCATAACCAAACTGCAATGACAATGTTACAATTAGGAGTGTTGGTTAAAGAATAAAAAGAAATTAAAAAAATTGTGTTAAAAAGTGCAGTAAATTTTTTTATAGTACTTATAATAAAACAAATTTCAATTCTTGAACATCAGTTAGTATTTGTCATGCCTAATTACTAGCTAACTAGTTAAATACTAGGTGGGCTAATTAGGGATTTTAATTTCAAATCCACCTAAGACAAGATTTAGATAATGTTTAGTAGGCTTTTGTAGTATAATTAGTCAATAAAAATATAATAAATATTATTTTATACATGTGAAAACTTTAAAATGAACAATGCCGTGGTTTGAAAAATCTACATATTAATACTATTTATTATTAATTAATGAAAGGAGTAGAACACAAGGAACTTGAATTTGGTATTGTGCTTTGCGAAAACATCGGAAATGAGATATGATAGACGGCAGAAAAACGGAACCCATCGCATCATATAACACATAATGGTAGTCAATCTGATATTGGGGTACTTAGAAGAAAAACTCGTACCAGCTGGAACACATTGAAATTCTTGGCCTTGGATTAGATATACTCATCTTCAGAAAGCATGGTTGGTGAGATCTTCAATTTTTAAGTATAAAGGAGGAAAAATATGGCGTTAGATATGCAAGTACTGGTCTGCCACTTGGGTTACATTTTGGCACAAAAACTAGCACCGGAAAAGACTCAAAGCGCGTCCAGGAACCAAGATATCCCTCATCCTCACTCTTTCTTTACAAAGGGATCACCGTCACTGCCCTTTCCACACATTTTCTCACCCACAACTATTTTTTCTTCTTTTTTGCAGTCTTTCACTTAGCATTTTGCCCAATCATAATGTTAGTCTCGTTTGCAATTTTCTCTTTTAACATTAATTGTATCATCAACATTTTTTACATTACTCTCCTAAATCATTCCACACACAATGGGAGACGTCAGCTGCTGCCACTCGTTGGCTTCCGAGGAAACAGGAAGGTAGAAGACGCTGAGAGTAGCTATGAAGTTTCCAACTTGTAAAAAAAAATTGCAAGTGTTGTAAAAAAAGGAATATAATTTTTCTTGTAATTATAAGAATTTTTTATTAACAATTTTTTAGGTAATTTTTTAATTACAAATACATAAAAAGTAGATAGGTAATTTAATTCGGCAACTAAAATTTTTATTTTTTTAATTGAATAAAAAAGATCTATTTGACAATTTATTGCTGACTTACTAGCAAAAGTTAACATAACAAATAACATATGTGAGATAACATTTTATCAAATAAAGTATTTTTATAAACTAATTATTGTGTCTTTAATTATTTAAATACATCAATTTTATATATAATATATTTACATTGAGGCATTTAAATAATTTAATTTTATCGATAAATTTATTAAGATGTCAATTCAGTAACGTGTTATTCTCACGTATGTAAATCGTTAGTCATCGTAGTAACTTTTATTAGTGATTGGACCACTAACCACATGACTTGAGGTTTTTCAATTAGAAAATTTGATTGCTGCAATCTGCACAAAATTTATCAAGCCAAAAAAACAATTAATTAAACCAATGTATTTAAATAAAAAAAAGGTAATATTCTCATGATTAACATCAAAGTAAATTAAAATAAATAATTCAAACTATTTTTCAGAATATTATCCTCCAATAAAAATAAATCACTATTTTTTTTAATTAATTACTTCAACTTTAATGATTTAGACTAAACTAAACAGCCTTTTAAGAAAATAAGAAAAAACTTAATAAAAATAATGAGAATGTAGGTGAGTATATCACTTTAGCTATATTTTTATCACAAATGGTAGGATATTGATGAATTTATTTTAAAGTATAATATTTATTTTTACTTATTTTCATTCACTGTGTTGAATGGCGGCAGAGGATTAAATGTACCTGGCATAACAGAGACCGCGCACACAGGACAACGTTAGAAAATAAAAAACAATGGCATGTGAAATGAAACTCGACAGCGACAAATTATCAGGTGAAGACCGACGCAATGTTTATCTATCTTCGCCGCATGTTACACGTACTCCAACTTCACCACTACACGCAAGGCTCAACAAACCCACTTCCCATATCCATTGTTATAATTAGCGTTGTTTTCTTAAGGAAGTCAAGAAGATTCGTTAAAAGATTATTTATTTATTTTTGTTAAATATTAATTCAAATTATAAGAATTAGTATATTAATAATTGTTAATATTTATCTTATAATTATAATTGTTTCTACTAAACTTTTTTCTCCTTCTAACCATAATCAATTCATTTCAAATGGATTTTTTTTGTTTACATAAATTTACAACTTTTTCTACTAATAAGACTAAGCTGCCTTAATTTTGGATTAATTATATGAATGCTTTATTAACAAATGTCTTAAAAATATTAATTTTAAAACTAATAAACATCTATTATTATTATTATTATTGTTGTTGTTAATAAAAGCATATTGATAACATTTTTTATTTTGAATTTTTAACCAATACTCCTAAAATACTAGTTTTTTTTTTTTTCTTTTAATACACATGTAAATAGGTGAGTGTGAAATCTAAGTTGTACAATTTGAGACCTATGTGGCACGATGAGCTGTGTGCATGTGTTGCAGATCTTTAACGTGGAGTAGCACGGTAAAGCAGTTAAAATGAAATACTTTTAATTGATATAACCTGATTCCCTATGTAATTATCTGTTGTTTAGATGTTTCGTGAGTGACAAATTATATATCTTTTGATTAATATCTTATATTGAGTTAGAAATGTCTATTTCAACTATTTAATTAGTACGATTTGTTTTAATGTAGATAGCAAATTTATGAAGGATAAGGTAACAAATTTAGAATTATTTATTTAGTTTAAACTCAACTCTATATAAATAGTAAACTTTTCATATAATTATAAATAATAAAAAAATACATATATATATATATATATATATATATATATATATATATAACAGACTTACGTAAATTGACTTAATATCAGATCTATTTTTTCTGCGAAGCCTTTTTAAATCGAGTGGTGATATATAATTTTTTAAAGAGTTTATCATTTAATCAATGTAAAACTTTATTTTCTTAAAGACTTGAAATACTCCAACAATTCTCAAAACAGGTTTCAACAATGAGATGTTTCACAGTTTTTAAGACCTACACAAAATTCCAACCATAAAAGTATTCAATTATACATAGTTAAAATAAATTCTACTCATATAAACTGAAGAGTAATGTTAATTAGTAACACATAGTTTACTATTTTTTTACATACTCTTCATCAGTTATTTGGTAAACTTGACAAGTCTCGTTGTAAAGCACGAGCTCCCTTGCCTTTTTATCGGTATCTATATGAATTTCAGTATTTCACTGCATAATAAAAAGTATATTGAAAAAGGTGTGTTATTACTTCATTTTTTTGTTCAGAATAGAAATGCATAATGTGGCATCTAGCTAGCTAGTGTAACAAAAGTCAATAGATACACTTATATCCTTTTGTAGAAAAAGTGGCAAGGCAAGAACCACGAAAGGGTCCGCACCTTGAACTATATTTCCTACACAAACATAGGTCTTCCATCACACCATTATACTCAAAAGTAAGCCAACTCGAAGTTTCTTCACCATTTACATTTCTTTTGCAGGTAAAAACGTTTAATATGTTAATGTATCACGATGATGCTCATATCATCTCTCCTATATATATGAAAAGAGTATTTATATCCTAATACCATAGATTTATTTCTTAAACCAAATTCCTTTTATTTCTACCTTGCTTACAGCAACATTAGTACGTTATGGCTACCTCCGTATGTGCCAAACTTACCCTTGTCTGCTGTCTTATCTTCTTAGTGATGGCTGCAAGAATTACTGCACTTCGATCTTTTCCATTTGTGGAGCAAGACCATGAAGGGAGAGAAGCATCAAAGAAGCAAATGATGAATAAGATGTCAGAACCGAGTTCAGATGAAACTGCTTTTCCTCAACTTGCAAAGGGTCAAGTCCCTCCATCTGGGCCTAGCCATAGAGGCAATAATGCACCACAGTTTTCAGGTCATTTAAGACCTTGAAACCTATGGGAGTTCTATGCGACATATACATATTCCACACCCTGGGACGCAGCCATTGGTACTCTTGCTTTCTAATTTGTCATATACAGCATTACTTTGTTCTTATGTCACAGCTTACAAATCCAAATCAAAGTAGGATTAGTAATTCTGATGTGGATAAATCTACCAATACATTTTCTTTTATCATTAGTACCAGTTTGAATCACGAAGTAGGTTAAATATTTTAATAAATATATTACTAAAAGTAGCAACATGGCCTATTAGCTCAGTTGGTTAGAGCGTGGTGCTAATAACGCCAAGGTCGCAGGTTCGAGACCTGCATGGGCCAAAAATGTTAAAATCTTTCATTTTGTTCCATTTTTCACTTTCTGATTCACGCTCGAGTTATATATATTTTTAAATGGGCTGGATCTCAACCAGCCTGCGACGGGCCATCTTTAACTGGGCATGAGCCCAATAAAAAAATATGCATTCGACTAACGATAAATAAATATGGTAATTGTTTCCAGTTTCCAATATGGAAATCCAGATTGCTATTTTATTTATTTATTATTTCTAAATATGTTTTGTCCTTCAGTTCTTTACCTTGAACAGTTTTTTGGCTGAAGATTTTATCATCTTAGTCATTAATAAGCAATTGTTAAAAAATAATGTGACTATCAAGTTGGCTAGATAACAGCGTGGCATCACTTCGAGAGGGGCAAGGAGATGGGATATTAATTGGGCAATTGTTATTGAAAGGATAATATTAATTAATATCAGTGAAAGTGAGAACACATCACAATTTGCAGAGTAGATGATCAACTGGAAGTATGCCATTTTAGAGTGTTTGAGTTATCATAAACAGAAAGACAACATGCACTTAACCCCCACGTTACTAAATTAATTCTTTCATTTTTTTTAATAAAAGCCATTTCAATGTAAATTTATTTAGACACCCATTTTAATTGGTTCAAGATCAATTCTATCAAAGCAAGCTTATCCCATCAAAACACAGATTTTGTGGTTCCTAATGAAATGTGTTGTCAAAGAGGTTTCCTTTCGTCATCATGGTGTCAAACAGTTAAACTTTTCTTAAAGGTATGTCAAGGATTGATGAGCTCTTTAGTATTTATTAGTTGGATTTGCCCCTTAAAGGATTTGGTATTAGGAGTGCAGATCAAGCTACGAATAAACTAAAATATCCAAATTGGGAAAGATTGTTGCCCAATTGCGCGAAAATTCATACATACTCAGTCTCAACTTTTACTTTTAAACTAATTTGAAGGTACGGATTCTTATTTTATGCCATCATATGTGGTATATTAATTATATAAAGTATAAACAAACTTTTCTCCTATTGCCCTCTCGCAATGATGCAATTTATGCGATGGTATTCTACTAAATTTGAAAAGAAAAATCAGAAAACTTGTTGATTGGGATTGTAGTGAGTGAGTATGGAAACGGCAGACATTGGTTAGAAGTAAGACCCAGTCCTGACATGTTGCATAGTTATCTCGTGAACCATAGTCAAAAACCTCCAAGTTCTTGCTATGCCCTAAAATAAATATGAAATTTCCAACATGCGGGTCATTAGTAATTAAGATTGTTCTTTGTCAATTACAATCCAAGATCTATTACTACATTATGTAGGATAATTAGGCTATATTTAAATGTTAACCACATATATTAATGGGTTAGGTTAACTAGATAGTTAAGCAGCATATTCCATAATTATCAGCTATCAAACATAAAGTTTGAATCGAATACTGTTCCAACAGCCACTTATATTTCAAAAAAATGTATCGCAAGAAGAAACTAAATTGACACTCAAAGTTTGTCTTTTGTGGACCCATAAAATCTGATTATCTCCTACCCTACCACAGTACCACTCCCCATCACTGTACCAAGATCATATTGCTACCCTCTTAGCCAATTTACAAGTGGGTCCAACATGCCTATGATCCTGTGCTTCTTTTGCTCTCACTATCATTTACTGTGGCCATCCCTTGTGCCTCCCCCAAGACTTATCCCACATGCCTCCCCATTGTCATTGATAGTGAAGTACTTGATTGGGTCGTCTCTCCCATTGCATCCCTGGCCCATCAATCATGCACACAAGGCAGGCTTAGGCTCATTTGTTTTTCTAACAAATGTAAGATTTTGAATTCAAAATCAATGATTAAATAGGTGGAACTAGTGACTCTGGCCTCTGAAAGTGATGGATTATACAATTTGACTAGGTATGTGTTAGGTTTCTTGTTTGAAAAATATCAAACCAGTAATTTAATAAAAATTTGTTTCATGTATTTTTGTCCAAATCATAATCTGAAGATTTTAAATGGGAAACCAAACATGTCATAAGACACTGAGTCCAATACCTAATGAGACATGTTTTAGGCTGACCACTGCTCATATTAAAAGGAAAATGTTTCCTTGAAATAAAATCACCTTTAAAGGAGTAACCGTGAGATACACTTCAAATTAACTCAAATGTAGATGCATTCTTTACTGATGCATTTCTAAGATGGGATATCTCATATTGAAAAGTAGATAAAAGTTAAATAACTCTCTGAATTGCTTACAGTGTCATTACTCATTTTTATTCTTCGACTATATAAACTATAAGAACTTGATAATGTAGTTAAAAAATAAAACATATATATTATGTTTTTATTATAGAATAAAACCACAAGCACCCGAGAGACCTTATTTTTAAACTTTTCTTCCTTAAAATAACCACAAATACAAGTGCTTATTTCTTTAGTATGTGAAATGGAGCTTGCACGTTTTCTAACACGTAAAACCGGAACATAATTTTCTCAAAGTAATTTTTTATTTACTTTCCACAGACTCCATTGCAAACGATTATAGTTGAACACTTCGCCAGAATTTGGTTAAAGAGTACTCGAAGGCTATTATGCTTATTAAAGTAAAACTTAACATATACTCCAGTCAAAATAACCTAATGATTATGCTTTGAATCATTACTCCTATACTTAGCAAATTAAACTAAGCACTAATCAACTGAAAGAAACTTATCCTTCATTTATTACAGTATAGTACCATTATACAAGATGATTTACATTTAATATTGCTAATATCCGAAGAAAACATAGAAGTTGAAGGTGTATATACCAAATGTATAGTACCCTAATTTCCATTACGAGTGTCTAACACAGCACCTGATGCATCCCTACTCTGAGACCAAATGTACAATAAGAACTTAAAAAATGCCTAATTTCCCTCAAGTAATAATACAGAGAATGAGTTGTCAAGTATTAATTCATTTACTCCTTATTATATTTAATAAATTTCTAAAAATTATTATAAAATTAATTCTTAGTATATACTTGACAATTCATTATGAGTATTATACTCACAATGTTACCATAACATGGGTACTATTACTAACACAGTAACACCTATTAGGAACTCGCCGGAGAACCCACCAAAGAGAGATAAACCTGACTCTGAATCACCGTCTTACCGATTTTAAAACCTGGCACCACCGTGAAACCCACCCTAAGCTCGCCGGAATTGGAATCAGAGGATTCCCCTGAATCTGAAACCGGTTCTTCAGTGACACATTCCATGTACACCTCAGAGAACCTAGTGTTCTTCTTTACCTGAAAAACAGTGACATCTTCATGAAACGACAGTGCCAAGCAATGCAGGGTCCACACACGCTTTGCCATCTCTGCAAAGGCTGTGAAGAAAGCAGAATCTGGGTAACCACCAGAGTTCACAACCTTCCTTTGGTTCAAGTTACCAAACAAGGAACACTCCATTTTGGCATGAACCACTTGAAGGTACTTGGATTTGAGGAACTTTGAGAAAGAAGAATTTGGGTTGTGGGTTAAATACTGTTTTGGGTTCAAAGCCTTGAGATTTTTGAACTTGTCAAAGTAGAGGTCTTGGCCTTGGTGGTGTTTCTGAAGAGGCTCATCTTGAACACTGAAATTTGGGTAGTTGAAGCCTTCAAACATTGTTATGCACACAAAGGATTCAAGCGCAAAGCTTCTGTGATTTGGTTTGGTGAAAACTGCGTTTGGATGGATGAACTTAACGGCTGCTTCAAGGTCCCAATGAGCAGACTCCATTTCTGCCATCATAAGCTTCACGAAGCTCCTAATTGATCTCAACGTGTGGTGAAGAAAATGCACAAAATGGCTTGGGTTCAACGCTGAATGTGTGAGATTATCTAACAGTGACAAAGAGCCACTTGAGTTGAGCTTCTTTTCAAGTGATTTGTTGAAGGCAATGCACTCATCAAGGTGTTTTCTGAGGGATGAGAGGCTTGAATCCTTGAAATCAACCTCAGCTTCAAGCCTCTTGATGGTGATTTCATAGGTCTTCATTAGGCTTTGTTGTTCTTGAATCTCTGCCAGCATTATGGTGACTTGGGGTGAAAGATCAAGCTCTTTTTTCATGAACCTTCGCTTCAATTCTGAGATGGCTTTAAGCTCATCAACCACTGCTTGATCAGCGGCTTGAATTGAGTCGTTGTTGTAAGGGTGCTGAGCCATTTGAAGCTCTGCATATGCTGCTTTTATGGTGGTAACCCCCGCAAAGAGCCTTGCAATGAGAGCCTCCATAACGGCTCTGTTACGAGCCTTGGTGTCTTCGTGCTTACCATTGGATTGGTGTGATTTGAAGTGATGATCAGTGAATAGATCTTCCTTGACTTTGAGGTGTGAGTTGAGCATGCAAATGCCATTATTTGAAGCGAGTTTTGTTGCACTTCGGAGGCTAATCACTTTCTGGAATGTCTTGGCCAGTTTCTTGCTCCTATTGCTGAGAGCTGATTTGGGTTTAATGGTTTCCATCTCAAGCCTAAGATTTTGTTGTTTGTAGCATAAGAGTTTGAGGGGTATGTGTGTGTGTATGTGTTCACAGCAAAACCAATAAAATCCAACAAAGGGAAAGGGTTTGGACTTGTGAGAGAAAATGATAGCAGCAAAAGGAGATTTTGGATGGAAAAGCAGGCGCAAATCTTTGACTACTCTATCTATCTCTGAGTTTTTGAGGCAAGGAATAAGATAGAGATTGTTGGTAGTGATGTTAATATTAATATATAAACATAAATTATTGAAACTAAGGGGGAAAATGAAGCAAATAGTAGTATTTTTAAAGCGCGGGAAAAGAAAAAGTACGAGTGCTTTAGCTTTCTGGTGATAAATGTTAAATACTCGAAGTAGGCTTGTAGTAGAAGAACTTTGACACACAAGCTACTCATTTTCTACTTCGATATACCAGTAGAGCTATCTCCACGGATGATAGTGTGTTGTGGGGCCTATTTGCCTTACGTGATTGATGGCTATTATCTAACTCTGGACCCTACCAACTATGCCAATGAGCTTGCCATGTTAAACTAATTGGATATATAATATGAAGAAAATTACAATAATCTTGCTCTTCAACTCCTCTTTATAATTGAGTCCTAATGGAAAGTGTACACAGAATGTCAAAAAAAGCTAGGAAATCGTGCATCTTAGATTACTTTACTCTACTCTATATGACAATTCATGTGCTAATTGAGTTTTAATTCAACTGTTGGAGAACATTATGAAGCATGAGGGTTAGGGAACTGTTGCTTACTTGTTCGTAAACTAGAAGATACCGGCATGTTAAATATCAAATCTGGTTTGAAAAAGCAAAAGATAGTTAAGCATTCTACAGTAATTATGTACGTATATGAACAATAGTAGACAATATTTTAACTTTTTTGCTTCATTTGTCACTGCAACAAAAGATTCAATTAATTATTGGAACTGGTTCATTATAGGTATATATGAACGGCTACAATATATAAATGAATAAATTTTGATATACATTGTCCAGGTTTTACATTAAAATTTAATACTTTTGATATATAAATATCTCAATAATATTAATACCCATTTAATATCTTTTTTTTTTTTTATCGTATCATATTATGTATTATATATATATATATATATATATATATATATTTTAAGTTTATATATATAAGATGTCTGCAAAGTATTTTCTATAATTTAAACTACATACTCATGTAGCTCTTTATTTGTGGGGGGACACTGTAGTCAGAAACATCGTGTTTTTTCAAAAAGTTATCTATATGGTAATCAGAACTCGCAAGAGATATTGGATAAGCAGCACCGCAGCAGCAGAAACACGGAAAATGCTCTGTACACAATTTTTTGGCAATGTATTCAATCACACAACTTTCTAAAAGTAAAAAAATAAACAACTACCCTAAAAGTTACTATTAAGTTTAGCTTTTTAATCTGTGTAAAATATATTACGATAAATTTAGAAACTTCAAAAATATATTTTTCTGACTTTTACATTATTAAATGACACTACCTAGTGGACAATTACCAAGGAAAAATGTTGGCATGTAAACTAAAGTAATTCTAATACTTTTCACATTATAGTATGATTAGTAACATTGGTGGAGGAAATACTATTTAGTAAGATGTTTACTATTTTATTTATTCTTCGTGGCTTTCTGTACTTGTTTGGAAGTTTACAACTATTCCGTCATTGCCTTTGCCGGAAAATCATGAGCATTGACGCTGTGTTGATTTTCCAATCAATTCGTCAAACTGATCAACCTATGAAATTAGGGAAGCATCAAAATCAGAATTATAACTAAGAAGTTACTATTTTAAGAAATGAAAAAAATATAATACATTTTCTTTCTTGATATTCTTCAGTATTTTATTGTAACAAACAAAACATTGATATTCTAAGAAATTGAATTGTGTTGTTGTTATATAGAAACCATAAAGAAAAGAGTCACGTTCTCTTTTCAGTTATTTTAGGAAAGAAGCTGTCTCTTGTCTGTCTTCGAATGCGGCAAATGAAGAAGACATGGACTTTCTCTTCATGTTTACTTAATAATTGCAAAACTGTTGGCAGAACAAGAATAGAAACTATTTGATGTGCTTCCATTTTTACGTGAAAAGACTTTGGCTTTTCTATGATCGCGATCATTGAATTAAAATGATACAAATGCAGATGTCATACTAGTAGAATCTTTTGTCTTGTATTGGAATTCCAATTTCAAATTGATGTATATATTTTTCTTTAATTGGTCCTTCTTCCTTAGCTGTAGTTCATGAAACCCACTGAAGCAAACAGTTAATGGGACCAAGGTTGCACATTGGTGGGAAAACATCACAAAAGAAACACAGCCGAAAGAATGATGGTGACTGAAATATAGCCTTGGATCTTAATTAAACTTACAGGAGATTGGGTACAACATAGTCAACCCGGGCCAGTAATGGTTTATAATTAATTATATCATTGCTTTGTCTTCTTCAAAAATTAATTAAAACGATATCAACATATAACTAGCAAATTTGAGTACGTGTTACCTAAAGGTTTGATCAATTTAACTTAAATGCATGCACAATGTTAATCTTTAATGCAAATAACTATTCATTACTTGCATTTGACTTGAAGCTTCATTACGATGAATTAATCTTTAATGCCAATGTGGGGTCTATCAAATATACATATTAATTATAACATATAATTATCCTACTCGGATTTTTTAACATCAGAGATGTTAGAGATTAAAAATTGCCTTCATTTATTTAAATTTTTTTTGTTTACAAAAAAAATGTTTAAAGAAAAGCCATGAAGCCCAAATACTCCAAGTGGACAAATTTAAGGTTTGACCAATTTTATTTTATTTTTATTTATAAATTAAAGTTAAAAACAATACCCTCCTAAATAAAGCTAAAAATTTTAGTGTGTGTTTGTATATAACTTTAAAGTCACTTAAAAAACAAATAAAACGAGAAAAAGAAGACAAAAATCCAGGCCCTATCTGCACCTCAAGGAGGAATTGGCAAGGCAAGATGATGCACAAATTAATAGGGGTCCAATAAACAAGGTGATCGACACAAGGTTCGTGATAGATCATAGACTTAGTGTTGCACGTGATGGAATGATTTGCGTCATTTATAAGGTATAATCACCCTCTACTTGAGGTCGTTCCTAAGGGATGCTTCATAAGAGTCCCCTATTGTATTAGGTTTATTTAGGGTTCTGCTACTTATTGACACTATGTACATAGTCACTTAATAGAAACTCATTTCACAAGCTATCTTATTATACATGCATCCACAATCACATACAATTCTTATTGCATCACAATTTAATGGCCAAAGATATTTTTAACTGTATATATCCGCGTGTAATCCGGGTAATAATACTACTATATTACATATGTATATATATGCAATCATCGTTAGTCATGATAAGGTGTTGTGGATGAGTACCAACTTACATCAGTTTAATATTCTTTTACTTTTATTAATTCCTAATTAATATAAAATATAAATATAGTGTATTTTAATAAGCTAGTTAGCAGTGTAAAAATGTTTACACTGATAATATACAAAATTAATCTCTAATAACAATTATGAAACATAGCATGACATGCAGAATACCTAAAATGTTTATTTAGTTCTTTCGAGGTTCCATGTTTAGAGACATTATTCTATGTAACGATTAGATTATATAAATTGAAATGTTGCTGAATGCAGTGGTAGTTTTATGACTCACAAATTAAGGCATCGCTTTAGTTGGAAGCAAACGAAGGCCTAAACTTAATGATTTTCGTCTGTTTGTCTTTTACACCTCTCATTCATAGTAATTTTATGGTCATCGTCACGTCCGACATTCAAATTATAATATTGCTGGAGTATTATTAATCTAACAGTGTCCAAAGTTAAAATTATCACATCGATCATATTCAAAATAGAAAAAGAAGCTTCACTAATAAAGTCTAACTATTACTAATTATTTTGCCTTTTAAGACCCGTTTCCAACGTTCCCTAGAGTTTGCTGCAATTTGTGTGCTTAGAGCGGAAATGGATGGCAATGGATTTTTTGTGTGGGGGTGAAATCATTAGTTACTTTGTTTGCATTGGAGGAAAGTCAAGTTCAGGTCAATTTGTGTGAATATATAATGATTATTTTATGTTTACAAGTCAGTTAATTAAAGGCACCTTGACTCTAATTAATTGGCATATAAGGTGAAATTTTTTTGTACATGACATATTCAGTTAATAGTTTTTTTAAGTGGTATATAGTTAATAGTTGAACTTCTAAATATGTGTTTGTTCATATATCGCATATTCATTTATCTCTAAATCAACCTTTGATTAGCAGTAGTTAGATTGGATAATTATATCATTGCTTGCATCTTGGGTGTCGAACTTGGGATGGGAAAAATCATTTGTCTTAGATTCAAACTTTGATCATTTCTGGCATGCAGTGTTATGCTTATACTATATATTAGCATTTTGTAGTTAATCATGAATTCTATGTCCAGCCTTCTACTGTTATAGATTTGTAGCCTACTAGGCATTATCTATACGATTATGAGGGTAGGTTTTCTCTGAAAGAACAATAAAAAAATGCAAGATGATAATAATATTTTTACTTTTAAATTCTCTTACTACATCCCATTTTTATTTATTTACACTATTTTATTATTATTTTTATTTTTAACTTTCATTTAGTAGTATAATATTATTATCATTATATTACTTTGTTATATTTTCTTTACTTTGCACTTGTTATAGTAATTATGTGCATCATTTTAAAACAGTCTAAGTAGTAATAATTTTGTGAATTTAAAGTTGAATTTAATTTCAATGAAAAAATACTTATATTTTTACTTTCTTACTTAACTCTATACACTTGCATAATTTTCCCTTGTCAATATGTCACATTAGTGGACCTCAACAGAGCCATAAACAATTCATAAGACAACAAAGACCTAAATATTAACATTTAGGCTAAATAGAAAGTGGTCCTAGTATTGCATGGCATCAACAAAATTGAAAAAGATAAGAGTATACATTTTCCTTCATTTCTTATGCAAATAGACACAGAAACTTTGATTTCATCCTTGAACTACATGATTTAATTTAATAAACTCTTCTGCAGATTGACAGAACAGGCGCTAGTTCATCAAATTTGATAATTTTTGTAACACATGTGAAAAGTACTGAATTTTCTTCCTCCACAATCCACACATTCATTTGATGCTAATTTTTGTGGGCTTTACTGTTTCATTCAATAATGATATTGAACACTATTTTTATTTAAACAATATCTTTTAATCTTGTATCATACCATATTGAACACCATCCAAGCCTTCTATGATATCTTGTATGTTATTTTAATCTTCATCTTCTATCGATCATAGCATATTTTCTATCGTAATATTTTTAAAATTTGTCCAATTAAGTCTGAGTTGACACCAAGCATTGAGAAAGTAAAATTCCCTTTTTCCTCTTAATAGTTAATAAGTGTAAGAATTTCTTCGGAATGAGTGCATAATATTACATCACTTTATGAACATCGCGGAAATGAAACAAAGCCTTAAAAAGTTTGGGCTTCAAATAAACCCTTGGGAAGCCCACATTGATCCAAATAAGAATTGAGCCGAAATGTACCAAACATAATTAACGCCCATCATTTATTAAGATAACGTTTCAGTGGTCTCCACGTGCAAATTGTTAATTGCCATTAAGCAACTAAAATCAGGAAATGGTTCAATAATTTAGATTTCAAAATTTCATATTCCAATGTGCAATATGACAAGAAATAGAAAATCCATTCCTCTCCTCTTTATGGTAAACACATACACAAGTTCTGTTAATTTGATAACTCATTTTGAATATGTGTTTTTTATGTGTAATAGCTAGCAAAGACATCATGGGTTGCAATGTGTAGCAGCGGGAATGAACAAGAAAAGAATGTGAAGGAAGCTAGAGAAGTAATGGAGAAGATAGAAGAAGAGATTAAGGGGAAGAGGATGGATTTGTTGGTGCATGGCTTCCTATTTGGGAAGAAGTTGGGTGCATGCAAATATGTGATCCATTTAAACATTCTTCCATCTCTGCATGGATCACTAATTTTCTAAACCCCCCTATGGCTATCATCAAGGATAGCTTTGCCCCCAAGAGACAAGATGCTTGTTTATTCCCACCGTCGCAAAATTGAGTTTTCTTCTACATTACCTCGTTGATTCCATATACAAGTGAATGTGATACGCACATAGGAAAAACTTAGTCAAATAATCCAATATAATTTTGGATGCACTCGGTTGAATGCAGATTATGGTCTAGTTTGAACTTAATAAGAAGACTATTTCTACCATGCTTTTTAATGAAATGAGTAAACTTTTATGCTATGAGATGTACTAACAGTAGATAATAATAAAAAAAGTTAATGATCAAGATTATTTATCCTTAAGTTATATAACAGGTAACTTTGATAAGTTTTTAAAATATATGTTTCTCTTTTACCTTAAGATATAACAGCCTAGGAAGTATTCAATACATTTTATCTATAGTCACAATAATTGTAAGTGAATGAAAAAATTTACCCACAATCACCCAGTAACCATAGGTAAAAGGGGCAAACTAAAGACTCTAATTTTACCAACAAGCACAGCAAATTGAATATAAAAATATGTGATCGTTGTTAAAACTATCACTAGTGGTGACATTTCTTGTAGTGCTTGAACAAGGCAACGGTTTTTTTTTATTTTTTATTTACTGTCTAATAATATTTTTTTTAAGATTAAACTTATTTTTGCTAATATTTTTAAGATTAAACTTTATGATCATATGTGGAAACTAATTAAATTTTATTAAAGTTTAAGTTAAATTTTTTATACACATGCTATAACAATTAATCAGTATTTTTTTTTTAAATGAGTGAGTTGCAATGTTTATAAAAATAAAAGGTGATGTATTCCCAAATTTCTATATTGTTAAATAGTCTTAGAAACAACATTTGATAATGTCTTCAATATATGCAAAATTCAATTTATTTTACTTGATACATTTATTTTTTAAATTTGAATACATTATTAGAATAACATTTTAATTTTTGAATTGATTATTATAAAAATAAGTCATTCTAAATAATATTTAATTATCAAATAACAATAAAAAGTTATAATACTAATAATGTGTTTAAATTAAAAATTTATTTTTATTGCATCGAACGCGTGTTGTTTTCTCCCGTGGTGGGAAAATGGCGGCGGGAAGTGTCTTTTCGATGAAAATCATGTGGTCAATATTGCAACGTTTGTTCCATAAATAAAAGAAGGAAATAAAGTTGTGAAAGAAGTGAAGGTGGGTGAGTGATGATGGGAAGCGAAGAAGTGAAATTGGTGAATTTTTGGGTTAGTCCATTTGGGAAAAGAGTTGAATGGGCCTTGAAACTGAAGGGAATTCAATATGAATACATTGAAGAAGATATCTTCAACAAAAGTAATCTCCTTCTGGAGTTGAACCCCATTCACAAGAAGGTTCCGGTTCTGATCCATCGCAACAAACCCATTGCTGAGTCTTTCATCATCGTTGAATACATTGATGAAACTTGGAATCACTGTCCGTTGTTACCTCCCCATCCTCATCAAAGAGCTCTTGCTCGCTTTTGGGCTACTACTGTTGAACAAAAGGTAATTTTTATCAATTCCCTTTTACTTCTTATTTATTTATTTATTTGGGTTTTAAAACCAACTCAGAGATTCCAAATATTATGTTAATTATCTATATCAATTTCTGATTTTTGTGGTTAAACTTAGGAAGAAAGCTCTAACTATTACTTCCCAATTAGATGAAGTATGAAAATTTTCAAATACCCACGAAATTCGGATGAAGTTCAGATTTCGTCCCTATATATGTGCAATGTGATGTGATTAAAAAATAGTTCAATTTTGTACCTTTTTATTTATTTATTTTGGAGATATACAAAATCACACTTTCAATGCTTGCTTTGTTGAGGTAAATGACTTGGAAGAGATTATAAATAATATGTATGAAAAATAGCTCATGACTCTCGTTGGTTGATTTCAACTTATTTAAATAAGCTACTCCGTAATTTATGAATTTCACTATTAACTTTATGATATAAATCATAGTTTAAAAAGAGCTTATTGAATAAGTGTTTAATTGAATTATGAATTCAAATACACCCTAATTCTATATTATATATTAGCTTGGGAAGGCTGGGTGGGTTGCAATGTCTGCCAGCGGGGATGAACAGGAAAAGGCTGTGAAAGAAGCCACAGAAATGATGGAGAAGATAGAAGAAGAGATTAAGGGGAAGAAATTCTTTGGAGGCGACAATATTGGGTACCTTGACATTGCACTTGGATGGATCTCTTACTTGCTTCCTGTTTGGGAAGAAGTTGGGTCCATGCAGATAATAGACCCACTGAAATATCCAAGCACCACTGCATGGATGACCAATTTTCTCAACCATCCTGTGATCAAGGACACCTTACCCCCTAGAGATAAGATGCTTGTTTACTACCACAGTCGCAAAAACACATGGCCTTCTTCTATCTTTCAGAACTTGGTCAAGGTTTAGATCTGTTCCTCCATATATATGTATCTCAATGACCGTGTGATTAATCCAATATAGTTGGATTGACTTAGTTGGATAGCATCTGGTCAAGTCTAGGAAAGTTATCATTTTCGCACATGCATGTCTCCAACAAATCATGAATTTATTGAAACTTACTCTTGTAATTTTTGTCATCAACTATGAAGATGTTTCATTTTGTTTCATAAAAGTGAGTTTTTGATTTTAAATGAGTTACATATTCATCTTTAGTAGAGAACAAAATATTAATTGAGTAGAGGATGTATAAACTTTGGGAATAGCTAGGTTGTAGGGAATGTCTCTATGACTTTGTTTGGAAGTTAAGTTTAGGAAGAAAAGGAAGAGAAGGTGAAGGTTTATTTGATGATAATCATTGTTTAGGTGTTTTTAAATGTGAATGAGAGTTTTTATAAACCCTTCAAAATCTCCATGAACTCATGTTTTTAAGTTTCTCCAACTTAGGGAGTTTTTTTATTAACTCTTCGTCCTTCTTCCTCCCTTACCCCTTTAACTCTTGTCTTTACTCTCTCACTAAATTACCAACAAAGCCTACGTCTCTTGTTCCAACATTGAGACCTTTGAATACACTCCTTTCCACTGCTTTATCAATCATGCTACTTAGGCCTTGTGCTACATTAAAATTTAAAAAGGGGAAAGAGGATCACCCACCTTGTCTTTATCCTCTTTTTATTGTACACTCTATAGGGGAACTTAGGACGTGTTTGGTTTCGCGTTAGAATGCAAATGAATGTACATTTACTTTAACACTACTTGTTGTAACCACTGTGTGTGATCCACATTTACATTAATTTTAATGTATTTCCAAACATACTCTCAAATTGATTAGGATTGAGTTATAGACAGATTTCAGACATTCCGCCCTGTTCAGGGCCTCCACGTCAAGCAAAATTTCTTCCTCTCTATCTTCATTAAAGCTGTTTTATACTCTCTTCCAGTTTTCTTCCTTTCAAAGCTACCAAAGATGCCATCTCTTCTATTGAATCTCTTTTTATTGGGGGTGGAGGGAGATCTCTTAAAAGATCACTTGGTACCATGATAGACAATTTCTAAGTAGAAAGAGGAGGGGGTTAGGAGTAAAAAATTTGGAAGCATTCATTATGGCCAAGTGAAGTGGAAGTGGACGTTGAAAGTAAAGAAAGAAGCATTGTGGCATAATATACTAGTCTGTTTTAAGTATGGAGGAAAGGAAATAGAAAAACTTGACTTCCTTTTCGCATGACGTTTGGATTGGTGGGATTCCTAATTTTTTTTTCAACATAGGAGAACACGTTGTTGGAATTTTTTACAGAGGTGCAAGTGAATTTGGAATCGAATGCCATTTGGTCAAAATTGTCGTCACTGGAGTAAGGAAAATGACACGGATAATTTGCATAAATTACGGGGAGAACCAGTCAACACATTACTAGAGAAGAAACGAAGAAAGTGAAGTGTGAAACAAGATCATGGGAAGCCAAGAGTTGAAGCTAGTGAGCTTTTGGGTGAGTCCATTTGGCAAAAGGGTTTTATCCCGGTTCTTTTCCATGCCCACAAACCCATCGCTGTATCATTCGTTATCCTTGAATACATGAAACATGGGAAGCAGTATCCACTGTTTCCTCAACATCCTTATCAAAGAGCACTTTTGGGCTAATTTTGGTGAGCAAAAGGACCCTTTAGATAATTTTGTTGTTTTCGGTGTGGAAAACACTTGGAGATTCTCAATGTCTCTTGTTTCTGAACTTATTGAAATTCAAATGAGTTTAATTGTTGTTTTACGTTACTCTATCATTTATTATCTAAATATTAATTAAATCTTCCACACCACATCATGTCCGAAATTTTGAACTTAAACAACTGACAAACTTTGAGTAACAACATCAGCGCTCTAATCCGAAGTGAAGTGTGCTGAGCCCTTAACTCAGGTTCCAGAATGGCTCTGATAGTTAGTGAAGCTCTCGTTGTAACAATAATTTTTTATTACCATTCTCACCTCAAATAGACAAAATGGAACCAGCCCAAGACCTCTTCAAGTATAACACAAATAAAATAGATTATGTATATAGTAAGTGACTGTTGAGGCAGAATGGCAAAACGTGCATTCCATAATAATGGGCCTTTGGTTCAATTCTCCGCTGTGCCCGTTGAATATTTTGTCAAATTCTCATAATAGTAAGTTGGTCCGGTTCAAACACTTACTAACATATTCAATAATAATGCTGGACTATTTGGGATTCATAATTATTTTAAAAAAAAAAACGGATTATTTTTGTGGGATATACCGAAATCAAATTATATTCAATAGCTTATTTTTCAATGGCTGTCTTGTATGTATGTAATAGCTTTTGGAAGCAGCATGGATTGCAATGTGTACCAAAGGGGATGTACAGAAAAAGCTTCTGAAGGAAGCCTCAGAAATGCTGGAGAAGATAGAAGAAGAGATTAAGGGGAAGAAATTCTTTGGAGGGGACAATATTGGGTACCTTGACGTTGCACTTGGATGGATCTCTTACTGGCTTCCTGTTTGGGAGGAAGTTGGGTCTACGCAAATAATGGATCCAGTGAAGTGTCCAGCCATCATTGCATGGATGAACAATTTTCTCAACCACCCTGTGATCAAAGACACATTGCCCCCTAGAGACAAGATGCTTGTTTACTTCAACAATCGCAGAGAGGCATTATCTTCAACTTTTCAGGACAGGTTCAAAGTTTAGATCTATGTTTCCTAAGGTGCATGTGGTAGGCAGTCCAATATATTGGATTGGCCAAGTTTAATAAGAATTAGGTTAGGCCCTACAAAGGTTTTACTTTTGAGAGAGTAATTTCTGTTAATAAAAACCTTCTGGATAGGGAGGAGGGAATTATACTAGGTTTGTATGCTGGCTTCTTTCTTCCATTACAAACAACTTCAGGATTTAACACTTCGCTTGTATTATATTTGTCATTATGGTACTATGCTAATATACCAAATTACCAATCGAACATTACATCCAGCTTCCTCTAATCCTAAGTAACGATCGTGAGGTTAATGCCATCTTACATAGCAAAGTTGTTAATGGAAAAGGGAGGGTTTTTAGTTTAAAAAAATTTCTTTTATTATAAAACTGTTATCTTGTTTTATTTTTTATTTTTTTGCTTTTAAATATTTATATAAAAAACACTAAAAATGGTTTTTTTTTCCCTTCTATTTTTTCTATTTTTTATTTAAATGTTTGAAAACAAAAAATAGAATGGAGTGTAATTTTATAATAAAAATGCTTTTTGAAATTAATCAATTCCTAGTCAAAGCTGAGGGGGGGGGGGGGGTTAAATGACAGTTAAAAAGTGTTGGTTATACGAAAATAAAAAAAAAAATACAAGATTACAAAGTATAATTCACATAAATAAGTTCGAATATAGAAATGCTGCAACTTAAATTTATCTTCGACGCATTCATATGAAAAGTATGGTTGATGGTGCCACACATTCCTCATACAAGCTTGTCATTAAATATTAAATTATACCCCTTTAAAATTCCACACTTTCTCCCATTCTAAGTAAATTCTTAATAACTTTAAACATTTTCATTTAATTTATTTTAAAACCTTGCCTGCATTTAAATTTGTTAGATACTTGTTAATTGCTATTTAAATAATTTAAATAAAAATCCTAGAGGATGGTGTTGTAACATTTTAATTGTAGCAAATACTTGCGGAATATTAAGCCAAGATTGGCGGTGCATCGCGTGTAAAATTTCCTAAAAGGTCGCAATTTATTACTACAAATTGCTGTGATATAATGTGATAAATAAAGCCTAGTAAATAATGTCTCATTGTCAAAATACATTATGTCCAATTAACATAATTTACAAGTATAAATAGCAGTAACAATCGCCTTACGGCATTCCGACTGAAAATTTTCATTTTGCCGCCTCCGTGAAAAGAAGAGATTGTATAATTTTACAGTGTAATCACACCTAAGCCAGGAAACATTCGTATCATAACCAAAACCAGCTACCTTACACTACAAACTGTACAATAATATGCAATGGAAACGTGGATCTACAAAATATCATCAAATTTAACATTTGCATTTAACCTAATCTTTTGAATCGCTAATAGACGGTGTTATATTCATCAGAAGTTAAAACCCTTTACCTAGTACCAAACCAAAAAACCCCAGTCATGAATAGGGAGAGAAGTTGGCCTTGTCTCGGCTCTCTAAACTAACATCATCCAAACAACGCTCCGTAAAATTTAGCAGTGACTCATCTCACAGCGGTCCAAACTCCAAAACAACTGAGATAATTCAGGCAGGCAACTTTAGTTTTGAATTGTTCTTCCAGCTGCAAAACAGAAATCTTTATATTACCTATTTATTATTACGAATCATGACAAAAACGAGATTGAACTTAACGGATAATAACGTTACCTTATGAAGTAATAGTAGAAGAAATCTGCATACAAAGCTGTCTGAACAACACCAGAGATGCAAGCTGTAAAAACAAGTAAGCAGTCGGAATATTGCTAACGTTGATATATAATTTCGAAAGTAGTTCAGTTCTTATTTACAGCATTCATTACCTATCCATCGAGTAAACCGTGGCTCAGTCAGATAGCGGTATATCCAGTTCAGTATGTAAAATGCACGATAGGCACTGCAGTTTAAGAATAATCAGTACATTCTGATACAAATTCAAGTTGAAAAATCTGTGCCACTTTTACAACTAATGGCGTAACTAATTGTGCAAGCATCAAGACTGAGACAAGTCAGGAAATACATATGCAGAAAATTGCAAATTCAGTCCAAAAGACAGGTTCTGCAGGTCAGGTTAGATAAAAAAAAATATATGGCAAACATATGTATACTCTATATAATACATCACTTTGAAGGAGTTTAATTTCTTAGATTTGGGTAGAATTAATTATAGAAGAATTAATTTAAAAACAAATTGATTTGTATTTAGATATGTAAAGTGAGTAGAGAAATTTTCATTTTGTTTTGTTGGTAGATTAAATTTGGCTTTTGGAGTGTTATAATTCGTGGATCTTGCACCTAAAATCAATTCAACCCAAGGAAAAAGCTAAAAATTTTCACTTTCTTCATAAGTAATTCTACGGTAAATTATTACTATCCTCCAGAGAATTAATTTTCAAAGGTAACAAAAATTGTTAAATGCCTTAAATTACCATCTAAACTCATTTCTTCCACTGGAAATGCAATTTGCAGGGTAAACCAACTACCAATTAGCTGTTTTTGAGGTAAAAAAAAAAATACAATCCTCTAAGTATACAATATATATCATTGTCACTAGAAGACTTCTCAATATCTCAGAAAGGACTATTTGCTAATGACCAACACAAAGGTGAATGTTCATTGTTCATCAAATAAGACTAGAGCAACCAAAACATAAAGGTAGATCATAAAAAGAGAAACTAACTCAACAGAAGTATGCATACCCTAGAAAGAATACATATTGCCCAGTCAAATTGTCCACATTTCCACTTCGTTGCAACAAAACTAACTGGGGCAGTATTGCCACAGCCTCCAAGTATATTGAAAATGCCCAGAAGATCTGTAATAGATTTACATGAAATCAACATATTCACGACGTTGCAATGTGTAACAATTATAATGCTAACATGTAATGCACACAAGAATCCATATTAACAATCAACAAGGACAAGAAACATATTTTTGGACAGGAAGAACATTTGAAACCAAGATGGTTTTGCTTTAATTTTTGCAATATTTACCTGAAAAAAACAAAGGGAAAGACCAGTTACACATTCAGAAGATTTCATAAGGAAATAGATATCATATCCCCAGAAGCTTCATTGCACACTATGCAGTGGCCTACCTTATCATTTTATCTTTTATGGCTTTTATAGCCTTTCCCAGTTAACCATGTATTAGAATTCAGAGCCATAAGATGACATGTCAATGTTGAATTTGTCAAACTATCAACAAAATATTTTTCTCCAAATATTAGCTTAAAAATTGCATGAAACTTGGCCATCGTTTCAAGCATGATACATGTGGGTCCCTAACATAGTAACATACATTTTTATATTTCCACCAAATATCAAATTGTGCTCAGGACCCAATTACGTTACTTGGCTAATCAAGAAGAGAGAAGCAACCAAACAAAAGATTTCATAGCACTACGTGGATTTCTAGATAATACAACAACTATTTGTTGACAAACTTATGGGATCATCAGGCCATAAAATAGTACTTCTTATCTCATTTTCAATAAAAGAAAATTGAAAAATTTCCATTCCAATAAGGTTATGACAAACTACTGAGCTGCTGTTGGTAAATTTAATCACCAAAATTGATATTAGAAGGCACCAAAAAAGCTCCAGTTTCAATGATTAAATGACAACAAGCTCTCAAAAGTTGAGACTTTAAAAATTAATGTTACGAGGTGATTTATAGAGACTCTCAATGACACATGTAAATGGAAAAACAGGAGATAGACTATAAAAGAAAGGACAGCATTCCTTAGCAATTGATAGTTAAAATTGCGATTTTACACGTCAGACACTACAATTTTCTCATGCCTCAGGAATCCCAATCACACTGTCTAAGTCGTTTTGCTTTTAACTTCTAAATATGGCATATAAGAAGGAACCAAGCAATATTGTAATTTAATGGCAAGCACTGCAACATGAAATTTGTAACCTGCCAGTAGTTATCCTCATGTTGGGCCATAATGGGATTAAACCGTCACTCAGAAAGAACATAACCAATGAACCGTCACTCAGAAAGTCATTGTCATAGTGCAAAAGTTGACATTCAAATCAAAGGCACAGTTAATTGCCAACGCACAAATCAGTTTCAAATCTCAAGTGAAAAACAGCTACTTCAATTTCAAAAGTAAAGGAAATATAACCGTCTCTGGGACCAGGCAAATCAATCATCTAGTCACGCAGCCATATACCAACGCACATACAACACATCTTCCAATGGCTTTCTCAAAATCAAATGAAACAGTTAGCCTAAATTATTTTTAATAAAGTATACCTTTGGTGAAAAGCACAAGGATTAAAACTCTGAAATAAATTACAAACAAAAAATAATAAAACCCCACAAGTCTGAAATAAGTTAGCAGGATAATGCATAATCAAAAAGCCAATCTACGCTAGAACAACACTGCTAACAGAACACATTCACAAAGCAAAATTATGAAAAATAAAAGAGATAATATTCAAAATACGAACAATTAAAATCAACATAAAGCTAAACACTAAGACCAGAACATGATGCAGAAAAGGGGGAGTTAAGAGGCAAGGGACCTCTTGAAAGGTGAATTTCTCATGCAAGAGGAGAGCCAAAACAAAGGTAGCGGCAACAAGAAAATAATGGCGAAAAGTGTCGAGTTCCCTATCGTAACTTCTCCTAACCAAAGGATGAAAACGCATGCACCAAACAATGGCCAAGGAACTGGCAATGAAAACCATCTTCATGATGGTGTTGTAAACGGATATGAAGTCGGTGAACAAATCCAAATAACGTGCCAGAAACACTATCGCATACAGCTCTTGCGTCTTGCGAGAAATCCCTGAAACCATTACCCATCCAACGAATTAACACAGATTAGTTTATCCATCAATTTTGGTTTTCCGAGGGAATGTGTGACTGACACAGTGACACTCCACTCACAAATGAAAAACAAATTAATAAATAATTGAAAAAATAGAATCAAAATTTGCCCCAAATTTGTATTTCTAATTTTGGGAGAGAGAGAGAATGAAGAAAGACCAGAGCATGATTTGGTGGCATAAATTTTGAGAAGGAGAACGAGAATGCTGAGAAGATGGGTCATGTCACCGGCGAGCCTGAAGATGTTCATGGCGTTGCCCTAGAGAGAGAGAGAGAGAGAGAGAGAGAGAGAGAGAGAGAGAGCGGAAAAACGCAAAGGAAACGAATCGAAAATGCTGTGTGGATTTCTTTTCATTTTTGGTGGTAAGGTAAAGTAAAAGTGTTGAAGGAAGGAGCTGAGGTGGCACTCCCCCTCCCTTCACCGCTTCTTCCTATTTCTTTTTTAATCATTCATTCTTTTAGTATAGTATTTCTTCAATTTTTTTTATTTTTTTTAACTTTAATTACCCCACAGATACTGATTTTTCTTTACTAAATTTATACAGGATAAAGTTAATCCCACGTTAGACTTAACAGGGTTATCTTATTATTTTTTAATCCTACTCAAAATATATCAACATAATTAACAGTCAATTTTTATTTTATTAATATTTGCATGGTAAGTTAACATATGTAAAATTAAGAAATTAAAGAGACAAAAATCTCATAATTAAAGTTAAAAACCTAAAATAAAAAAATTAATAAGCTAGGTGGTTAAAATTATATTTAAGCTAACTCTAAATTATCATTTTTTTTCTTTTTGAATGACTAGATTAATGACATCATAGCTTGTTTATATCAAATTAATGACTAGAACAGTAATTTTCATTATTTTTGTACCATTTACTATTGCGCTTATATTATTTATTGACAATTTTTTATAACAAACTATTTTATACTATTACCTTTTTATTTCTTTTCATCATATTCATATCACTTATTTATCATATTTTTCTTCTTATTTTTTTCTATTGTATAAAATGTGAAAAATTAATATTAAAAAAATTGGCATTTGTTGTTAGAAAAATATCCTATGAAGTATAAGCCGAAAAGAAAAGAAAGCTACTCTAAACTCTTGGACTACACTCCTCGACCTGCTATTATGTCATCTTTGGTGTGATTTTTCAGTGGAAATATGTAAAATTGATGAAACCCACTTGTAGGTAATGTGGCAAATTGAAAAAACGCAAAACAATTATGCACTTCAATTTCTTGTGACGCGGTTTCACGAGTCAACAACAAAGTCAATTAGATGCTTCCTTGCAAGACTTCAGCCAGAGTCATTCAATGGCATCTCAGATCTTTTCTTTATTGGTATAAGCATTTTCTTAGTTTCTTCCACTCTTACGATTGAACCTTCTTTTCCACTCCTAACTATGTAAGGAGAGACAAAGCTTCTCTATAAGACTTGGGACTGATGCAATAGTTGCCATAAAAACATAGCAGTCCATTTATCTGTACGCTCAAGGTAACCTTACAACTTTTCTATTAGCGTTCCATTTTCCTAATGCATTTGTTTCTAATACCATGTTTCGTAATGTGTTCTAATACCATGTTTCGTAATGTGTTGTTTTCAGTTCCACTAGAAAACAAGAAGACCAAGATCAAGAAAGAAAAATGGGAGCTGTTGTTTCCATTGCCAAAAACCCAATTACCTGGCAGTTATGTTTCATCCTTATCAGCAAAACCATAATGGACAAGATCAAGAACAACCACACAACACAAGATGGGGCAATGGATGAACGGAAAGGGCCTCGCATGATGACTTGTCAAGGAGGCAGTTACAATGCTTGTGGTGCCTCTGAATCCATAACCTCAACTTTGAATGAAATAATGAGGGCTCTAACACAACCAAATATTATCATACTTGGGGTGTATGGAACAAGTAATGGGAGAATGAGCAATGTAGTGGAGAAAATCAATAGGAGAGTGAAGAGGGACAAGCTGTTTGATGTGGTTGTGATGGCTAGAGTGATGAGAAGGCCAGACTTAAGAAGAATTCAAGAAGAACTTGGGGACATGCTGGGTCTGCAACTGCATGAGAAGGCTATAGAGGGAAGAGCTAGTCGCTTGTGTGATAGGATAAAGATGGAGGAGAAGATACTTATAATCTTAGATGATCTTTGGGGTGGCATCAACTTGGGTAGGATAGGAATACCATTTGGAAATGATCACAAGGGTTGTAAAATTTTGTTATTATCTAACAGCCAAGAGGTGCTGTCTAACCAAATGAATACCCAAATAGAAATATCCGTGTGAGTCTTCAGAAAACACAGGCTAAAGAAGAATTGGCATTTGCTTACTTGTTGGGTTGGGATGGTTTGGAACTTTACTAGTTTACTTGCACTTTGTATGGTTATAATTTATAATTTTGCTGTAAATTTCTATTTAACTTCAATTTAATAAATTTTGTTGAATAAAATTTTAATTAAGTTGTTTATTTAAATTGGAATATGGCCAAAATGATATAAAAGAATTGATGAAAGAATTCTTCTTTTTTTAAGTTCTTATTCTTTTAAGAATAATAGAAGATAAAAATGAGCTTGACAAACACTGCCTTACTAACATCACCCCTTATTTATTTATTTATTTATTTATTAATCATTTGAATCAAAGTGGCTAACGGTTTGGGAAAGCGATCATCAAGTACTCAAATTGTTTGTGACCACAATCCATAGAAAAATTGTGCTTGGGCAAATAGAAGAGTTTATGAAGGTTTTATGACTTCCATACCACGTGCAGCTGAATTTTGGATTCTCGTGTTGTTAAATAACATTGAAAAGTTGAGAGAGAGAACTAAAAATAAATAAATAGATATGAAACGCTATTATTTCAGAGTGATCGGTGTGCTTTGGTTGTACTTGACCTTAATTTCCCATAATGCTTACATGCCGAGTCTTGAGGGCTGAAGCAAATTGGCTTTCACATTTTAATTAGGATTTAAAATGCTTCCTTTGGGTTGGCATCAGCAAAATGACTTCAGTTAGCATTAGCAAAATGTTCAAGATGTTGGCAATAAAGCATAATTGTAGATATGACTGTTCAAGGATGTATGCATGTTGCTTTTGTTCAGGAAAATAAGAATTATCGAGCATCTACTGAGGTGAGAAATGCAATCCAATTATGCAAAGTTTTAAATTCTTTATTTGCATTAGCAATTCTACTGCTATTGAAACTCACAAATAGAAACGGAGAAGATCCTAATTCCTAAAGCTGAATGAAAGGAAGCTACTCTGAAGCTTCTTTGAAAATTTTGAGACTATAATTGGGCTACTTATGAAATGGTTAAAACTATTTCTCACTTTAAAACTATGTCACAAGTCAACAATTGAGTCATTCAGATGTTTCCTAGCTAGACTTTCTAAGCCACTGAGTCATATGAGGCTTCCTAGAAAGTCTTTCATGGCAGCTTTAGTCTTTTCTTTGTGGCAATTGGCAAAGTCTTTTTCTTAGTTTCTTCCTCTTCAAGTCTAACCTTCTTTTCCAATCTATACAAACTCTTAATGAAGGAACTAATGAAACAACTGCCAATAAAACAAAACTATTAATTGATCTGCACAGTGAAGTAAAGGTAATCATCTTAAAAATTCTATTTAATGTTTCGTTTTCCTAATGAATTTGTTTCCAATACCATGTTTCACCTTGTTTGTTTTTCAGTTTCAAGAAAAGAAGATTAAGGGGAGGACTCAGAATTATCGGAATTGAGTGAATTCAGAAAGAAAAAGGGAAACTATTGTTTCCACTACCGGAAGAATACCCTTTGGGTATTGTTTCTTAGGTTCTTCCACTTACAGTTTAACCTTCTTTTCCACTCCAAACTAAGTAGGAAGAGAAGCTAGCGCTTCTATAAACTCCTAATGGCAGAGTTTGCTGTAAAGGTAATCTTAAAACTTGTATTTTCTGATTCATTATCCTAAATTCCTAATGGAATTGTTTCTGGAAACATGTTTCATGTTGTATTGTTTTCAGTTTAGCATGAAAATAGGAAGACTAAGTCAAGAATATAAGAATTCAGAAAGAAAAATGGAAACTATTGTTTCTAATATTACCAGAAAATTTGAAGAATGCCCAATTGGGTTGCAGCTATACTTTATCTATTTCAGTAAAAGCATAGTGGAAAAGATCAAGAACGACCCCAAAATGCAAGATGGGGTAGTGGATGAATGGGAAGTGCTTTCCGAGGTCACAGACCATGGATGCAGAAAGTCCACAATTGTGGCATCAATATAGCAAGGATGATTAAAAAGCCAGACTTGAGAATGATTCAAGGGGAACTTGGAAACATGCTGGGTCTGCAGCTACATGAAAAAAGTCTAGAAGGAAGACCTTCCGTTTGTGTGATAGGATCAAGGAGGAGAAGATTCTTATCATCCTAGATGATCTCTGGGTTGGAATCAACTTGGGTAGGATAGGAATACCGTTTGGAAACGATCACAAGGGTTGTAAGATTTTGTTAGTATCCCAGTGTCCAACTAAATGAAAACTCAAATACAACTAGAAATAATACAAAACTTAGACACAGTTTCTCAAGTACTTTACGTGTTGTTTATCTATTAAAATTTAAGTTTATCCTTGAAAAAATATGGGCATTTATCATTGCCTCAGATTATTGAGGTAAAACTATAACTTTTATTGTCAGACAACACTAAAAGTACCTAAGGAATTGCTAGTTTTGTTCATAAAAATATTCATGTGAATCTCAAAATGACCACAGCCTAAAGAATTGTTCGCGTAGATGAAATCATATAGAAGAATTGATTAAAATATTTGTCGTTTCGCCATCTACCAACGATATAGAAACAGAACAGGAAATAAAAATAGAAATGGTCTTCTTGATTAGAATTGTTTAATTCATGAAAAACATTACGGATTATTATTTATTGAATATAATATTTTAATGGCAAGGATTGATCACCTTCCTTTTTTATTTTTAAACTCCCAAGTTCAAACTACATGCGTGTGTAATTGTATAACGGTACTTGCATCTTATCATTTGCACACTCCCTTCTTAATCATTCTTCGTATCATTGGTTCAGTTACTTCAGTATAATGAGTTGTTATGATATAAATAAATTTTAATGGTGATCATAATAATATACGTTCCTTGTACACAGTTGGTACGCTGGATGGCGCACGCGTCTCCAATTTATATTTATACTTGTAAGTTATCTTCCATGGCAATGACAGTGAAGCTACGTGAACTTTTCTAGCAAGCTTTCTTACGCGGCACATGAACTTTTGAGACAATAATTAACCATTACTTTTCTCTCATATGTGCAATGCTATCTATCTGCCTTTGGACCCTAGCCCTGCAGCTTGTACATATATGACTCGTATTTCCTTTAGGCCATTTGGGTTTTGTTTTTCTGTTCTTGAAACTTAATTTATTTCAATACAACTCACAGCACACCAAATCAGGGAAGTAGATATTATTATTTATAGGAAATTTTGAGAGGAATATTAGGGCTGCTCTTGCAGTTGCTAAAGAATTTAAGAAACACCTATGTCATCTCTTTTTCAACTACAGTGACAAGCACTACTTGGAATCCCATGTAGAGGAACTTAGCAAGAACAAAGAGTGGATTGTACCTGTTGATTGTTTCATGAATCAAAACCAAGCATGAATTTTCAATTGTTTTGAGGTCTCCGGATTGATAAACTCAGCTCTGGAAGAAACTATGGAAGCTCTAGCAAATTCAAATATCAACATGGTAGGAGTGTATGGATCAAGCACTTTGAGAAAAGCCAATTTAACTGAGAAAATTTCTAGAAGAGTAAGAAGGGATAACTTGTTTTATATAACTGTGATAGCAAGTGTTACAGAAAAGCCAGACCAGAAACGGATTAAAGAAGAGCTTGGAAACATGTTAGGTTTTCAATTTGGTGAGGAGACTGTGGTTGGAAGAGCTAAACATCTTTGTGATAGGATAAAGAAAGAGCAAAGGATTCTGGTCATCCTTGATGATCTTTGTGCTGGAATTAACTTGGATAGAGTAGGAATCCCGTTTGGAAATGATCATAAGGGTTGCAAAATAGTCTTGTTATCTGGGTGTGTGGATGTATTGATCAACCAAATGAACATTGCAATGAGTTATTTATTGTGAATCTTTCTTCTAAGGATAACTCTCAACTTGTTTGTATAGAGATCGAAAGACAAAAAATTAATGAAGTAATTGAAGAAAACAAATAGTAAACAATATCTCTTTCAAACTCCTGTCTCCATATGACTACCTCATGCATAGCATAATTTTTTTTCCTTGTTCTATTTAATTGAGAGCAAACTTTTTTTTTTTTTGGTTTATCTCTTTTGTGTTGATCAATTGTCACAATGGAAGAAAGTCCACATTCTATATGCCGGAATATAATATAATGATAAAAATGGATTTAGGAAACAGTTACTACAGCTTGCTTAAGTGTGATTGATTTGATTACCTATCTGCTTACCTGAATGATAATAGAGGGTGTTTCCTTTTCTGCATTACTGTGCATCTTATCTCAGCTCACATTGAGTTCTCACTTCTCATTCAATTTTCCCTGCATTTCCAAGCAAAAGGCAGTGCCATACAGCAGCCAAATCCACTTTTCAATCAACTTTATCTGCCTTGATTTACCACCTTAATCTTCCTAACACAGAAAGATATCCCCTCAAAACATACAACTAAAGGTTATTTTATAACTAAACCTTGTACCTAACTACCATTCACTTGGCATCTATAAAAGCACCCTCCTTGGTTACACCTTCCACACATCAGGAACACTCTTTGCAATAACAACTACCAATTCACTTGCAATTCTTTATTTCAAAAGTTGCAAGCAGTATAGAGCCTCGATTTTCAACAAGAAGATGAAGCAAATTCTCTTCTCACTCCTACTACTTGCCCCCATTTTCTCAATCACCACTTTAGCTCAGTCACCAGCTGCAGCCCCTAAGGCCCCAACAAAACCTGCACCTGCAAAACCTGCCCCCGCCACACCGGCTCCAGCACCCGCAAAACCATTAGTCCCATCATTACCTCAGTCACCATTGGCAGGTCCTGATGCTTCTGGCAGCCAAGACATCATCAAGATTCTAAGGAAGGCCAAATCATTCAACACTCTAATCCGGTTGATGAAAACCACCCAAATCATCAACCAAGTGAATGCACAACTGGTGACCTCAAAGAATGGAGGCTTAACCATCCTTGCACCAGATGATGGAGCCTTTTCAGAACTCAAAGCAGGGTACTTCAACTCCCTGGGAGATAGGCAACAAAAAGAACTGATACAGTACCATGTTCTTCCTGTTTATGTCTCAAGCTCAAACTTTGACTCTCTCAGCAACCCTGTGCTGTCACTAGCCAGTGACAGCCCCACAGGGTTTCAGTATAATGTGACAGCATATGGTAACAGTGTGAACATTTCAACTGGGGTGGTCAATGCCACCCTCAAAGGCATTGTGTACACTGATAAGACACTGGCCATTTATCATGTGGACAAGGTGCTTATTCCTTTGGACTTCTCTAAGCCTAAGCCTATAGCTCCAGCACCAGCTCTTGCTAAGGCACCTAAAGCTGATAAGGAGAACTCATCTGCTGAAGACAATGATCAGGCTCAGACATCCAAGGACAATTCTGGTGCCATCAGCGTTCATGGAACAACGTTGGTGTCCCTTGGAGTTGCTATGCTTGCTGCAGCAGCAACAGTATTGTGTTGAAGAACCTATCCATTTCCAAAACTCTCTCCTATGTTTTCAGGACAAGCACGCTACTGTTGTCGACTTTTGTTTATGTTGTTTTGTTCTTGACTTGTGTATTGCGTAGGGAAAGTGTTGTTTGAGTTATGTGAACCTTTTTCCTGTTCCTGCTTTGCCATTAAACAAAAACATATATGATTGTTTTATTCTCCAAGACAAAAGGAATATCTGATTGTTTTGCTTAACTGTATGCTTCCATTTATGTGCACTGTTCCTCTCCCTAGTCTTGATTGCTTAGATTAATTGCAGCCTAATGGGTTGGACTCAAGTCTTATTCACCTGATAAATTCGGCTACATAAATCACACTTCCTCCAATCTTTTTTATAAAAAACAAAAAATTAAATCACCGAAACTAAAAAAAGCAATTAAGTATACTATATTTTTCATAAATATAAAATTTATTTCAAAAATACTCATGATATTAAATAATATAATTAATAATTTATATACTTAATGATACTGATAAAAGAAAAATATAAAAGAAATTTAATAATTAATGTATCTTAAATTTATTATTTATTTCTTATAATAAAAATAAAAAAAATATTCTATTTTATTTCTTATAAAAAAGACTAAAAAGAGTATTACGTATGATTAAATTTGGTAAAAGTGAAACATTTAAAATATTATTAATCAAAAGATTTTTTTTAACAATTTCTTCTGAACACAAAAAAAAAAAAACACATGATAATCAGAAAAATGTATAATTATCAAATATATCTCAATAAATAAATGAAAATATTTAAATATAATATTTTAAATAAAGGTGATAAGGTTATTGAAAGTGTTGATTTAAAAAAGTTGGAAGAGTAATAATCGGAAAGCGAGCGGCTGCGTGGTAATGGCATGAGAAATTATATTCTTATAAAATTGTTTCACAACTTATACAAAAGCATAAAAGTCAAACTTACCCATAACTTTTAATTAATGAAATAAATTATAACATCATTTTATCTTCTTATACTTTTGTATGAATTATAGTAAAAAAATTGTAAAAGTATCAAATCTATGATTATAGATAACTTTCTTTCGTAAATAAGAGGTTAAGTAAGATATTTCATGGATCAAAAAACTAAAAAGAATTAAACTTATATATTTTTGTTTTATCAAATACTGTTGGCCGATCTCATCAATCTTGCCAAGAAAAATGTTTGTTTCACATAATTTGTTTTTACATTTTCATTCCCACCCATGGAATAAAAAAGTCTCATTTCTTCTCTCTTTACTTATGAGATGTGATGACACATTTTTACTTGTGTAAAAAATGATGAGAAAAAAAATTTAGGCACTTTGCTTAATTGGCTGGGACACAAATTTATAATACCTGAGCTTATCTTTATTTCACGTAAATAACGCTAATAGTAAATAGTAATGGGACTTTTTATGAATCAAATTATATACCTCAGTCCTCAGTTGTTTATCGAATTAAAGAGTGAGAAAGAAACCTTATATTAAATGACAACAGAAAAATTAAACAATTTATCAATAACAAAGATCCTTTCATGTAATATTTTAAGATTTTGAGCTAAATCGATCAGATGGCCAATTGGGTTTGCTCTTAACCTCATGATGGAGAACTCATCAAGTTTGACTCTCCTAAACTCAATCTAAATGTTGAATGCCAATTAATACGTAATTTATCATTAAATAATGTAGGTTATAAGGTAAAATATTTAATGTATAAAAATATTTTCTTAAATCAAGTTATCTTCTAGGTATTAGGAAAATTCTTCCCCTAATTAAAAACACCATTGTTATATGCAGGATACGTCCAAAATGTCATTAGAAAATATTATAATCAAATTTGAAGGTTCCCCTTGCATACAACTCAAAACTTTTCTCTTTCCCGTTAAAACTTTTGGCAAGTTAAAAAGAATTCTCTGTTAAGTTTTTGGGATATAATCAGAAGAAGAGATGTAGGTAGTATGGTAGGTCACAGGTGTAGGATTGGGCCCTCCATCCTTACCTAAATCTCTTTCAGACAACACCACTCAAGATTTCTAACATATTGTGCTTATTTCCTCCTAGTTGATGGAAATACTAAACCTATATACAGCCTAATCGTCCCCTTTCCAACTATATTCTATCTCATGCATCCAACTGATTGGAACAATGATGTGAAAGCGAATAGTTGCATGCATCTACATTTTAATTCACCTTGGCTTCTTACTGCTCCATCACTGCCAAATCTCCCCTCCCTCACCATTTATCATACCATATGATGCACCACCTTTCCATGACAAGTAAAGCAGATTTGTCCTTTACAACTAAGTGCATCTTTCTATGTTCTAACTAATAAACATTGTACCTACCAATCATTCCCTTCCAACCCATAATATAAAAGGCAATCCCCTCTCCCTCATCTCTCACACAGCAAGCAATCCAAAGCACTAGTAGCTAGCTAGACTCAAGACCATCCATCCCACAGTATTATTAATCATAGCCCAAAAATGAAGATGATGCAAGAATCTCAATCTCTCATTTCCACCACAATAATGCTACTAGTAGCACTCACACTTACACTCTACACCACCACCACTTCAGCACAACTCTCACCAATTCAACCCCCCACAACATCACCATCTCCCCCAGCACCACCCCAATCCCAACCCTCCCCGCCATCTCCGGCGGTAGCCTCACCGCCGGCCACAGCTCCGGCACCGGGATTCAACACAGTCCCTCTTGTCCCAGTAACCCCAAGCGGGGCCCCCACACTGTCACCCATTGTCCCCAAAGGCCCTACCATTGACATAGTCCAAATTCTAAGAAAAGCCAAAAGATTCTCCGTTCTAACTCGCCTTTTGAAAACCACCCAATTGATCAACCAACTCAACTCACAGCTCATAACTTCAGGCTCAGGAGGGTTAACCCTCTTTGCACCAGAAGACAGTGCCTTCTCCAAACTCAAAGCTGGGTTCCTCAACTCTCTCACTGATAGACAAAAAGTTGAACTACTACAGTTCCACAGCCTCTCTTCCTTCATATCCATCTCAAACTTCGATACCCTCACCAACCCCGTCCAGACACAAGCCGGTGACGACCCACAAAGGCTTCAACTTAACGTCACCACTTACGGCGGTAGCCAAGTCAACATGGCAACCGGCGCCGTTAACGCCACCGTTACCGGAACCGTTTACACGGACAGCAAGCTAGCTATATACCAGGTGGACAAGGTGCTTCTCCCTCTCGACCTCGTACTTCCAAGCAAAGCTCCGGCGCCGGCGCCGGGGTTGGCCAAAAAAGGTTTGCCTAAGTCTGATAAAAACTCGACGTCGGCAGATGATAGCGCCGGCGAAGGTGTCGACGGTGACGGTGATGGGAAGGCTTTGCCAACGGGTACTTCTGCAGGTTGTTCTATGAACGTGATGATGTGGGTGAATGTTGTTGGAGTGATGGGTTTTTTGGGAGGAGTTTTCATGTGATGTGAGTGTTTATTGATGGACAGAGGGATCCAATAATTTTTGTTGTGCTTTGTGAGTGAAATTTATTTGTGTTTTGGGTTCTTGGTTTTGTGTGTATAACGTAGGGTGAAAGTGTACGTGTATGTATCTGTGCATGGCTCAGTTTCTTCTTCTTCTTCTTCTTTATTTGTGTTCTGTCGTGTAACCGAATTTATAAAAGAGAAGATTCTGCATGTATTTTTGCCTTTGCTTTTTGAGAACTTAGGGTGATTTTTTAATAAAATATAAAAATTATTATTCCCGATTTTTGAAAAAAATTAGTTAGTTTTATAGAATTAAAGAATATTTCTATAATTTTCTAAAATTAGTATATAATATTTTTTAATTCTATAATAAAAAATAAAAATACATATTAATTGACCAAGCTTATTTGTTGTAAGTACTTCTAGCATCGAGTATTTATAAATTGGTGGGTTGTTGTGTTTATAATTTTATTTTTAAATTTTTAAATTTGATAAAAAATGAAAAGTGAATAAATTGATAAATAAATAATTGTTTTCGTCAATCCTTTTTTTCTTTTTCGTCAATTCAAAATGGTTTATTTATAAAAGTGTTAAAGTCTTACGTTTCAAACGCCCATTTGAAAATTTGGTGGCGTTCGCCCCGGGTACGTATTTGAAGGGGTGACCTTATATATGATTCTTCGTCGTTTCTTTACAAGTAGCAACATATAGTTATTGCTTGATTGTCACTTTGACCCTTATATTAATTTATCTCCAAACTTCATTTAATAATTATAAAAAAAGACTTAATTAAAACAATTAAAAAATTATAAAAAGCATATAAGAAAATAAACATAAAATTACATATAAAGTAAAATATAAAAATTAAGGTTAAAATTATATTATTGACGTGGGGCTTGATTAGTGGGTAAGGATTTGTGTTTTGGTTATGAATTGAAATTTCCGTGGTCGGTCCTTTAAATTATTTGTGATTCAAAATTTTGTGACTTGGCTGAAAAGGATATATAGCCTCTTTTTAAAATAATAATAACAATACTAATAAGCCAAAGCTATTCCACACGCTTTTACTTAATTTCTTTCTCAAAATCAAACAAATTAAGCTTTAAGCATTGCAAAAGTCTCAGTATTCTCCCAACATTTGCCACTTGGCAAACAACTGATGCAAACAAATTAAGATAGAAATTAATGCATATGTTTTATCATTATTGATACATGTAAATTATCTTTATTGAAATTAGATTATCATATTATGTGATATTTTAAAGTGATATGCTTATAATTTTGTTATTTAAGTGAGAAAATTACTCACGTATTCATAACTTTTTAGAGTTACTAATATTCGTGTCTGAAGATTGTTAGAACTGTGAATTTAAATTATATAGGATTATTATATTACAATTTTAAATAATAAAATTACATATGCATATTTAATTTTAAAAGTTCATTAACAATCATGTATATTCATTTTTAATTTTAATTATTTATTTTTAATTTTAATTCTAAGATACATGTTTTTGGACACCATTTAAGACTTGTAGTAATTGATAGAAGTCACAATTAATTATTCCTTTAGTATTTTAAATTTTATTGGTATAGGACACAATTTTCCTCTTCTTATGTCTCAAAGATTGATAGGATTTATATATATATAGTCTCATTAACCATTTCATATGTCCTAAAGACGTGTGTTCATATTTTATGCCTTTTCATAAAGTGATACAATATTTAAAACCATATATTTATATGAAGAGTTGTAATAATTTCTATCAATACTATTTTGAAACAAAAAAAAATGACTGGTTAAATTTAAACAATTTATTACATTTAATTCAAGTTGATCAATATATAATTTAAAATTAACAAAATTTTATTCCTAATTGTACAAATAAGTAAAGAAATTGAAAGTTAGTCCAAACAGCCTACAATTCACTTAGGGTGAGCTAGTAATTTGTTAGTTGAAACTGTGTTTTAGTTTACTACTAACGTGAAATTATATATCCATTGACATCTAATATTTTGTTGACAAAAAATAAAATCCTTTAAGTTATACATTAATTTTTTTAATTTTTTAATTTTTTTAATTTAGTCATTTAATTTGTAAAATTATTTTTAAAAAACTTTAATTATGTTAATTACTATTTGTTTTCTTCCTTCTTTTAATGAAAGGATAGTACATATTAAAGATTTTGTTAGTTGCTTTTTTTTTTCTCATTTTTTTCTTCTTTTTAGTTCTTGTCTACACCTGCATGACTTATTTTCTCTCATTCTTAAAAATTCTAAAAAATATATAAAATACTTTGACAAGTTTCTTCTTCTTCTTTTTTATTTATCTTCGTATGCCTCAATCATACCTTTGCAATATGTTTTTATTTTTGAACTTTGATAAAAACACACTTTTTGATGGGTTCAAGGGTGTTTTTATTACTATTATTTTTTTTTCTTGTGTTACTGTTTTAATTATTAATTTCATGAAAATGCAAGAGAATAAAATTTCAATTGAGAGAAAATGTATCATAAAAAAAATGAGTTACAAAAGTGGTCGAAGGATAAGAGAATAAAAAAAAAGGAAAAAAATAAAATAGGGATAAATATTTTGAGGAAAAGTAAAATGAGAAAAGTCATATAAGACTTTTTAGAATTTTATCTATACTTGATACTATTATTCTTATCTTCTTCTATGCTTTTTCTTGTGACCATAAGATTCAATCCACCAAAATGTATTATTTTTTTGTTGGAAATTTTAAAAAAAATAAAAAACATTATGTAAGTGGAGATAATGAGTAAGAAGAATATAAAAAATTATTAGTTTTATATTTAATGAATTTTAAAAAATAAAAAACGAAAATAAACAACTCAAATCAAGTACAGTAATCTTTATTATGAGTATTGTAGTTATTTTTTAAATTGAAGACAATTATACACAGTGCAAGTCACAAATATGTAAATGAAAGTGACTCCTAATTTAAGATTATTTCTTACATGAACACAAGACCAATAAATGCATTAAACAAAAAATTGAAATAATATTAAACAGTTTAGTAGTATTTACTGCTGGACATGTATTTAAATTTTTTAGTAGATAGTCATTTAGGGTATATTTAATATAATATTTTAAGTATATGTCTGATTCAATTAGGTTATTTCTAAAATTAAAACATGTTACAAAACATACAGTGAAAATAGACATTTTATCTTAAAAACAAAAACTAATCAAAATATTGGTTTATCTAATTTTATTTTGGATAAAGAAAAGGACACCACACCCTCCTTGAGTTTGCTATGAAGTCAAAACTCGAAGGGCACATGCATAAACCGAACTACCAGAAATGCCCAATTTATTTCATTCCCATTAGCCCCATCTTCCAAACTCTTATCAAGAACCCCATATCTGCATAATCCAATTTCAGACCCAAAAAAGCGAAACTCTTCCTCTACAGCAAAGTCAAATAATTTTAAAAAATATTAATCTAGATCTTTAAGATAAGCTTTAAATAGTTAAAACAATAAATTTTCATTTTAAAAATATTTATTATACTAAAATATAAAAAGTAATACATATTAAAATATTAATAATTTGTTGTATTTAAGTTAATTTTAAAGACTGAAGTAAACGAAGTTGCTTAAATAAAGAAAAAAATGGACCATGATTTGTATACATAATCACCCGTCAAACTAAGGATTAAGGAAAATAATTATCTCGACGGCTTTCATTGACTTTCCTAGAGAGAGAAAAGCAAAAAGTCAGTGGAAATTCAGAGCCTTTTTCCCACCTTTTCTCACTCATACGCGGATACGGCCGAAATTATTACTATAATCCAATCCTAACTCTCCCTACCCTCTTCCCTTCCTATAACTTCGACTTCTCAAACAACTTTCCTTAGACATTCTAACTTTTCCACCCAACCTCTGCAAAACTGTTTCATAGTATGCCGTTTAGAAACGCAGAAAATATTTTCCCGCAAAATTTTGCAGCCATCGAAAATTTCCCCCTTTCCGCGGGAAAATCCCTCGGTTCCTGAAACCACCATCTGGGTCGTCGCGAATTTTGGAAACCTAGAAAAAAAAAATTTCGATGGCTTCGGGGGCTATATTCTCGTCGCTCCGGCGGCGGAGGTCGCCGTCGTTGGAGGCGTTTCTGGCGCCGGTGGACCTCGCCGACGTGGCGCTGGTGCGGACTCTGGTCTCTGTCGCCGGCGACCTCGTGTCTTGCTTCTCCGATCACCGGTTCCCCTTTCAGCGCCGGAATTCGCGTTCCCTCATCCGAAAAGTGGAGGTTTTCCGGTCATTGTTGGAGTGTTTGAGGGACTCCTCCGGCGGCGGCGTTGCTCTTCCCCCGGCGGCGGCGCTATGCCTGAAGGAGCTCTATCTGCTGCTCTATCGTTCCAAGATTCTCCTTGATTACTGTGGCCAATCGAGCAAGCTGTGGCTTTTGGTTCAGAACCATTCTATTTCTGGTCACTTTCATGATTTGAACCAAGAATTTTCGACCCTTTTGGACGTTTTCCCCGTTTGGGACGTTGACCTTAGTGATGATGTTAGGGAACATGTTGAATTGTTGCAGAGACAGTCTAGAAGGGCTAAGTTGTTCATAGACAAGAAAGATGATGCCCTTAGGATAAGGCTCTTCTGGTTTCTTGATGAGTTTGAGAGTGGGAGGGTTCCTGATTCTGCTGAATTCAGGTCTTTCTTTGTGGATAAGTTGCAGATTCTTGATGCCAAGAGTTGTAGGGTGGAAGTTGAAGCCTTGGAGGAGCAGATTGTGAATCATGTGGATGATGTTGAGCCAACAGTTCCTGTGCTTAATGGGATTGTGGCGATTACAAGGTGTTGTAGGTTTTTGTTATTTGGATTTGAGGAAGATGATGTTGAATTGGAAATAGGAAATCAGAAGGTCAAGAGGAGGTTGATTACACAGGAAATTGCTGAAACTTTTGTGACTGTTCCTAAGGACTTTTGCTGTCCGATATCGCTGGATTTGATGTGTGATCCTGTGACAATTTCGACGGGACAAACGTATGAAAGGAGGTTAATATCAAGGTGGATGGAGGATGGGCATTGTACTTGTCCAAAAACGGGGCAATTGCTTGTTCATAACCGGCTTGTTCCTAATCGTGCTCTTAGGAATTTGATCATGCAGTTTTGCACTGCACATGAGATACCCTATGATCCTCCAGAGGTGGTTGATGCAACTGCTGAAATGTTTGCATCAGCTTGTCCCTCCAAGGCTGCTCTTGAAGCTAACAGAAGGGCTGCCACACTTCTCATTCAGCAGCTTGCTAATGGGTCGCAAGCCGCAAAGACTGTAGCCGCTAGGGAGATAAGATTGCTGGCAAAAACTGGAAAGGAAAACCGTGCTTTCATTGCAGAAAGTGGGGCAATTCCTTATCTTCGGAACTTGCTTTCATCTCCTAACACTGTTGCACAGGAGAACTCTGTGACTGCCTTGCTCAACCTATCCATTTTTGAGAAAAACAAAAGCCGGATCATGGATGAGGAAGGTTGTTTGGGTTCAATAGTTGAGGTGTTGCAATTTGGGCACACAACCGAGGCAAGGGAGAATGCTGCTGCAACATTGTTCAGTCTCTCTGCTGTCCATGACTATAAGAAAAGGATTGCAGATAATGTGGGAGCTGTTGAAGCACTGGCAGGGCTGTTGCAAGAGGGGACCCCAAGAGGAAAGAAGGATGCTGTAACGGCGTTGTTTAATCTCTCCACGCACACTGAGAATTGTTCGAGAATGATAGAGACTGGGGCAGTAGCAGCTATGGTTGGGGCTTTGGGGAATGAAGGAGTTGCTGAGGAAGCAGCTGGTGCCTTGGCCCTGATTGTTCGGCAGCCTATTGGGGCCTTAGCAGTGGTGAGGGAGGAAGCAGCAGTAGCAGGATTGATGGGAATGATGCGTTGTGGAACACCAAGAGGTAAAGAGAATGCAGTTGCAGCATTGCTAGAGTTGTGCAGGAGTGGTGGTGCATCTGCAACTGAAAGGGTGGTCAGGGCACCAGCTTTGGCCGGATTACTTCAAACCCTGCTTTTTACAGGGACAAAGCGGGCAAGACGAAAGGCAGCTTCACTTGCTAGAGTGTTCCAGAGATGCGTGAATGCATCTCTACATTATGGTGGATTAGGTGTAGGGTATGCATTTGCCAGCAATTCAGCTTCAACTAGGGACACAAGCTTTGCTGGTGATGTTTCAGTTCAAATGTCCATTTCTGTTCCTGTTTTATAGTGGTAATACTCCTATTTTTGTTATGTTCCCAATTTTTGTTGGAAGTCTTTACAGATTCTTTCATTGAAATTTGAAGTCATGTATTAAGAAAGTATAGGAATACCAGATGTATTCTAAGAGAATGATATGCTGTTGAGCAGCTAGCTCAATGCATGTGTAATCAGTTATAGCAAGCAAGAATACAAAATGTTCTAAAGATTAATTAAACCATTTCAGATGTTCTCTATCTTCTGTGCTTTTCTCCTCTTGGCCGTCACTGCTGATAAATATCCTGAATGCCAATTTATTGAATTTTTGTGTGTAATGCTATTTCTTTTATATAATTGATGCGATTTGACTAGGCACATATGCATTCATGTTTCATTTCTTTTAATTCTTTCAAAGAAAGCTTATTTGTGTTAAATTTATGCAGTCGGGTGCTATTGTGCACAACTATTACTTGGATAATTGTGTAACCAATAATTTTGTTCTCATTCTATTTAAAGCTAGTAGAATAAACCGTGTTTGTTCTCAAGTCTTCAGTTATCAAATTTGTAGTCTTCAGTCTTCACATCATCAGATTCCAACTCCAATGTGAGTTAGTCTCAAATGTGTAACACGCATGATTCCATGTTAGCATAGTCCACTAATTCTGTCCTAAAAGTATCTAGGCTATACGGATGAATGCTCTTTTATTTCGCAGCTATGACATCACTACTTTTTCTGCCTGAAGTTTGAATGAAGGTGGATCACACAAGAGATGCTGTATGACATTGACTCTGTTCCTTGCTTTGTTTCAATTCATATGTACTTGGATAAAACAGCTTATCATATGAAGATACCGAGAAAAGTGAAGGTAATTCAAAGATGGGTACTATTTTGGAGAATAAAGTACCTGCGTCCATTTAGTGGTAGAGGATGGCCGTAGTAAATTCATCTTTCACATGAAGGAAACGATGAATAGACGAGAGGGTCCTTAAAGGAGGCGCCGTTTGATTTGTCCCAATTAGATTATTGTCATTGGTTGATTGATGGCAGCCCAATAGTTGCAAGCTGATGTTTTATAAAAGGAAATTAATAATTAAACAACTATAAAAAAGAATAAGGAAAATAAATAAAATGCTGTTTTGTTGGTCTTATTTTGTTAAAGAATAATTTGAATACAATAGTAATTCCTTCTTATTTTGGCAACTAATGAAAAAAAATGCCAAACTTAAAATTGTGGTTTCGGATTAGTTGCATGTTCCTTTCCTTCACATTCAAAGCAGTTAAAGAGATTCCAATATTCGAAATATGTTTCTAAGTGGTCCAAAAGTGCAGGAAAGAATGGCTGTTATGATAGCTTATTTCTATTAATTTTGGTGCAGTGATTGGAGCCACTCTTGAAAAACCTTGTCTTTGGTTTTCATTAACCTCTCTTGAAAGGGAAATTGCAGGTATTACCCGCTGGTTCATGTCTACGGTGCTTAGGCCAATTCCACTTGTAATATGGTGGGGCATGCCTTCACCATTCAGTATTTAAGAGTGGATGGTAAGGGAAGAAGTGGAGGCACATAGAGGGCACATATTTAAAAAACAATTGGAGATTCTGCCAGACACTTAAAGATTTGAGACATGGTGGTGGTTGAGCTTATCTTGTGTTATATGCTATGATTGGAGTAGTAAGAAGATTGCTAATGATGACAATAACACTTTGTGATTAATTGCTTCATTTTAATCCATTAGCCCTTTGTCCACCCTATCTTTTGATAGTCCAAGAAACAGCACAAGTTAGTGTCTTGGGTCCTCACTATTATCCCCGTTTGATAGTTGTTTAACAATATTTTTCCAGTGAATTATCATTAGTTTGGTTTTATAAATAAAGTTTGAATATATCTTCTATGATTTTATTTTTAATATTTTTATTTTTATTTTTAAAGATATACACAAAATAACAAAAGCAAATTTTGCCTTCATAATAAAAATAAGATAGTACTTTTGTATTTATTTATGAATTTAAAAATAAAAACAAAATATTTACTCAAATTAAAACTTCTTAGTTCCTTAAGGAGATTGATTAAGATCACCATAGTAGTTTTATGTAATATATAATTATTTGGTCGTTTCATAATTGTATATATCATTTCAAATTATTCTTGAATGCGGTATCTTAATATGATTTTAAAACCCAATTTCAGGAGTATTTTCACAAACTAATTTTATAATTAGAAACTCGAACCTTTGTTTCTAAGTTTACGGGGTAAATTATACTTTATTTTCTTATAATTTTATACTCTTGCAACGTCTCTCTCTCTTGTATCACCAAACTTTCTTTTACTTTTTGTAGGTTCAATTAATCTGTTAGTTCCTGAATTATCTAAAAAAATTTAATAAATTTCTACTTTCAAACGTCTATGAAGTGCCCAAATATAGTAGTGAGTTTATTGTGAAGAATTTTGAATGTGAACGCTGAAGATTACAACTTTCCTCTATAAATATTAATTGTGTTTTGGAGTAAAAAAATATCTTATTGTCTCCAAGAAAGTCATAATTACTCTTTGATGAATAAGCTGATGAATCTATCCTTTGTTTCATTGCTTGGATATGAGGATGTCGAAGTCAGTGACAGTCCATTCAGCAACTTGTTGAGGGTCTTTGAAAATTTCTGTTCCTAAATCAACTGATGTCCATTGCCTTCTAGCTGGTGCAGTGCCTGGATCCTGCAAGCAATTATATTCAAGAAAGTTAAATTAGGTGATTTCTTAACCTCAATCACAATAGTATTTGGTAGACAAGAGACTCAATCACACTTTATTTCCTTTCCTTCCTCAATCTTAGCTCTACTAATTGGAGCAAAGTTAGTTGGCTTTATCATAGTATCCATCCAAATATGGTGAACTTGTAGTCAGTGTTTGGACATATCTATGTGTTAAAGAGTTTGAATTGAAAAGTCATTATTTGACATATAAACTTAGCATAAAATTGATTCCTGCCTTGTGCCTTTTCTCAAATTCAATTACTTTGCTTTTTAGTATAATAATACCATAGTGCATGCATTAGGAAATTATAACCTGATAAAAGTAAAGGGATTGTGAAAGTCTCCCAACATCAAGGTCCCATGTCTTTGGATTTCCAATCCAACCATCACCCTGCTTGGTAGGATAACCATATTCACCCCATACTGCATGTGGCAAAAGCTGCAATATCTCTTGTGGCTGAGGATTGCTATATGGATCACACAAAGTGTAAGGAGCCTCAAGATGTTCTCCATTTCCAGGAGAGCAGTACAAGTGGTAGGCTGCATAAGGGAAGTGAGCAGTATCACTGCGATGGACTCGTGTCCCGTTGGCGAATGTGTGATAAGGTGGACACAGGTTGAGCTTGTTTGCTTGGCACCATGCAGTTGTGTTTGGATTAATAATCATTTCACTATATCTTGTAACATCTGAGTTTGCATCACCATCACATGGCTTGCCATTGTTCTTCCAACAGCCTCCAATGTCAATCAGGTAAAACTGGCTGCTTGGCCCCCCACCCCTCAGGACATTCAGGGTGAATCTCGCTTTGAAGTTTGGTGATTCTGGAATCTGTCCAATACAAATACTAGTAAATTAATGTGAGAAGAATCAAATGACTAGAGTAGGATTTAGTGGGGGATTCATAAAGCTTTTTGGAAACTAAGCACAAATTCTTATGTTCATAGAAAATGTTTGTGCACAAAGCTTAGGGGAGAAATATTGAGTTTATTTTTATATAAATCTGTTTTTATGTCAATATGTGTATAGTGTGAAATCAAAGTTTTGAGTTGGACCCCGGGGAAGAAAGAGTGACTCACAATTTTGGACATTCCCCTTGACGGGTAATGATATCCACCAGAAAAACCAGTTGTGGCATCCGATCTAAAGTAAAGCATTAACCATGGATACTTTATTGAGGTTCTCAGGATGTGGTGAAAAACCCAACTTCCTTTGCTAATTTCCTTCTGCCAGGTCACCGAGTAGTAAGATTTGTTTTGCTCTAATCCAAAACTCAAATCAACATCTAGGTCCCATGATCCAAAAAACCTTCCCCTGAGCATAGTCCTAGTAGGCCCTTGCAATGTGGTATAGTTATGATAAATCAATGGTTGGTTCATGCAACCTGTCCCAAAGCAGGGAAAAGTACCATCCGACACAAAAGGTCCAACTTTGTGGCCATTGTGTGGGCACTTAGCAGCCAAGGTGTCCATATTCCCATTCTTAAGCATGATCATCCAAAACTGCCATGGATTTGGGGTGTCTTTTACTTCACATTTAGATCCCAAATACAACTCTTTCTCTGCAGCATAAAGGTTTGCATTGTGCAAGGCATGTGGATGTATTCCAAGAAAGGTATCGCCAGAGCCAAGCTTGTTGTCATCTTCAGTGACTCTATGGACCAAAGTATAGGGAGGAAAATTGCAGAGAGAGCAGTTCTTCTCTTAAACAACAAACAAACACAAACTAATCACTAGATACAACAGGACCAAAAGAGCTATATTCTAATTGAATTGTTGAGGTGGATTCTATATTTTTCTTTTCTCATGCTCCAAAATTTGACTACAATTGATGGTTATCATGAAGCAATAAAAGTCATGTTCATAAATGTAAATCTCAAGACAGAAAAGAAAAGCAATATATAACAGTAACATAAGATTTATAGGCCTACCTTCTACCTTTGGAGAAGCCTTATAAATGTCAAAACAATCAGCTGCTCTTGGGCTGCCCATTTGAGGAACTTCTTCTCCAACTTCATTGCACTGATTCCATGATTCTATTGCCAATCTAAGGCCATCCCTTCTCATTCCTGGATCACCTAAAGCCGATATATACCTGACTCCAATGGCAAAATGAGCCATGGAAAGGACTAGCAAATCCAAAAGAACAAAAAGAAAACTTTGGTTCCACTGTTTGGCCATAAATGAAAATTCAAGATGTTCTATTATGTGCCTTGGTAATGGTTTTTTTTTTTTTTTTTTATCTTTGTTGCTCAAACACATGGAGGAACATTAAAATCTATCTGTTTTATTTGAATTAAACATCTTTCTATGTAGCATATTCCCACTAATAAGAGGGTTCTTGTACAGTTTTGTCAAACTCATTTACCAACCAGCAAAGAAAATGACATGACCTACTTTCTCTACAAACTTGGTAGTTCAAAATTTTACTTTGCAGATAATTGTCTAGTGTTCAAGCAACACATGTAGCATTTACAGTTGCATGAAAAATGACTGATGAACGTTTCGAACGATATTAACCATCTTCAAGACCAAAGTGAATGCTGTTAGAGGGAGTCGGAAATCAATTACACACAAAACCATATGTATGTATTGTATATAATTCATGTAACAAATTTTTGGTGGTGTTTATAAGGAATAGGTTGATGACTGTCAGTTTTGAAATAAAATGAATGAATATAAAGAAAAGAGCTTGCAAATCCAAAAAGTTTAGTCCCTTAAGAATAACGTCTGTGTTTCCTTTTCCATATCCATCAAGCAAGAAGTATTTTTTTAACGAAGTTTCAGTATATTTCAAATCTTGATCGGGTTTTAGTCGTTCCAAATTCAATATCCATTATCACAACTGTCAATGAGAAATTAACTTGATGAGCTAGCACCTTGGCTTAAAATAAATAATATTGGTTTCATTTGCAAGATTATGCTAAAAGCAAGAGGAAGAGCATCTAGTTTGGAAGACATGTCTTCTTCAATTATATCTTCGTGGTAAAGTGAAAATAAACCACTTTGTCATGTTTAATCATATAATTGGGAAGAGGTGCAAAGAGAAACTTCCCTTCTTGAGCAACAAAACCGGTAGAGGGAACTGGACTTGTAAGTTTGCTTATTCAAGTATGAGGTGAAACACAATTGTTGAGAAATTCAGTTAAACGAAAAAAAATTTGAAAGTTTCTTCCATCGTATATAGAAATATCCCTTACTCTCTAAATGCATAAAGATAATTTCATACAATGAAGAAAAGATTCGCTTTCAATTCAAGTTAACAAGAAATGACTAGATCACGTCAGAGTGCAAAAGAAGGATGAGATACTGTTAGTTGAAGGATTTACTGTGTAAGGGTGAAAAGGAAATAACTTGTAAAAGATAATGGGCCCAAAATTCTTTTCTGTACTTAGCTGATGGTCTGGGTCATCTGTCAAAATAAGCCACCAAAGAATCAATTTGATGACTTCTTTTGTTGACAAATTGCAACACAACACCAATTTAGAATTTCATAACTAACCGAATTTCATCTACCCCATGTCTTTTTTGGTCTTATATACCTTGCTTAGTAACTAAGGTTCCCCTATTGATCTTAACAACGTTATTTCTAGGATTGGATCTCAAGAGCTCAGCATAATTTGGATGAGACAAGCAGAATCTAATGATATAATAACTACTAAGACAAGGTACCATTTGCTAAGATGGTGGACGTTGTGTCAAGTTTCTTTTGAATAATCACATCTATTTTTATTTAATAATTCACACATAATCTAATTGGCACAAAATCCCACGAAGGGTTCTTGATTATTGTTGGATACAGAGCCCTCGCCTTTTGGATTGACACGGCATTTATCTATTTTTTTATTTATGTGTTCTGAGAGTTGAAGAATCTATCAACATAGTTTTTGCAATTATCTACTTAGCAAATTAGAAGTATATAAAGCAAAGATAAAAAAATATGTAAATATAAATACAAGTCCAAAAGAAATGTTACTACAAGACATTTTAGTGGAAGCCATATTAGTTATGTTGTGATAATGTTTTAAAAATCAAATTAGAAATTAAATAAAACTTACTTTTTAATTACGATATTTTTCGTAAGAATGTTCATAAATAACAGTAGTAAAGTAAACTGTACAAATTTCTTTCTATTTTCTCTCATGGCTGATGCAAATAATTGTTTGGTAAATTTTTAGATTCATCTATTTTCGACAGAAAAAATTTGTACTATACAGCCACAACAAAAATTAAATCTGGCAGGATGTTTAAATTGATTTGATTGATTCAAATGGTTAAATTAGTGACCGAAGTACCGTTAGATAAATTAATACAATCAAATCGAAAATATGCCTAATTTACAATTTGACCTGTTGAACTAACCGATCTGATTGAAGTTTCTGAACATAATTATACTTTTATGAGACAATTGTGTCAGTTATGTGAAATAAGAGTAAATTTGAATTATTTGAAATAGTTACAATAAATTCAAGCATATAGGAATAAATTTAATTTATAGCCTTCAATATTGTGTGACCAACAATTTAGTCCTTAAATTTTAAAAGCTGCAAGATGGTTATGAAATTCCTTTTTCTTTTTCTTACATTGGTCATTGGTTATGAAATTTCTCATCGGGTCAAAATGGAGTTCATGATTGACTTGGTGAAAATTTTGACAAAAAATATTACATTTTTGGCATGTTTGTCTCTGAAAGAAACATTTTTGGTCATGTTGCATTCATAGACAGACAGGACTAGATTTGGAGAACCCCAACCGCCAAACGCTCTGCTTAGTCCTAGTAATAGTGCATGCAACTAACTTGGGTAATGGCCACTGTACTGGCCATTGAGTCTTTGATTCAGAAGAAAAAAGTTAAGGAAACTATTCCAAAGAAATAAAGCCAGGAAAAGCAAAAGATGAGACAAGGATTTTGCTCGCTAGAATGATAGGAGGAAAGTCACTCCCAGTCCATCACAAAATCCAAAATGAAACTGTTTTTTGTTTTGGTCAACAAAATGAAACTGTCTTAATTCTTTAGTTTTGCAACTTTTACAAAGCCCTCTCTACATGGGTTATTGTGAAATCAAAGTTAATATTCAAATGGACTGCAATATGAGCCTCCTTTTATCTTCCAGACTAACCTCCAGTGACAACAAGTATCAACCTTCAGCACAAGGCCAAGGCTAAATAAGAATAGCTGTTTCACAAAATGACATGTACTGGGCTACCATTTTTGTTATGATTGTTACGAAAAAGTAAAGCTACATATAGCCTCTTATATGTTTGTGTCCTTCAAATAAAGTTCATAAAAGGTACCTGGTTCACAATCATTTTCTTGTAACAATTAAATTTCTAATTTCATTTCGTTGATGTCAACTTGATTTTAAGCATATAAAAGTAATAGTTTATTTGTATAAAAAAAATACAATATTTATTATATTTTTATGTAATAAATTATTACTTTTTTAATAAAAGTTACTATTTTGATATGCTTAAAATTATTTCTGATGTTAATAATTTTCTTTCTGATTAGCATTTTGCCAATTTGTAATTACTTATATTACTGTGTGGGTCTAAAAAAGAGGTCCCCATCTTGGCACAAATCTTATTTTTGAGTAGAAACCAAAAAAGCAGGAAAGTGGCTAAAGTGGTCACAGGAATTGGGGCGGGTACTCTTTTGAAAATATTGCAGATAAAAGCAATAAGAAACTCACGTTCCTATTTAACACTCTAACCGTCCCACTAACTGCTACAACTCTCTCACACTCACCACCATTTTCCATTACCCCATTTCACTTTTGCTCTCTCTCTTCTCAGAAGACTAATAAACCTTAACCATATCAAGAGTTCCAAACACAAAAGAACCTGCAGACTCAACTTGTCAAGATAAAACTATGAAGTGGGGTGGCAGAAAACCTTCTTCATCTTCTTCTGCTTCCTCTTCTAGGCCTTCATTCATCTCTCATGCATCTCCTTTTTCATGGCTTTCCAAGTTCAAGCAGATGAAAATCAACTCAGAGCCAAAACCCGCATCACTGAAGCAGAATGCAAAACAGAATTCAATTCCATCTGATGCTTCACCCCATTATGCTTGTGGGAATAGAGAAAGGTTTTATGGAGGGGATGATGATGCTTTCTGGAGACTCTCATTTGGTGAAGAGGGTACTAATGAGCATAGGAAAAGTGAAGATATTCTGAAACCAGTAATGTACAGTTTGGATGCTGAGCATGCCATTCCATCCTCAAGTGATAGACTCAATGCTAAAAGACATGGTAGAAAAGAATGCAGTTTGAAGTTGAAGCAGAAGGAAACTGGACTAAGAGAAGAGACAAAATTGCTGAATGAAACAAAGAGTGTGAAGGAACTTGAATACTTAAGGAGGAGGTATGAGAGGAAAGCACAAAGGGTTTTGCAAGAGCAACTCTTGAAATTAGAACGAGCAGAAAAAGAAGCTGAATTTGCATCAAGTGAATGCTTAGAACAATTTGATTCACCAAGAACAATTTGCACACCAAGAAAGCATTTGTTTTCCTCTCATGTAGATTCAAGATGTTCTGGCCTTGCAAGTGTGAGAGAAGCTTGTGCATATAGTACCCATTTGGGTTCTGAGTGGTCGAATTTGAAACAAAGTGAAGAATTGAAAGCAAAGATTAACAAGCAGAGGCAATCACTTCATGTGAGCAGAGAAAACCAAAAGAGAAAACCAAAGCACAGTTCCAAGGTTAGAGTGTATTCTCCAAGGATGGGTTCCAAGGTTGAAATCCGCAAGATAAAGGCTATTGAGGAGAAAAAGAAGGCAAAACAGAAGATGAAAAAAGAAGAAGAAGAAAGAGAGGAAGTTGTGGAGGGAACAACAGGCTTGGATTTGGATAGCTTTGCTGTGGTGAAATGTTCTTTGGATCCTCAACAAGATTTTAGAGATTCAATGATTGAGATGATCACAGAGAAACAGATCAACCAGCCAGAAGAAATGGAAGAGCTTTTAGCATGTTATCTCACTTTAAATTCTAATGAGTACCATGATCTCATCATCAGAGTGTTCCGCCAGGTTTGGTTGTGTATGAGCCAACCTCGTTTGTGTGTTCAATCACACAAACAATGTTGTTGCTATGATTAGCAACATCATGTTTAGTTTGTAGGAAAATTTTAGCAGAATTTGTAAATAGTTTCGATTGTCTAGTTATGCTTTAAACTTCACTTGAATTTCATTTTTTCTGTTCTACTCACTTCTTTGTACACGATTCAAGAGAAGCTGCATCAAGATCTCAACAAGCTTCATTTTTTCATATAAGAATAATAGTAATTACTAATACTATATAATACTCTGCATAAGAATCTATATAATACCAAGTAATTTACACTCAAATCATGATTATTTTTTTGAAGCTAGAATTCTTGTGCACTTGTCGCAAAATCATCATTCTTCAGTATTATTTTTATGGTAGGGGTGAAACCTGTTGAGGAAATAAGGAATCTAAAATTCCAAATGATAAAAAATTTCCGAAAATAGAGAATTCACACATGGCATTGCAGCTATGCACATCAAAGTTTGCCCATGCTGGTTGAATAACCAATGCTTCTTATAATTATTTGATTTAAAATTTGTGGCAATACAAATAAAATATCATAATATTAATAGAAAAATGTTAACAAATGTCCTAATGTAAGGGATATAAATAGATTCTTTTATATATAAAAAAAAAAATCATCAATTTACTTTCACTTTAGATTCTAATGTATTCTCACATGTTTGTAATTTCTAATTATTTTTTTAAGTTTCTTAATCGACATCTTTAAAATACTTGTTGCCCTGCCCGGACTAATATTCTACTGTGCACAAAGATTTGTATTCATTCTTAACAAATGTCCTAATGTAACAATTTAGGATTATTTAAACTAAAAATTAAATAAAACAACTCTATTATTTGAACATGTAAAAATTAATATTGTATATGATAACGTATATAATTTTTTATCTTTTTTTTTCTTTATACACATATCAAAAAATACTCTCCTAAATTAAAAGGAACACTAAAATATTTTCTAAAATTAAATTATAAATATTAGATTAAAATGTTATGATTATAAGTCAATGAGTTGGATATCTGAAAGGTGAAGCTGAGCTTCTTTAACAAATGAGGTAGAACTTTTATTTGATTTTTTTTTTTTTATGAACACAAGAATGAGATTCATGAGCAAATTTCATTCATTGTCAACCCTAACATAACACAACACATGGTTGACTAGGACCATGTAAGAATCTCTTTTTTTCTTCCCCTTCTTTCCTTGTGATATAAAATGTCTAAAACCATAGTGTTCACTTCATTGAAGCCTGTCTAATATCTCAAACATCTTTTCTTTGTCACTGACCCACCGTTCATAAAGTTTAGAGCTCTTGTAGCATTGTTGTAAATGTCATTTAAGAGAAATGTTAGTTTTACTAATAAAGCTTGCTTGTTTTAAGAGGCAACCAGCATGTTGTGAGGCATTAGGTGAGGGCCATCATGTGAGTGAAAAAATTGTGCAATATCTTTATCACCAAGGTACCATTTCTGATCATCTATATTAGGGATAAATAAATGATACAACCTACAAAGCAAATAGTACTTTGACTATTATTGACACAATTCTGTTATTTCAACAATTATAAATTGACACAATATCACCTATTTTTTAAAATTATATTTTTACACACATTCTAAAAATATAATTAAAAATTATAACTAAAAATTGTCTTTAAAAATTATATAATATGGAGAAATTATTAGGAAACCAAGAGTATCCCAATACAAAGTTTGACGACTACTAATTCTATACCTAAAACATGTATCCTGTTCTCTTGCGGATGCAAGACCCATCACCTAATTACTTTCAAGTGGAGGCATTTATGCTATATCTACACAATGCTAAGTTAGTTAAGAACATAGTATTAACATGTTACATATAAGAGCAAAGCAATGCTAAAAGTCAACTTGGTGGTTACTTGGGATACCTACAAAAAAGCAGAGGCAATAAAGTTAACATACCTGCTAGGGGCTCATACATAGGTCATTCCACTTTAATCATGCTGCAGGTAGCCTTTATATCAGCAAATTAATATTTTCATTTACTATTTTGCATCGATCGTTCTATAGATGCATGTACATATAAATGACAGAACATAAACATAACTAGCTAGATGTAGAGAATTCAATAGTTTTATAAAGTGATCAATTAATAAAGCGTTACATCTTTCTCTTTATAGCATCGGTTTTCATAAATATTGGATACCCTTAGCATTGAGCCCTTAACTAGCCATCCCATAACAGACATTTTTCTTGGGGTAAAGGCATAAAGCTCATCCGGTTGATGGAAAAGGATAATAGTCTTTATTATTTACAACCCTTGTTTTCTAAAAAAATAAAATAATTTGTAATGTGTTCTTAAAAATCTTATATTTTATTTTAATACATTCAAATAATGAGTTGATAAATAATGACTTTATTTTAGTTTACTCTTTTTCCTTTTACCTCATTCAACTCTATTATGTTCATTCCAGTCTATCCTTAAATTTTAGATTAAAATCGCATAAATTAAATAAATAATTACATCTTTATCAATTTACTTTGTAAATAACCTAATTAAACAGCCATAAAGTGAATTTGTTTTTAAGTGAGAAAATAAACTATTTTTCCTTAAATCTTAATAGATTAAGGTAAATTAAATTAATAATAAATATATTTTTACTAATCGAGTTTTAAAAAGAAACTTGCTTTAATGTTTTTTCCTTCTTTTGGGGACTATCTTCAACACACAATCAGCTTGCTGTTCTACACAGCATTTGCGTATGCAACAAGTCGTTAACTTAGTAGTTATAAGTTAAGCAAATATTCAAGGACGATTATGCTTAAGATATTAGTTAACAAAATTAAAATAAAAACTATTCAATAAAAAATATGTATTTTTATATTAATCAAAAATATAAAAATTATGTAATACTTATTTTTAAAATTAATTTAAAATATTTATGAAATGCTCTTTAAGTAATACCTTTAAAACACTAGGTATAATGATCCTACAATTTATAACAAAAGCAATATGCCAAAACTCATTAACCCTGATCCAAAGAAATAATAGAAAAAAAATAGAAAATAGAAATAAGAAAAAAGAAAGAAAGAGAGAAATACTATATTTTTATTATTTAGATAAGTGCTGAAAATATAAGAATGAAAAAATAGTTTTCCCTTAAAATGATGTGAAATGGGGAGGGGGAGGCTTTATGTTTATTTAGTTGTTTGAAAATACTAATTTTTAATAACAAAAAATAATTAATAAATAATTTTATATTAAATAAAGTAACATATGGAAAAAAATACTTCTTTATTTCTTATTTCAATTTACATAAACAATACATTTTTTCTTTTATTTGCATCCTTCTTCTTATGGACCACAATTTGAAATAATCTTATCCACAGTAAATTACTTTCTTAATTATCAAATAAAGACACGATCTATCACATTACCATATTTAATCAATACTAAAAGATTATCTTACGATTAGCTTATGTGATGGTACTTACTCCTTATATAACTAGACAAACACTGCACCAGGGGGGGACAATCCCCATGCAAACAGACTTATTATATCACTCACTAAGCTATATACTTGCAATACTCATGTTAACTTAACTATCAAATTAAGTGCTTAATCCCGATTTTAAGATCTTCAAAGTTTAAGGCTTTAAAGGAAGCATCCACTCAACTCGTAGTAGCTAGGTTAACTCCTTATAATTATCCCACGTGAAACTTGAAAGTAGATCATATTGATCCTGTTGCATTCCTCAATAATGTTTGTTGAACATTTCATATAGGACACCATAAAATAAGGAATAATATATGGTGTCTCCACATTTTATTTGATATGTGATAATAACAAAATATACAAATATTTTAAAGAAAGTAATTCAAATAATAGAATTATAAGTTGTTTATTTGTTTGGGTCCATATCCTGTTAAGTTGCTGTTGAACACAGTAATTTGTCCCGCAGACATAGACAGAAAAGACATACCAATTACCACCCCTGAACTTATATTATAAATGCCCCACTAGGAGGGGACTGCATCCATAGCATTGGTTGATTTAATTACCAGACATAGCAAACAAAATAATTCTCATTCGGTGTTATTTATTTATATTTAGTATAATGTCCTTCAAAATAGGGCTACACTAAGTGAAGTGAGTCGCATGCTACAATCTACATGCATGCATTCCCCATAGGCTTCATCTAAGCGGTAATTACAATAAATTATGATTAACGTTTGAAAAGAAATTTTATAATGTGGAAGACATTTAGTACATGATCGCCCACCAACGTGCAGGAGTGAAGAGATAGTGGTTTCTGTATATCCTATCCAACGTAGCTGTGGTTGTTTCTCCCTCTCTTAATTGGTAAGAAAATCTTTACTGCGTCCTTTGCCCACTGCAATGAAATAAAGATGAACAACTTTAAATTTTGATGATATGATTAAAAGGAGGAATGAGAGATAGAGAGATCAGAAATGCCCGTTGCAAGAACCACTGATTTTCTTTATGACAAATAAGAAAAACCTCCTTAGAAATTATGCAAGCAACTGTTTTGTCTGATTTTTCTCTGCAAAAATATCATTATCTTAATTCTATTTTCTATTTTAATTTTTTAATAAAAATATTAAAATAACAAAAACATTTTCATTATTTTCTAAATGATTTTTTAAACTAAAAAAATGAAATAAAGTGGTATTTTTATACTTAAAAGAAAAAATTTTAAAAAAAATCTCAATAAATAATTCCAATTGTTTCTTTTAATGCTTTGAAAATTTCATTAGTTTTATTTGTTGGGTCAAACAAGTAGACTTAAAGCATCTTAGATATCTTTATTAATGAACTATAGTGAAATCATATTAATGACTAAATACTATTTTAATCTTTAAAATTATAAATGTTAATCAATTTAGTTTTTAACATGATAAAAGTTTTACTTTAATTTTTAATATTTTAAAAATCATATATTTTATTCAATTTTTTATTTTATTTTTTATACCATTCCATATAAAAAAAATAAAATAAATGCCATTTTATAAAGTCAACGATTAAAATCATTGATACTTACATATTCAAAATATTAAATAAATATTTTTTTGCTAATTAGAAAATAAATATTTACTCCAATATAAATAGACTTAGATATTATATTTAGTTTAAAACCTTAAGACAATTAAATTCTGAATTTTTACCACATATTATTTAAATTTTATTTTTACTTAACCTCAATGTTGCCATAAGTAGTGTTTGTAAAAGCGCTAAAATACTTTGCACAATACTTGCATTCGCAATCTTGAACAACAATTATTTTCTTGAAAAAAAATGTAATACCTCACAATAATAAATGAGAAAACATTAGAAAAACTTAATATTAAAAAAAGGTCAGAATTCAAATAAAGTTTACTATCAGTCGAAAATTTAACACTAAATAATAAAGTAATAGTATATTGACAAAAAATCGAGGCTTTTTATCTAGTTGTGATAACTAAGCCGGTTTGATGGTTTGATGAGTCGTCAATTGATGCTACTGAAAGCAAATTGATAACAAGTAGATGAAAATTAAATGCATTAATTTTAAAAATATTTTAATTGCAATTTATAAAATATTAACTATTCTTAAATATATTTTTTGAAAAAAAGTTGCAACATAGAAAACATTTACAAGACTCCACGCTAATGTCTTCAATCATTGATACAAATCCAAGCCATCTCATCAAGCAGGCTCAATTCTCACTTTTAAAAAAGTCCCTTTTGCAGAACTGGAACCAAATGCATTATTGCAATTGCACCTATGGTCTCAATTGCATTTAATAGGGAAGATCAAATTATCTCCACACGAAATCAGAGAGTAAAATAGCAAATACGTCAATGGCATTTCATGAGCATCTTGTTCATTATATTGAAGAAGCAGCAGCAGCAGCTCATAGGTGAAGAGTCATATAGCATTAAAGATAAGTATAAATTATGGATCTAATTTGTATGTATAGTCGAAATAAAAAATAAATTTTTTAATTTTTCATTTAATATAATTCAGATTTGATTAGATACAGAAAAACTTGAATTCAAGATTTTATTTAAGTGATACTAAACTACTTATTTGAACTAACCTCCATTGATAAAAAAAATAAATAAATAATTTTTTAATAATGTGTGTTTAAAAATATATAATAAATTTTAAATGATATAACAATACGTTAATAGATGACAATATAAAACTTTATTGCAAGTATATCAAAATTAAACTCAAAATACATGATCTTAAGCTAACGAGCAAATTAACTTTATATGCTCAAAGGGACGTTTGAAAGATCTTATACAAAGCTTATTTGGACTTAACATGATTTATGACATTGTTTTAAGTTAATGATAGAAAGAGTATTCTAAAGCTTCGTTGGACTTAGAATGGATTAAGACATTCTTACAACTTCTTTTTTACTTATTTCAACAAGCTTCAGTCAAACTTATAAATTAACTCTCTGGGTAAGAAGTTTTGATTAAATAAGTGTTTAATAAAACGCTTTACCCAAACGCGCCTATGCAAATCATAATTTCAACATTACATTTACCATCGTCTATCTTCATCTTTTTAGTTTTTGCAAACTAAACTTGATATTGAAGTAAGATGAATAACCAAATGCGACAGCCAATGGTAAATTAAAGGCATTTATCAGTCCACACAAATTACAACTGAGAACCAAAGCTGCCTGTGACATACCATTTAACAACCCGCTAGACATTGCAATTAACATATTTAAGTCAGAAAGCATTTTATCTTAGCTGATTTGTGATAGCTTTTCTATCTGTTTAAGTCCTAGGTACTTCTAACACACAATCTTAGTCAAATCAAGCCTCAATGAGTAACTGGACTAACATAGTAATTTGTTTGGAGTGCTTTTATTATAGTGTAGAATCGCCGGAACTCTCGGCTTACACATTATAGTCGTATATTTGATGTAAAAGCCATTAAAATACGATAGGCGGACAAGAATGAACAGCTTTGATCATACAGGTCAGGTACAGGATCAACACCCCCCCCCCCCCCCAAAAAAAAAAAAAAAAAAAAACTCCTATCTAATCACAAATAGTTTATATCATTCTCTTGCTATGATCTACTGCTGCACTACTTCTGCCAATCGAAATTCTGATTCACCGCATGCAAACAATTTTCTTTCATTAGAAGTTAATTTTACATCATGGTAGGTTCAGTTCAATCCCAGATATTTTTCACTTCATTAGTTTGATGATTAGACACTAATCAGTACAACTTTACCCTTCTATCTTGAATTTCTTCCCATGCACCTTATACTCCTCTGTGTGGTCAGCCTCACACACTTTAAGCAGTTTTTGTCTACTAGAATAATTTAGTGAAATTTATAAGATGTAAATCCCTATGAAAATTATTCAAGGAAGAAAATAGAAGTACTATAGTATTGCATTTCCCTAATTGGAAATCCTAGTTTCCAGTAATCTCTTATTGTCTAAATGGAATATTATGAATAAATTCATGAAAACAACTGTCTTTTCCATTATTAATTTCAAACTGGAGTAACCATGCATTATCTAAATTACTATTGGTGTTCTTATTTTCAAATTGCAGACTACATCACTTGACACAGCCACAACACTTGACACAGCCACAATATTACTGTAGCCGTAATGTCCACAACAGCATCAGAATCACCCAGCAATTGCAGGATGATTTCCATTCACAAAAACGGAGGTAAGCCAACAAACCAAAGGATGGCAAAAGAGGGTAATAGCCGGTGGCTTCTGTCATATGGTAAAACTAACATTGGGAAAGGAACAAAGCGAAAAAATAACAATATGTAGACTGGAGATAATCATACCAAGGTTGGATGTTGAGGTTATGGTCACTGTCATGGATGCAATTGTGTGACCAAACCACAATTCAGTGCAGGCAGGTTTTGGCATAATAGAGCTAGAAGAGGCTAAAGAGCAGCATACTTAATTAAAATCAATGGTGGAAGCAAAATCCATCGCACCCAAAATATGGAATATGTATTTGTTGAAGATAAAACCATGCATACCTAGATTTATTACATGTGATTGTGGGGGCAGCACAAGCAAGAAGAATAATCAATTGCCACTAAGTTTTCTCTACATGCCCCATTGGTTCAGGAAGATTATTTGCATTCCGCATGTACCACCAAAATTTGCCAAAGTCACTAGGTTTTCCTTCATTCGTTCTGCCATCATAATCTTTTCTTTCCGACTGTACTTCTTGTGCTTCTGATGCACCAGGATCCTCTGTCAAGAATTGTTCCCAGAATACATCATTAACACCAGTCACTGCAACAGTGGTTCCTGCAGGTTGTTCCTTTGAAGCAACAGGCTCAGGTACACCAACTGCAGTTGGCTCTGCGTTCATGTCAATTCCAGATGACTTGGGCCGAACTTCAACATCTAGTTGTGCACAAGATATGGACGGACTATCAGCACAACTTGTAGATTCATCAAAATCCATGTTTGACTGAATTTGAACTAAGGAGTCACCAACATCATGTGCAATAGCCTCCCAAAACACCATGGATGATTCAAGCTGATCCAATCGCTCCATGTTTAATGTCAAAACTGAGGTATTCTCTGCATTTACTCTAGGTAAGGTTTGGGAAGTTTCAATTGCGTCTTCAATACTAGCTTCATCATTAAAGTAGCCACTTCTCGGCAACCTTCGTTTTCTATCCAACGTTTCAGTCAGTGGCAAGATATTTACAGCAATCACAGATTTTTGCAATACCTGGGAAACAGAAGAAACCATCACTTCCTGCTTCTGTTCCAACTTTTCCAACCGATCATTTGAGCAACGTATTTTTATCTCACACGTTTGCCACTCGTGTTGATATTTCTGCAACTCCATAAGAAGTTGTTCTTTATCATGTTTAAGCTTCTCTATTTCATCAGTAAAACTCTGCCTTTCTGACTCCCCTATCGGGATTTGTGCATGGAGATTCTGCAAAGAATGGCTATGAACCGGCTTCCGTCTATGGATATTCTTCATAAGATGAGGTTGCCCTCTTACAAAATCATCATTGGCAAATTCCCATTGTTCTGGATCAATTTTTCTAAATCCCTGCTCAAATTAAGAAACTATGACTCAGTTCAAGCAACCAAAAGCAGCATGGAGAAATAAATTAATACAAAACAAGCATGTGATCAACAACACCAAAATCAAATTTGCTTACATATGTGTTGAGCTGCCTAATGAAACTCGAGAAGTTATTGTGCTTAAAGAATCTAGGCAGCAAATCCCTTGCAAAGTCTGGGGGATTCCATACAATGAAACTTTTGTTAGTAACACTCCACGAAACAATCGAATCGGTGGAAGGATCATCCACCATCTCATAAGTCTTTGCCAGAAATGGAGGCAGGGAACTTGAACTACCATGTGCTTCATCCATCATTCAAAACTTCAATTCGCCACCTACAAATCTCAATTTCCCAAATTCAAAACCTAAAAACCAATCAACTAGAAGCCAGCCCTCAATCACTACAGGGTAAAAAAAAAACTTTCCTTTTCTTTCTCAAACCTAACCAAGACAAACCTCAACAAACCCACCTACAGAAAAGTTAATAAGAGCCAATAATTCCAAAACCACGGGCACCTATTCACAAAGGAGAAGAACCCATAATCCAGAAAATCACAAAGCAGAAAAAGTTCTCAGTTTCTTTTCCTGCTACGCTCAAATCCCAAATAAGCTCAGATAAATCTTACAGTACCCAAAAATAAAAAAATTAACGCGGTATTATTCTCACCCTTGATAAGAAAAATTGGAGAAGCTTGCACGTAAAGCAACAATAATTGAAAAACAAAAATATAAAAGAGCGGTCACGTTAATGGAGCTTTGCGGTGAGGGAGAGAGAAAGAGAAAACTGAAAGGAAGGATTCTTTCTGTTTGTTGGCGATTCCAATTCTTGTGACCCTTTCTTCCTCGTTCAACTTCAACTGCGTACATAATTTTCCACACAGCTTTTTTTTTTTTTTTCCTTGTTAACAGCGGGTCAACGGATGGCTGCAGATGATTTGAGACGATAAAAATTTGCCTGCATAACACAAATGAAATGAATTTAAATATAATTATAAAAAATGTTTTTGCAAATTTATATTTTTAATACAATAAATATTTTCTATTTTAATAAATCAATCCTAAAATTGGATACTAATAAAACTGATTTTTCATAACGAATTAATTATTTCTTTGAGTTTAATAATAATAAACATTCGCAAGGGTGGAAGGACACTAACTGTGCAATTACACAATCTAATATAAATACAAGGTTGGTCTCACAGAAACTTAGAATTACAGCTAAAAAATCAGTAAATTGTTTTTAATTTAGTTGCAGAATCATTGAAAAAAACTAAAATATATAAAAGAAATTAAACACATTTATTTCTTTGCTTTGCCTAAAAGCAAAATGAGCCTATAATGAAATGAGCCTATAACCAAGGTTCATACTCGTTCTCTCCCAGTGTTGTGAGCTGAAGAGTTGTTTCAAACTTCAAATTAAACAACTAATAACAAATCCAGTGGGTCGTTGTTGCAGTACAAATGTATTATAATCTCAAACAAAAACTTTTACACGACCTTCTTAATCCAACGATTAATTTTACAATTATATCAAAGTTTTTATGCAACTTTGCCAATTATGTCAACTACCTATCATATGGTCTATAGTATGGTTGGACAGTTAAACGTTCAATTTTTCATTATTATTGAATGCTTTTAATTAATAAACGTTTTTAAAAATATTATCCCTTATTCTTTTTAAGTTGACAGCTATTTCAACTATGTCTGATATTTATGAAGCATGGAAACCTTTCTTTTTATATATGAAATGTGTGTACGTGTGTTTTTACTTAACACTCCTACAACATGATTCAGTGTTTTCTCTAGTATCCACTGTCTCTAGTAAGATATTCCCCTAAACTGATATCTAAGAACTGAGTTGAATCCGTCTCATAAGAATTCCTTGTGAAGTGTCACGACCCACTTGCGATTTGGTAAAACTTAATAAAATATCATTCCACAGCTCTGCTACCCATGCAGGTTGCTCCAATTAATTAAGGTGAGGCTGCTCCAATCCACTTACATATTTGTGTTATTTATATTCAAACACAATGTAGAAGCAAAATGTATTGTTAAAACAGACATAAAAATAGAAAACATATTTATAGTTTACACCAGACTTAAATGAATATTAAAATTTAGAATGTACACGTTATTCTTAAATGGACCCGACTCTACAATGCTAACTCCTAATAGCCACAATCATAACATATTGCGCAAAAGCTTTAAGCTTTAACAAGAATTATTTATTCCTCCGATTGGATGGAGACTTTCCTTATAAATTACCACCTGAGACAAAAGATGTTCTCCACGAATACCGATGTCCTCAATCATCTCAGCAAGTAAATTAAACCAGGCTAATTCATCATCTCCCTTTTTGAAGAGTATATCACCCTTCTTCCCAATGCCAAGAGTATCCTTAAAACCAATACCTACAATATGCTTAGGACAAGGTAAAGGTCCAATAGTGAAGAGTTTAAACCACCATTCCTTGACCCCTAATTGACCAAAAGTGATATATGAAAAGTACAAGTAGAATCAGAAGAATTTGATATGAAAGCAATGGACCCTTTTAACACCACCAAGTGTCTGGTCAAAAAGTGCATTGCATACAATTCGGGACATGGATCGTTGAGGTCAGTTAAGAGTGTCGTAAGGAAGTCCTCATCGAACGACACCAAACACATTTCAAATTCATCTTTCTCACCCCACCAATGACACATTCCATTGAAGTATAAATCAGTACCAATAGGTTTGAAATCACATGGAGGCACGTGATATTCAGTGACGGCTCAAGAGTTTTTAGAGCCGAAAACAAATTTAAAAATAATTTTTTTTATTAATAAAATAACTTATTACTATTAATTGAGAATTATAATTAATTAAATATTATTTATAATATTAATAAAAATTTAATAATTAAATTAAATATTTGAATTAAAAAAATTTAAATTTAATTTTTTTAATTTTTAAAAGTATAATAAAACTAAAAATAAATAAATTCGGGGCTAAAGCCCTTACCTTACTTGTCTGGGCCTTAGGCCACCCAGTTGATATCAAGTTTCCAACAAGAGTTACTTATTAAGCAATATATCTCTCATGCTTTGGGGAGAGCAGCGGGCAACTGTACATATGATCTTATAATCATGTTAACTTTGTCATAGTCAAACCCATGAAGACGCTTGATTCCGATTAGGCTTGGAGGAAGGACCTTGAATTCATGGGCAACTTTGATCATGTTGAGAGAGACACAGAATCTATGTAGGACACGCGAGTTCCTAATGTAGATAAAACTAAGTATTGAATCTCCAACATGGTAACCGATTTTACAAGACAAAATTAATTAATTAAAAATGATAAAAATATAAATTATATTATATTTAACTGTAAATATACTATACTTACACTTATAAAAGATATTGTTTAAGCTCTTGTCAACCTTAAGTCAGAGGTGAACGCAGAAACTCCATCAGCTCTACCAATCTAAACCCTTGAGGCAGCTTTAGGTTAAATCTTTCTAATTCTTCAAGTTCAAAATAAAAAAAAAATTATACATATTTATGACGGTTTATCAACTCTTAAAATTATGTTAAAAATAAAATAAAATTCTTTGTTTCATTAATAACATATTGACTAAATAAATAATAAATTATTTGAATTAACAAATACACTTTCAACAATTAAATTTTAATTGATTATCGAACAATATTATATCATGTCATTATCTTATTATTAATATTTTTATAACAAAAAATATAACAATGTTTCATTTAAAGAAAATATTATTTATTTGATAAAATAAATTTTTTATAATTTTATTTATACCGTGTAGTTAGTGAGAGAATAATCTTATAATAAATCAAAAAATATATCTCCTAAAATTTCAAAACAAAATAAAATCATATAGCTCTTCAAATCAAAATTTTAAAATAAAATCAGCAACTCTATAAATCAAAATTTCAAAATATAATTATAAGTTATAATGTAAAGCATGTAAAATTTTCTCCTTATCTTCATCGAGTAACTTTAAAGCCATCTAAAAAAGATTAATCATAAGTTAAAATGTATTATAAAAATAATAATAAACAGATGTAATATAAACTTTTTCATACACCTCCTCCATTTGTAATTCTTTACCTATCATTGAACATGACACATTCCACGTAATGAAATTAATTAATTAAAAATAATAAAAATATAAATTATATTATATTTAACTATAAAATATACTATACTTACACTTACTAGAAATAAAAACAAAATTGTTTGAGATGTTAAGTTTCATTTTCCATGCTTGAACTCTTAGCTCTCTTTCTAAGGTGTTAAGTTGAGTTCTATATACCACCAAAATAGAAAAAAATTAATTTTAATTATTTATTATAAAATAAATCACGTTTCCTTAAAAAAAAATTAAATTCATATTTTAATAATAAAAATATAATAAAAAAACTTAAAAGTCTAGAGCTGATTTGCAAGTTCTTTAAACTTATCTCAAACTTGATTTGACATTTCATCTTTTTTTTTATAATTACACAAAATAATAGACAAAAATAAATAAATAAATATAATTATATTTACTATTCTTCAGCAATTAAATTTTTTGAGAGAGAAAAAAAGAATAAAAATGAAATTAAATTTTTTTTTCTTATCTTTTAAATAAGCAACAACAATTTGTATATATTTTTTTTTATTTTTTTACTTTCATTATAAAAATTTATAAGATAATAAAGAAAAGTTAAGAAACATCTTTAAATTTTAAATAAAATTAACAATTATGTGAAAAAAAAATAATAGAATGAAACAAGATTTACTTATAAAAAAATTATAAATAAAACAATTTTTGATATATTTGTAACAGTTTATTAACTATTCAGATCAAGTTACATACAAAAAAATTCATACATATTTTGGACAGTTTATCAACTATTAAAATCACGTTAAAAATAAATTAAAATAAAATTATTTATTTTATTAATAATATATTGACTAAGTAAATTGCTTAAATTAACATATACACTTTTAACAATTAAATTTTCATAGGTTATCAAATAATATTATATTTATGTTAATGTCTTGTTATTAATATCCTTTTAAAAAAACCACATTTAATATTAATGTAATTTTCATTGTTATTAGGAATATTACTTTCATCAAAATAATCTTATAATACGATAAAAAAATATGTATATCCTAAAATTTCAAAACAAAACAAAATTATACAGCTGTACAAATCAAATTTTTAAAATACAATCACCTTACAAATCAAAATTTTAAAATACAATCATATAGCTTCTCTAATCATTTGCTGTAAAGCTATCTACAAAAGATCAATCATAATTATAAGTTAAAATATATTATAAAAATAATAATAAACACCTGTAATAAAAACCTTTTCATACACATTTTCTATTTCTGCTTTTTTATCGATCCCTATATATAACACATGAGTTACTAGGCGTAGATAAAATTGAGTACTTGAATCTCCAACATGGTGACCGATTCTACACGAGAAAATTAATTAATTAAAAATGATAAAAATATAAATTATAGTATATTTAACTATAAATATACTATACTTACATGTACTAAACTTACAAAAGACATTACTTGAGCTCTTATCATACTCCATCGGCTCTACCAATCTAAACCCTCGAGGCAGCTTTCGGTTAAATCTTTCTAATTCTTCAAGTTAAAAATAAAATAAAAATCATACATATTTGTGACAGTTTATCAACTCTTAAAATCACATTTAAAATAAAATAAAATAAAATTCTTTATTTTATTAATAATATATTGACTAAGTAAATTGCTTAAATTAACATAAACACTTTTAACAATTAAATTTTAATAAGTTGTCAAACAATATTATATTATGTCATTGTCTTGTTATTAATATCTTTTTAACAAAACCACATTTAATATTAATGTAATTTTTATTGTTATTGGAAATATTAGTTGTATCAAAATAATCTTATAATACGA